TCCCGCCATTCAAAAATAATTCAAAATATCTTGTGTTGTTATTTCTGAATATTTGTTTTTCTTCTGATGGATACTGAACCGTTCTTCAAAAATATACTAAAATGTCGCAACTCTGTTGCCTCCATATTTGGCAAAAGATCCAAGGAGTGAGTCAGTTTCTGTTAGGCAAGGAATAGTGATTACTTTCAAAATAATGTAGATATAATGGATGTGGGTATCGTTTCAGGGATATAAATATACAAGTATACTTCTCCTATACATTTCATTTTTCATTTCAATACTGAACATATCGGTAAGTTATTTTCGATAAGTTATTCGATTTGAGAGATGATGTTGATTTCAATTTCAGAGGATTTTTGATCCTTCATGCTTTCTTTTTGGATATTCAACAGATATAATTCAATGTTCGACGTGGCAAATAGCCAGGAAAGTAGTTGTTTTCTGTTGAATATTCAGAATTATATTATATGCATAATGAAGGAGAATGCAAATTCTCTACTTCAGAAGATTTTGTTTTCAAATTCTTATCGTGTGTGTTCAATAGAATTATTGAGGTAAGGTTCTGAAATTTGCCGGAGGAAGAGAAAGTCCAAAGATAAAGTCAATTACGTGAATAAAAAATGCGACAAAACTTCATTTTTCCGAACTGAAAATTTTCCAGGAAAAATTTTAATAGTTAGTAAATTGGGCGTCCTGATTCCAAATCTGAAGTGATTTTCGACCTATTTTCCGGAAATTGGGGTAGTTTCATGGCTGTTGGCGAGCAGTGTATATCACTGAAGATGACCCCACTTGGTCATAGAGTGCATGTTTGGTATATCTCTCGCTGCAGCAAATTTCAGGATCCTTACCAAACGATTACGTAAGATACAGGGGTGGTTCCATTAGAAGTGGGTCACACTGTATATTATATCAATTTTTTTGTGTTCATAAATATATCTGAGAATGTTCCGTTTCAATATAAATATAAATTAATAGAATGATATCAGAACATGATATTTTGATTTCTAACCAGTTTTTAACTTACTAAACTTTGAAAATCTGGTTCTATGTATCAGAAACTAGATGTCAGAGATGACAGTATCGGCCTAGATTCTCATTTTATTTTCATAACTGAATCCACTTAAGACTCTGTTAAACCTTAAATGTTTAAATGTTGAATCTTGAATGCTAAAAATTTTTTATAAAGTCACCCTAAAAAGTAACACGCCTAGGTCCATAAAAGCAACATTTTATGCACGACTGGAATATTTGATATTTCTTGTGAATACCTCTTTACCTCTGCAGCAGGATAGAAATGCATTCAGGTTGCAGTGAGGTTGTATACAGGGTGTTTCGTAGTAATTTGGGACGCACTCCTATATGGGTAATAAAGCGTCTCAAAAAAATGATAAAGTTTCCATAAATGGAGGTCGTAGAAGGCTTCGTTTGCGAGATACAGGGCATTAAAGTTGTGAATGTTTATATAATAGAATGTTCTTATGTTTTTTTTTATGTTCTGGTTCCCACGAAAAGAGATATCCTGTAATGTTCAGAGAACATCGTGAGAACCAAGGGAAATAAGGTAGGAACTGGTGTTCTCTTGAATTTCTGGAAGTTATATGCCTCGGGGAACACCTCCTTTGGCAATGTGTTCGTTGGATGAACAAGTCTTTGGAAAGAGATGCAGGTCTCCGAAGTGACCACGAAGGGGTGCGAAGCCTCAACTCGACGGGTTAATCTCGCAGGTACTGCCAAGGGAGCAACAATTGTTGCTATTTCAGAAGAGCATCGTCCATGAAAATATCTATAAAATAGAGCCATATCGCCAACTCCTCTACGGTGTTCCAGAGAAGTGAGTGAGTTTGTGAGCGAGGCATCACCCACGAGATGAATTGCCCTTTCTTGGACAGGATTCAACTGTTTCAGGGTATGTGTGGGTGCTGCACTCCAAATATGGGAACTGCAGTATTCCAGGACAGGTCGGTTCTGTGCCTTATAGATCATAAGCAGCTGACTGGAAGTGAAATAGCTCCTGGCCCGAAACAGAAAACCAAGTTTTTGGAATGCACTTTTAGCAATTGATCTCACGTGAAGGTATGGTTACTCCAGACAAGCTTATGTTGGGCACAGTGAGATCGGCTTCTCTAGAGAAAAGGCATGCTTGTGTTTTGTTCGCATTGAAATCTACTAAGTTATTGGATCCCCATTCGAGAATTGTTACCAAGTCGAGTACCAAGTCCATATTCATGTGGTCAACATTTCTCCCTCGTTCGTTTCTGATTTGCCTGGCTGTGACTGGGGTACTATCATCCGCGAAGCTGTGTACTGGACATGAAGTTGCTTCCAACCATCAACAAATCGTTGATATGGAGTAGAAATAGTGTTGGTGCTATAATTGATCCTTGCGGAACACCAGCATTTATGATAAGAGAGTCAGATGAAACTCCGTCGACCACTACATGGAGAGACCTGTTTGAGAGAAAACTAGCTAGCAGAGAACTTATCTGGGGAGGCAAGCCATAAGATGGAAGCTTGGCGAGGAGTCCGTGGTGTCAGACTCCATCGAATGGTTTGGAGATATGTATGTGATATGATTATCGGTACCACTGGGAGTCAGATCTACTGAATAATTCTACCGGTTCAACCACTCTCAGGTACTTTATAGTGATTCATCAGAATATCAAAAAATTTGAACCCAGCAATTCTCAACTGTATCTCGCAAACGAAATTTTATCATTTTTTGAGACGCTCTATCACCCCTAGGAGTGCGTCCTTCATATATTGCGAAACACCCTGTATATTCAGATTGTATCGAAATAATAGTACTTAATAAATGAACTGAATATCATTTAACAAGAAATAAAACTCAAAGTCGTCTCCATAATTTTAATGTAGGAGGAGGCAGTCAATCCTGCTTCAATAAGATTTGATACATGTTTCGGCCATTCAAATGGCCATCTTCAGTCAAATTAGCAACAAAGTATATCTACAATAGAAAAACCAAACATGATTTTATATCAAGAATTAATTGAGATTGAAAAACAAATGTTGTAAATGCAAAATTGAATTGATTAACAAATTTCAGTAGGATTAAAGAGCAATGGTGATTTTTATAAGTATAACAATAATAATTGATTAGATGATTATCATTTGTTGTCAATTTATGTTATCACAGGTAACCTATTTTTGGGTTTGACTGAAGTTATACATTTGCCATGGATTTCCGCCGAGTCCATCAAAAAAATATTAATTTCCAGTTGTCTACCCTACTGAACAGATAGACACGTATCCAATCAATGTGATAAACGCTCTGGCAAACTTACATGGAGGATTCAGAGTCGTTGATGTTCGACAGATTGAAGTACGAGCTGGTTCGGAATATCACTTGCACCAATTTACATTGGAGAATACAACGTACACCCCTCAAGGATAAATTACTATCCATTAGGCAACTAGGCAAGCAGATCATCTTTATATTGAAGACTTTAACCTTTGGCACGATGATAATATATTATACTGTTTTACCACTAACCAAATTGATTTTCTACAGGATGTTTCAAGAAAACCTAACCCCCTTGCTAGGGTAGGTAGAACACTGCAAAATAAGTTGGGTTTGCTCAGTGAAAAAATGTCGTAACGGCATTGGTTTTCATGATACAAGGTGTTGAAAAATTGATTATTTCACACATTTTTCACGATTATGTCGAAACTACTGGCAACATTGTAATGAATGTTTGTAAGAATGTTTCTTGAAATCTGACACATCACATGAATTTGTTTTTAAATCTGACTCTCATAGAGGGCGCTAGTTACAGGGTTCGTACCGAGTAGTTTAAAACATAACTTTTTCGAGGTTATATTTTTCAATATAAATATGATATGAACTTGAACATCATTCAATTTTACACCAAAAAAGTACTCTTGGTGAAACTCGATACTATGTTCCGTTTTCGGAATATGTATTTCGATTTGAAAATGATGAAGTGATAAATGTTGCTGGTATAAAGCTATGTATTAGAGTGAGTATTATGAATAACTATCACCTATTTATTGAAAACCGAAAACATTAATAGGAACAGTAAACAATTCTCTCCTGAAACACTTAGTTCACTTTATTGCCATTTGGTCAGACCTTCCCTAGAGTATGGTTCCATCATTTGGACACCATTTTATCAAATACATATTGATAGTTTAGAACGAATTCAGAAAAGGTTCTTGAGAACATATTCATATATATCGCAAGGGTTATCACGTTCCTCATAATATATACTACCCATTAATGGAACTTAATTTCTTAACTTTAGAAAATCGTAGATCAGTGTTGGATATGTGTTTCCTATATAAATTGGCAAATGTCAAGAATTATGTTATTATTCAAAATCATTGTGACCTATTCTGTGACAGTCTGAGTGATTTCCAAACTAATGCTGTGAAATTGATTATGAATACCTAGTTAATGTAATGAGTATATACATAAGTGCTATTTTTCTATTAGTGTAGTTTTCATTGCTCCTATTATTCATCTTTTGTTATTATTTCTTTTATAAAAATGGTGTAACCGTTGAAATAAATAAATAAATAAATAAATAAATAAAAAAACGAATAAATAATAATAATAATAATATTTATTTCACTATACCTTTTCAACTTCAATTTCGGAATCGGTAAGTTATATTTCGGAAAAAGTAATCTCCATTTCAGAATTGGTAAGTTCGATTTCAGAAATGGTGAACTCAATTTCGGAATCAGTGAGATGAATTTCAGAAAAAGTCCATTCAATTTCAGAAATGGTAAGTTGTATTTCAGAATTGGTAGGTTCAATATCATAAATAAAATCCTTATATTTGTTCGAAATGTTTCCAATTGCATGTGAGATTAACAAACCATATTTAAAATATTCAACTTTTCAAAAACAATTTAATCCATGCACAGATGCCTTCCATCTGAATCGCTGGAAGATAGTGGCATTGCACATGATTATAAGAATGCAAACACATTTGAGGTGTTATCATTTTCATTTAATGATCTGCACATTCTTCAAGACATCGCTGTCTGAATTCTATCTGGTTGAGCAATCTGTTCGGATCCCCAGCTATGACCCTTTGGCGATGCTCTTGCAAGAAGCTCTTCACTTCTGAGTTGAAGGCACCCCATATATGTTCAATTTGATTCAACATAGGGCTCTCAAACACCGTTTCATCCAATGTAAAAATTTTTCTCTTTTGCAATTAAAAACATTTCAAACATATAGAAGGATTTCATCTTCTGAAATTGAACCTACCAATAATAATTCTGAAATACAACTTACCATTTCTGAAATTGAATGGACTTTTTCTGAAATTCATCTCACCGATTCTGAAATTGAGCTTACCATTTCTGAAATCGAGATTACTTTTTCCGAAATATAAAACTCACCGATTCCGAAATTGAAGTTGAAAAGGTATAGTTAAAAAGTACAATGCAGAAGCCAAAGCAGTTACAGTGTACAATGACTAGGAAAAAGTCTCAGGGAGTTAAAAGTTAGCAAGACAGAAAACATGTTTTTTTGGTAAATATAGGAAAGACATGCACGAAAAATGAACAGTTGTATAAATAAGTATATACATATAATTAACTATTGTAACAATACAGTTCAGCTTACAATAAACTCGTCGATGGTGTAGCAATTTTTCTCGACGAGGCTTCTTTTCAGAGCAGATTTAATAGTATATTATGTAACAAGTGTTATAAACGCCCTTTTAGTAACGAGTATTTTAAGCACGAGCGCGTTACATACTATGCTTTTTCTACGAACTCCGAAAATTACATTAATATACCTGCTATTCCTGCTAACCTACAAAATAATTCGAAAGGAATGGGAATTGAGAACATAATACATGCAACTGCATGCAACCACCGAGACACGTATAAGTGATATTGGTTGTAGATGTGTCCAGTCCATTGCTTACTAACCTTTGTTTCACGTTTTTATTGTCATGCTTAGCGCAGAATAAATAAATTGTTCTCAAAGATGGATGCTTCATTTTTATACTTCTTGGAGATACGCAAGTACTAGAACATTCTCTTCAATTTCACTATCGTCTATATTCCGCATATATTTTTAATGGAGAACTCTGATACAAACGAATATTGTTTGAATAATTCTGATACAAAAATCGAAAATAACAGTTGACAGTTAATACAATTGACAGGCCAGACATGTCTCAAATTACTGAAGCTGTGTTTAATGAACTGTGTTGCCATGCTAATGTGTTTAAGAAATCGTGTTGCCATGGTAAAATGTTTAATATTTTGAATAAATCACAGATCGCCCATCCGTGATTAATCGATCATTTAGCGTGGTACATATCCGTACGCTGAATGCCATTTTAGTTATGTGAGTATAAAAATACCTTTAACTTGAGCTGTTTCCTGACCTGGTAGCCCCGGAAACCCGCTTGTATCTTCCGCGCCGCCTCTGATTCCATGCTGATGTCTTGCTGCGCCGTTGCCTGACCGTCGCCGCTTCCCATGCTCGCACTGAGCCTCTTCCCGTCGATCGCAGCAGGCGGGAAGACATCTGACTGCTGCGCATGCGCCTCACAGTTGACGCGACTGCCTGCGCGTGCTGACGTCACGGCTCCAGGCGCTGCTGGTGCATAGCGAATAGAGCGTCCTTTGGTGGTCTTGGCGGGGAGGGAGAGGGGTCGCGAGCACAAGGTCAAAGTTTAGAGGCGCACGAGCAGGGTTGCCGGATGGAAGGTTTTGTCGCTAAATCTGGGGATTTTGGATTGAACCTTTTTAGGTTCATTCGGGTTCGAACAATTTGCTCGAGAGCAGGTACTGGTTTCGGGGGTTCCCAGAGATATTGTGAATAGACTAAAAGGAGAGTTTGACGGTTCAGAATATTATTCGAATAAAGATACAGGTTCCAAACTATTGTTTTTCTCGTAAATTCTGAATAGAGGTTATGTTCTCAAAGGTTCCCGTCTGCCGCGTTCGGGTTTTCATACAGTTGAACAGTTCTGAAATCGAATCCCGAATAAACCTTTTTTGATTGCCGACCGTTTGCGACAACTTGGACCAACCTTCGAACGCAGGGTTTTTAATTATATTGATGACCGCATTGACCGATTTTCAAATGGTTTAACGTTTTTTATTGAGGACCATCAGGACCGAACGATCCAAGACCATATCGCCCTGGCTTTCTGATGGTCGATGTGGTTCAAGGATATAAAATATAACCTCAAAACAAGCAATTACTCGAAAAGTGGCGAGGGTACAGTCTTCAAAATGAGTCACTCAAATTGCTTTAGTTTAACAAAAATAGCGTTACATCACTGTATGAATCATTTGAGCGAAATATTTCTGGTAGGCAGTTCAAAAATTATTATTCCATCCATAAAATCTATCTCGGCAACCAAAAACCCTCTATCGCAGTGATTCCAGACATGCATGTTCAAAAGTATATTATTCAACAAGCATATAATGAGGGCTATTATTCACGAGTTATACTATATACTTCCTGTAGTATGAAATATTCAAAATACAATCGTGCCCCGGCGTGTGTTCGCCAAAACTTTGAATCAAACAATTTTAATAATGAAATTCCACGCCCGAAAGTCACTTGTGAAGTGACACTTTTTTTCAGTTTCCTACGTCACATGAAGTACCTACTTCGAGCATTGTTATGTTAAATATATGAGATGTCTATATTTCAACTTTATGGTTCTCAATCGAGCAAACATCCACGAAATCATTTATTTCTGAATGTTCAACAATAGATTGTAGATGGGTCGTATAGGCTGAGAGACCTCTCGATCACTGCGACCTAGAAGGTCTATTGTGATTACCCCTATCTAGTTTTGGTCCTCTAACCCTAGACTTCTGATGAAGCCTACGATTTTCCTGACGGTTGACTTTTCCACTTCAGCAGGGGTGAGATAGACCTCTAGGTGGTTTAGCCTTTGGCGGACTAATACTTCACATGAGCAAAGTATGTGTTCCGCGGTTTCGGTCGCATTGTTACAAAAGCGGCAAGTGTCAGTCTCCGCCAGACCCATCTTTTTGAGGTGGTACCTCAGAGAGGGCCGTGTCCTGTGAGAAAGCCTGTGATAAGCTTTAGCTCTGGTTTGCTGAGGCTGAGTAGCTCTTTGGCTCGGTTCTGCGAATGGTTGATGAACCTTTTCGCTTGTCGTTGACCTGGAGTTGCTCTCCAGTAGGAGGACTTTTCAATTTCTTCCCATTTCCCGAGTTCTCCCTTTAGGTGACATTTGCTTATCCCACAAAAAGGCTCAGAACCAAAAAGTGCAGATGCTGCACCTTTTTTTGCAAGGCGATCAGCTGCCTCATTTCCTTTGATTCCTTCATGCCCTGGAACCCACATAAGTGTGACTTTGTTGCCCTTTCCCAGTTCCATGAGTGTTTCAAAGCAGTCCCATGTAATCTTTGGTATCTTGGTACTTGGTAGTATATAAAGAATATTATTACCAAGGGGACCTTATATGAAAAACTATTTCTCATTCGTTTCTCAATATTACTAATACAAAACAAGAATGGTCCTAAGATTTCAGTATTGATAAACCAGTTTAAATTCATGCTTCATGATTTTTTTGAGGGTTTGGTGTTGGACCTAATAATAAATAGTGCAAATATCGCCCTACTTACTGTTATAATAAATACTTGACCTGGAGCTTGAAGAACTTGAACACCAACTGGCCCCGTATCATTCTCGAAATTCGCAGAAACAACTGGAACTGCATCAGAGGAAACTTCGGAAACTTTCAAATTTTTCATCTTGGCAATCGAGAACGGCAGAACTATGCTATCATGGAACTCTCCTGAGTGTAAAAGACCAGCATTCGACAGCATATCTGCTACTTCATCTTTGGTTTTAACTTCCGCAGCAATAGTTCCATCACTCTTATGTTTCAAAGACTCGGTAACTCCTCTTGGCAAAGGTAAAACCAAAGAATCGTGCAGCTCCCCAGTGTGAAGCAACTTTGCATTATTTTCTTTACTATCTTCACTTTTAGTATCTAATGACACACTCCTTGAAGGAGCATTGGAGCTCTGAACATTTTCAGTGAGCTGATTATCCGACGTTGAATGTTGCAGAGCTTTCTCAACGGTGTCTTCTCCCATTTTGTCTATTGTTTCAACTAAATCAGAAAGCGGTTTCCCTTCAACAACTTTTGAGTCGCATGGTATAGGCGAAGGTACCGAACAAAAAGTATATAGTTTTGAAGATTCATTCTCATCTGTTGGTTCTTCTGCTAGACTTTCAAGTTTAGGTTTAACCCCCTGAGGTTTCGATGATGGTGATGTATGTATAGTATCCAGATCTTTTTCCACATCAGATTCCAGTTCTTCTACCCTTTTCGATGTTAAAGCTTTGTAAACTTCAAGGTCTTCATTGACGTCTTTGCCAGATATTTTGTCCAATAGTTTGTTCTGGTAAGTGTCGATCAGATGTTGTTCTTCTATGACTGGATAATCAAGAATTTCGTCCAGCAAAGTATTCATTTCAGTGTGTTCCTTGGTATCTGTACCAAAAGACTTATCAATCAATGCATCATGGTGATCCTTATCGATGGCACTACTTATCTGTTTTGGAAATGCGTGAGCATCACTAGATTTTTGCATCTTCATGAGTTTCCTAGCTTTGAAACCCCTCCACATCTTCTGGATTATAACGGCTGATACCATGGCATCAGAATCGAGATTTCCACCAGCATGTCTTTTGCTACGAGAATTGAAGTTCTTCAAGTTTCTTCTAGTCCTGTAACCTCGCCAAAGTCTTTGTATCCTTATAACAGCATGAAGGATATCACTAGATGACGTTTCGTGATTACCAGCAGATATCACGTGATTCTTGTCCTTCAGTACATTTGAATTTTCATCTCGTTTCATATCTGGTTTACTAAAACGTTTTCTAACTATGTATCCTCTCCATATCGACTGGATCTTCAGAACAGCTGCTGCATTACCTAAACCTTTGTAACTTTCAGATTCATCATTCTTTTTGTTATCACTCGGAGATGTTTCGTGGAGGCTAGCATCTTCAATTTCTTGACGTAAGAAGAACGGGTTGAATGTTGGCTTGAAAGTAGTCAATTTAGATTCTTCTTCTACTTTTTGTAACTCTTCGCGTAGTTTGGATCCATCAAAACTATTCGTTTTGGAAGCTACTTCCTGGGGAACAGATGCTACTGCAGTTTCCGAAATTTTCTGAGCTGCATTATCATCTGAAACTTGGCTTTCTTCACTTTGACGAGCATCAGTGATATGACCTTCATTTTCTGGGGTTTGATCATCCACATTGTGGTTTCCATTATTTCCAGTTGCTGGAACTGCATTCTTTTTCTTATCAATAACATAGTTCACGTAGTTTTTAGCAACTCTATCGACTATTTCAGAGTTCTCTGGGAGACTATTCGATTTTGAAATATATCCTTCTGATTCTGATTGTTCTTGTTGAATTAGCTTTTTCGTTATATCGCTCAGGGAATGATCTTCACTAGATGTTATATTATTTTCCCTTGTTTTTGTGTCTGATCCAATTTGATCATCAGTTCTCATTTTTTCTTTCAGTTCTGTTTCAGACTCTTTATTCGTTATCATTGTCTTCATAACGCTAATACCATCAACACCATTATTTTTTATTGCATTTGGGACATCTTCCCCCACAGTACTGTGTATTTTTTTCACAAATGGTTCCTCATCTGGTATTTTCTTATCTCGAATATCTGATGAAGGAGTGATTTCTGTTTTATCACCAGTTTTTTGTGCAATCAGAATATTTTCAGGGTCATCATTTTGGGATAACGATCCATTTACATCGTTGAAAGTATTTCCAACCACTGTTGATTCAACAATATCATTTCTAATTTGAAGACCTGTTGAGTCATTTCCTGTTAGTTTTTTGTTCATTGTGTCAATATTGTCAAATTTGTCCATTGCAGAATTAGGCTTGATTGTATTTGTACTAGGTGTGTATTTGGTGACATTCTCATTTTTTTCTCCGGAATTCGTAGTGTGGTCTATATTACCTGTAGATGTGGAGATGTCCTGGATTGCTTCAGTGGTCTTATCACTTTCTATATCCTCTGATCCACCCTTCTCATTTGAGAAATTGATGTTTTTGGAAGATGACTTTGTTTCCACCATAGCTTCATTCAACGTAATCGTAGTGTATTTTATATAATTTGTAGATGGAAAGATGTCCTGGATTGCTTCAGTAGTCTTATTTCTTTCTATATCCTCTGATCCACCCTTCTCATTTGAGAAATTGATGTTTTTGGAAGATGACTTTGTTTCCACCATAGCTTTATTCAACTTATCTTCCATTTTTGACTTGTCTTCATCATCTGCAGGTTTCGTTTTCATGTCATCAGGTGTCTTATATTCCTTACTAGTCGTAGATTCAGATATGTTGTTCGTTATTTCACTGATTGGATCACTTCCAATACTATTAGATTTTTCGATTACTTTTTCAGGAGAAGTGTTGACATCTTGTGTCCCTGTTATTTCTGCATGTGTAGTTTTTTCTTCCTGGTCTTCAGTAATGAGCATAGGAACGTCACGTTCTCCAGATGCATTATTTTTGTTATTTATTTCTACCTCATTTTGATTTGGAACCTCTGAAAAATGTTTGATTTTTAATTCTTCATCTTCCCCATTCCTGATAGTGTTCTTCATTTCTATTTCTGCTGTAATTTTTGCTTCGATATCATCTTTTTGACCATCACTATTTCTACTTGCTTCTCTAATAACATGAGACTGTGCAGAAGATTTCGGAGAGGTTGAATCCGATGAGGCTTGATTGACATTAGCAATAACTTTAGGTACTGAATCTTCGGAAGATTCAACATTGTGATTTGAAATTGTCGATGTATTATGTTTTCCACTTCGACAATCATTCGAGTCATTGACTTTTTCGATATTTGCTTCAGTTGAAAGTTCGCTGATTTGCCCATATGGATTGGATGTTTCTAGATATTTTTCAATAGCTATAGGTTCATCTTTTATTCCGACATCATCTTCATTTTGATCTTTACCTTCAGATTTCACTTCAGATAGAACTGAAGAATGTATTTCGTCCCCAGAGGAACTCTCAGTTTTTTCAGCAACATTTTGATTTTTATTCAAAGGATCTTTAAGGTCGTATAAGTTATGATCGGTAAATTGTCCTTTTTTTTCTTCCTGGTTATGTCTTTGAATATCGCTTTTCTCACTTGGATTCTCGACATCGTTTTCTTCTTCTGATCTCTTATGATCTCCACAAGGAATACTGCTCTCTCCTTCAGATATCAATTTATTTGTTCCTAAACTAATTGACCCCAATTGATCTGCTGTTTTTGATAAATCTTTCGCCAATATATTGTCTTCAATTTCACCAGCTCCTTTTGGCTCTATTCCCTTCTCAACAGCTATCCCTTCTTCTAATTTAATGTAATCTTCACTACGATTATTGCTCTTTTCTTCAGATATCAAATCTGCTGTTTTCGATAAATCTTTCGCCAATATACTGTCTTCAATTTGACGAACTTTTTCTGGCACTATCGCTTTCTCAACAGCTATTTCTTCCTCTAATTTATTGTGGTCTTCGGTACGGTTACTGCTCTTTTCTTCAGATATCAAATCATTTGTTTCTGAACTTATATACCCCAATTGATCAGCTGTTTTTGATAAATCTTTCGCCGATTCATTGTCTTCAATTTCAGCAACTTTAGAAGAATTTGATGTTAATACGTTATCAGCCACAAGTTTTTCTGGTTCCTCAATATCAATATTCTTGTCCTTCTTGATATGAACAGGTGCTGGGGTTTGTGATATACTTATATGATCATTGGCTGAATCACCATTACAATTTAATAACATATTTATATTACTCTTTTTGTTCGAGATATCAGGTTTCTGTTCTGTTTCTTCTTTGCCAATCAAGTCTTCTTCATTATCTTCAGCACTTACTCGTGTTTTTCCCCTGGGTTGTTCATTACTCTTGTCAATTACTCCTTGTTTTTCATCTACCACATTTACATTTTTTTTGCCGGGTTCTGCAGACATGTTCTGTCTCATTATTTCTTCAATATGTGGAACATCTGGTTCATTCTTCTTCTCCGAACCATTGTGAATAATGTTTTCTCCTGTTTGTTTATGAGTTTCTTCATTTGAAGTGACAGACTGATCTGATCTTGCTCCTTCATCGACATCTTTTGTCATTTTGTCCATCGAGATTTCTTCATTTTCTTCCGATCTGACTTGTTGTACTTCTTTCTCGCATTTTTCATAAGTTTTTTCGAGTTTATTGTCTAAAACTTTCCCATTTTCGATAATATCAGTTTTTGAAGAAATGGTTTCATCATGTTGCTTCGCAATAATGTAATCGCCTTCTTTCTGAATATTTTTGTCTAGAGTATCAAACTCATCTGAACTTTTTTCTTCTTCGTGATTTCCCGATTTTTCGTGTGATTTTCCTCCTCCTCCAAGGTTTTCACTTATAAATGCTTCAGCACTATCTACTTGTAAGGCTGTTTTTGTTTCCCCAATACTTTTGTGATCATTGTTATCTTCATTTCCTTTCGTAACATCACTTGTGTTCTTTGATTCTTTCTGAAATTGTTTCATATCGACCTCATCTCCAATAACATCTTTTGCTTTCGATTCTATGTCTTGATCTTTTGATTGCATTGATACTATCGATACATCTTCATTAGAATCATCAATTTGTGATTTCGTTACTCCAATTTCTAGATACTTAGTATTTTCTTCTACTTCGAAACTTTGACTGTTGACAACTGAATCTACTTTGCTGCTAACTGTACCTCCATCATTCAAGGTATTTGTTTCATCTTTATTGGCTTCATCTGCAACTTTATCGACTCCTAATTCATTTATTTTTTCTTGAATTCCAATTGCATTCTTCCTTGATCCACTTCTGTCCTTCATTGGACTCCTAGGACTATCATTCTTCTTCGGTTCTTTTCTGACAGTGATGTCACGTGATCTCTCATTGGAAACGCTTCTGGATAGCTGTTTTCTCGCAACCAAGCTCTGGTTCTCCAGAATGGTTTGCGGGCCAGCGTTCTTTCTCTTGTTCTTCGGTTCATTCCTGTTGAACAACCTAGGTTTTTGGGAGATGATAGGAGATTCGAGTTTTTTATTCGGTGATTCCCCCCGGATGCTGAATTGTCGGGACAGTTGCTTGGTGGCAGATTGCACGGGTATTTTCGTGTGGAAGCGTTTTTCACGTTGGTCTTTGAGTGACTGTGCGCTGCTCATTGTTTTCACTGAAAACAAAGGGATTTTGGAAGATCTCTATTATTTATATACCTATGTATTTCAGGGCTGTGAAGAGTGTTTTCATACCTTTAAGTTGGCCTCTATCTCTGTGAGTGAGGAGTTGTGAGAAATATTTAGCGGCGAAGAGGTAGATGTCGTCAGGTTTCCTGACCAGGACTTCTTTTACTAGTCCTTCCATCAGTTCTTCAAGGCCAACAGGTACGCTGACTCTTTTGACTATCATTTCGCCAGTGCCAATGCCCGTTTCAGGATCCATTACTGCAAGAAACGATGTTTGCACGAAACGAAACGAAGATAGTTGTAGGGCATTTCAATTTCAAGCAGTGATAAGCACAGATCTCAATAAATAACCAGTAAAAAGAAGTTTTAAATGTTGAAAGCTACTGTTTCGTGATACATATTGTAATTGTGTTATACATGACTGTGTAGGGAATTTTTAACCCTATTGGATATCAAAAGGAAATATGGCGACCATTAGAAAAACAGAAGTTGCATAGTAGGTATATATTTCTTGATCTAATAATGATGGAATGTTTAACCGAAAATGAGTATAATGACCTTTATTTTCTTATTCTAAACGGGACACCCGCGCGGTATATTTTTACTTATTTCGATAGAAAATAACTTTGAGAGTACAACGATACCACTTTTGATATTTATCATCCTGAAATTTTCATTATCTAGAGTGCCATGAATGAATTGAGACAGTTAATTTTGAATCAAGTTGCCAAGCAAAAATATTTAGTTTCGATGAAGTATTACTTTCTATTTGTTTCATAGGTTGATTTGAAATTTACAATATCGGAATAATTATGATGTTAGCTCATTTTTTTCAAATGGAACAGGGGTGGCTCATTACCATATCTGAGAAGGGAATTTTGTTACGAACACGCGTTGATACCACATAATAGATATTTTGAACCAATATCCAGTATCATAATCACTCTAGATTGAAAATTGAAAAATGAAAATATCAGGCTGATAAATGTCAAAAAGTGGTAAATGGGGTGTCATTGTACTCATAATGTTATTCTCTTTCGAAATAAGTTGATATTTACCGGGTGTCCCATTTAAAATAAGAAAATAAGGGCCATTTCCGGCCAAACCAGAAGCACTGACAAGAAACAATTGAATACATCTAATGATGCATATTCATGAACTATTCTCACACACCGAATTTCATTTGTTTATCTGTAGAAATAAAAAAGCTATAGGGGTGAGCCACTTTTGAGAAACGCCCGGTAGGTATATTGGAGGGCCATTTCAATCTTTCATTTTATCGATTTGTTTTCAGATTCAGTTCAAGGAAACACGAGTATTGATCATGGTCTGGAATTATAAGAATTTGCATGAAATAAAACGATAAAATCATATTTTCAGATTTTCGAAACTGACGATTGGTTGTACAAACATTTATTCGGTTCCTGCCAATCAAAATATTTGGCACGACGAAAATATTCCACATTATGAATACCTACATGCCTACACCGTACTTGTACGGGGTGTAACACACAAAGTATGGGACATACCTATACCTATGAATTAATTCATTCAATTTTTAAAATATGGTACATACATATTTGTGTAACAACCAGGTGCTCTATAGGAACAGGACGTGGAAAATGTTAGGTTAGTGAGCATATCAACAATAATAATAGCGATCATTTATACCTCTCCATACTACACTGTGTTTGACTTGATAATCAAATAGAAGTGAACAATATCGTTGTTTGAGGCAAAAAACTATTGCTTGCCGTGATTATTCAAAAACAAGTTATCCATCCCGAGAATAACGAATGATCTACAGATCAATAAGCAAGTATGTAAATCTTGAAGGCTTCCCTGATCAAAACAAAAATACTTAACTGAGATGTTTATAATTCCTATACTTAAATAAAATAAGGTGTATTTATATCTCCAGCATGGGTATGAAATGCCAAATATGCCGAAATCGGAAACAAATCAGGTATGCGTCCCGACCCAAATAATCAACCGTAACAAAGTTGTTTATTCTTGATGACGTCTATAGTACATTCTTTTTAGTTCCTAGGAGCTAAAGCTCAACTTTAGCTCATAGGAACTAAAGTTATTCAACATCAGCTCCTAGGAACTAAAGTTCAACTTTAGCTCCTAGGAACTAAATATGTTGCCTAGCAACATACTTATTCTTGTGCCAGTAATAGAAACGTCAATTCGAGAGCTAATTTTGGTATTAAAATGGACGACTTTTGTGTCGGTTGCAGAAAAAACATATTCACCCTATCACATAAAATGAATGATGGTCGCAGAGTCTTAATTTTGACCCATATCACACCCAATATCATTGAATTCGTGATAATATATTCCTCATTCCAATATGTAGGTAATTTATGAGATCGATTTTGAGAATTTGGGGAAAGTGCGTGGTTTTATTTCTACAAAAATGCGTATTAGAAAAATTAATTGACATTATCGTGTGTAAATTATACCTACAACTTAAAATCTTATATCGACACTAAAACCTTACCTTTATAACTCAGCTGTTCTGGGTGCTACAATATAGTACTTTTGGTCAGTTATTGTGGTGGCTATTAGAATTCAACTGAAGGGTGAATAAAGGGATGAAATGAGGGTTCATTCTAATATCGTTTCTTTTTGTCACGCAATTTCTGAATTAGATTAGGATAGTCTTCAGTTCATGGAAATGCTTGTGTTGCTATGGTGAGCAGAAAATATGGATACAAACATGGTATAAGACGGAAGGTATATATATAGGGTGATTCATTTTTTTCGCACAAATTTTTCATATTTCATTAGGTGAGTGTATTACCACAAAATACTCAACAATGGGCTCATATCACAAAAAAAAAGTATTCCATTATTCGATAGAACTCACCCAAACTATAGCTCACCACCGCAAACCGTTTCTTGCTGTGAGCTTCCTACGTTTTATAAAAAATTATTGAAATCCCCGATTTTTCGGACCTCTGAAAATACTGAAACGAGACTATTCCAGACAGAGATGAATGATACATGATTTCTGACAGAGTGAATTAGCGCGAGATCACACAAGTCACAGTTGAAAGAATTAATATATCAGTTCCGTTTTCAGAAGATACCTACTATTATTTATGTCCAAAAATAAAACATTCCAGTTAATTTTTCGATCGAATTATGTCGTCAATCATTATTTATGTATAAAAGGATCATTATAAACATATTGTTGAGTATTCTGTGTGTTTCAATGAAGCTATGTGAATGAGCTCTTTGAAGGAGACCCATATGTTATTCTTTCATCGATGTGAATTATAATAATTCATATTGGTCTATATGTCGATTGGTTTGTCGAAATATAATAATAATTTCATTAGTATTGATTTGAATATATTAAGATGAAAATTGATAGATGAATACTCATCAGGGCGGCTAAACTATTGTTGTATGCTCATCTTCGTCTGCATGCATGGTGTGTGCATATGCAACTTGCATAATTGCCTGCCCTGGCACGCCACTGGCAATTTTATTACTTTCATGCTTTCACTAAGCTCTCTACTGTGCCTTGGGTCACGTCAGTTTGCATCGAGAGACCCTAGGTGGCACTAGACAGCAACACAAGAGTTCATAAAAAAATAAGAAGAAGAGAAGAAGAAGATGTTTGGTTATAAAATACATTTCTTTGAATTATTTGCTAATATTTTTCCAAGGAAAGAGATGTAAAAATGGAGACTGAGCCATCTCAAAACGATGTAGAGACTAGATTACTTGATCTGGCAAAATCACAACCCAACGGTGTTTCCAACGATGACGTGAAAGCCCATTTATCAGATGTTCCCCTACCGGAACTCACAGCCATAATCAACAAATGTTTGAAAAATGGGTAAGTAATAAACAATCAGAACATTTTCGAATGCATGGCATGTAACATTGTGACTTCTCCAGTCTATTCGATCTCTTCAAATTGAAGAACACCCTCTTTTACAAGTACAAAGACCCCTCAAAAAAGACTACAACCAAGGGGGCCGATACAGAAGAAAGAGTGGTATACAAGATCATTGAAGAAGCAGGCAACAAAGGGATATGGATTCGAGACATTAGGTTTGCTTCAAACCTGAACATGACACAGCTGAACAAAGTTCTGAAGAGTTTGGAAACTAAGAAAATTATTAAAGCTGTGAAATCTGTCTCTGTAAGTAAACTTTGCTTGCCCAACTTCTTATTTATCTTTAGTGACACCTTAGGTATGGTGAATTGAAATGTTCCAGGCTAGCAAAAAAAAAGTCTATATGCTGTTTGACTTAGAGCCAGACAGTACAGTGACAGGGGGAGCCTGGTACCAAGACCAAGATTTTGAATCTGAATTCGTGGATGTTCTGAGCCAGCAGTGCCACCGCTTCCTAGTGGAAAAATGGGAAGAAGCTAATCAGAAAAGTGGTGGGCCTCTGGCAGTCAGAAATCGGAGCTATGCCACAGCCAGTGACGTCCACAAATTCATTTCTGAGCTTGGTATCAGCAAAGTTGCATTGACCATCAAAGACATAGAAAGCATTCTGTTCACTGTGGTGTTGGATAATAATGCTGAGAGGATAGTGAAGACAGATGGGTCCTATTTGTATAAGGCAGTGAAAGGGTTTTTGCCTGCCCCTGGTTTGGTGAAGACTACTTGTGGAATTTGCCCAGTTGTGAATAGGTGTGCAGATACAGGGCATATCAATCCTAAGGACTGTTCTTATTTTGCAGAGTGGTTGAACCAATAAATAGGGTTTGTATATTTTTTCATTATGTTTTTTTAAATCTCATCCATGATTACCAAAATTCATTTGACACATAATGTGTGGTTTTTATTTGTCTTATAGATTGCCATTTTTGCTACAAAATCATAATTATGTGGAAAAGTGGCACAATATATTATAATCAGCAATGATGTAGTCCAAAATTCATCTTCAGAATTCAATGATATTTTTTTCATCTTATTTGTTTTTATTCAATGTGTGAAAAATTTGTTTCAATGGCCTGAATTTGTCTGAAGTCATAAACCTATTAATAATAGGTCTATGTCTGAAGCAATGTAAATAAAAGTCAACTCACCCTGTACACATATATTTTTAATAACATTAAAACCATAACACAGATATGAGACTCCTTGAAAATTCCAAGGAAAATTCAGATAAGATATAATTATGTTCTCTTTGATGCTTGAATAGGTACTTCCCAAATTCAAAAAGGTATATTTGGTTAAATAACTTGAAGAAAAAAAGGAATTTAATGAATGAATGATTTTCTTCAAAGATCCTACAGTTTTTCAATTCCTAATAAAACCTTCTGCTGACTTGAGAACTGAGTCAGTTACAATTATGATTTTCAAAAAAATTGAAAATTATAAATATTGAAAATTTCAAAAATATCAAATACAATACTGAATGGAATTACCTTCTAAAACTACTCATTAACACATTGTGAGAATTGCTGGTGATGAAAAATTTCAGGAGGTGGGAAATATAGTGATAATTTGGTTTCATTTGGAATTTGACAGTAATTATTATTGCTTCATAAGAGAATATTATTTTCGTTTGTTTATTATTTCCTCAACCTTTTTACAAATCCATATATTATCTTAAAAGTCAAGGATATTGCTAGAAGAACAACTTTTTTTATAGTAATAATAGATTCAAAATTCTACAGATTTACTTAGGAGGTTTGGGTAAATTTTCTAAAAAATGTAGAACTGAGTTTCACTCATAAACTTGAACATGAATATATTCAAATACATAAACACTTTTCCAAATCATAAAATTGAAACTAATTGAATAAAACACAATTATTATTAACAGTGGCCTTTCAAAATGATCTGATACTTATTCCAATCTACATCAAATAAATTCTCAACTTTGTCCTAATTCAACCATCTTCCTATCTCCTACAGTTTCGGATATCCCAATGACAGTCCTTGAATTTGAATTACCTGGACGAGGTCAAATTAAAAGATTGAGAAAAAACTAAATGCAAAAGTTTTAAGGTTCTTTCCAAATTATCCTTTGGTGGTGTCAAAACAAATGAACACTGATTAGTGTAGCTTTGTTTCTTGCTGGGCAATTCTGGCTTTGGCGATGCCAGCCTTGGATCATCCAACCCTTTTCTACCTTGAATGAGAGAGAGGAAAGTTCTTTCCTCTTCCATCTTTCTCTTCAATGCTACCAACGCGGCCGCATTGAAATATAGAAAGGTCCGATAAATCTTTCCTTGTCTAACCTCTAGTCTGCGCCACTGAACTATTTCCAATGTTATAATTGGCCTGTTCCTTTGTGCTTGCTTCACCTGCTAAAATTGTTTTTTTCTGACTTTCTCTGTTCACATCATGCCATGAACAGAGACAACTATGGAAAAAAATCTACTTTAGCAAGTTCAGCAATACAAATTAACAGGCTTTATGATATCTTTTCCTTCTGAACTAACTGACATATTTCACTTGGACTGAACTGAATCAGTTAACATGCATTCTAAATAATAATCTGATTCTTTGGAAAGAACACAATAACTGATTCAGGTTTAGTTCTAGTGAGTATCTCAGTTATGTCATGAATGTCATGGGTTGCATGCCAGAACTGTCAGATGACCGACCCTGGAGGTAAAACATTGAAACACAACCTCACTCTTCTTGTTTGTTTACAAGTGATTGGAATAGTTTTTCACAATTATTTTGGCATACGAATCGTGTTTTTCGGCTATTCATTAATTTGCGCATGCCATCACATTGTGCTGGTGAACAATGCACAGAAAATGCAGCGGGAGACGAAGGAATCCGGTTGGTACATTATAATTTAAAAGTAAGTACCTCCTATAGTCAGTCACATATAGTTGAAATTTGGTAGTTTCTCTGATTTCTCATCAGAATTACTTCTGCAATAGGAGCTAATAGAAATACTCGTGATATTTCTAGAATAATGCAAGAAGATTGGATTCATGCAATCAAACGGGAGGACTAGTGTCACATGATGACCAAATATGATCGTATGTATTGTAGACATTTTCAATCTATTAGCAGTATTAGCTTTTATTGCAGAAGTGGCAGGAGGAATTTTAATGAGAAATGACAAAATGTCATAATGGAAACTATGTGAGATTGCTATTTACCTAAAGAATCATATTCCTTCGTTTCTCACTGCATTTTTTGTGCATTGTACAACAGCACAATGAGAAGGCTTGAATTAATGAATAGCGCAAAAACACGATTCGTATGCCAAAATATTGTGAAAAACTATTTGAATCCCTTGATTCCTCTGTGAACAAACAAAAAAAGTGAGGTTGTTATATTGTTTTACGTGTTTTACAGAAAAGTGAGGTTATGTTTCAATATTTTACCTCCAAGGTCGGTCATCGTGCAAGGATTATCTCTCCTTGGTCATCGTGCACGCGACCTAACCTAACCTTTCAAATTTTTTTAATGAAATTACTAGTTATAATTATATCATACTTATTTTGAGATATTTTGTTAATATCTATAATTTGCCACTCTGCTGAATTCAAAAATTGTTCAATGGCACAAACTAGATGTTAGACAAGGACAGATTTATCGGACCTTTCTATATTTCAATGCAACGTTGGTAGTATTGAAGAGAAAGATGGAAGAGGAGAGAACTTCCCTGTATCTCTCTCCTTCAATACAGAAAAGAGCTGAATTCACATTGACCAGCATTATCATCTTCACGTTTCATCGCTAGCATCGTCAGAGTCAAAATCGCTCAGCAAGAAACAAAGCTTCAGGCAATTGAAAAATTGACTTTCTGAGAAGATACTAAAACATATCTTGAAAAAATCAGTTGAAAAGCCAATTTGACTTAGGTCTCGATGTACAGGGTGCTTCACCATAAATGTCGCCCCCCTCTAGCTCACTCATTGTTGAAACGACTTCAAAAGAAAAATCATCTGAAATGATTGTTCAGAAATTTTCATCTACTACATCATAACATACAAGGTGCTCGAAACAAACGATCTACAAGGTGATAGTTGACTTTTTCAAATGGAACACCTTGTATTTCATTGCATTTTCAGGTTCTTCCTGAAGAGCTGATTCCATTAATGCATCATACTTCGGGTCTAGTGGGAATGGTTACAGAGATATAGGGTGTTCAAAATCCAGATTTTTCAATTTTAGGATTTTTTTGTTATCTTAACTATTCATTATTGGTCAAAACGACTTAACATCTTAACTTTTGATCAACTATCTACTGACGTTTAATTGGAATAATACAAAATTCTGATCACCCTGTATCAAATTTCAGTAGATAGGAACCCAAAAGTTAAGATAGGGACATGCAAGCCATTTTGATTTATAATCAATAGTTTCCACACAAAAAATCCTGAAGTTGAAAAATCTCGATTTTGAACACCCTGTATGTTTTGATGAAATCAGCTCTTCAGGGACAATCTAAAAATGCAATGAAATATAGGGTGAATGTGTGAATGAAGTCTGAATTCAGAGAAAAGTCTGAATTATTCAAATGATGAAGTCTTAATTCAAAGAAAAAAGTCTGAATTAAGAGGAAAAAAGCCTCAATTCAAAGATAAAAGTCTAAATTCATGAAAAGAGTCTGAATGCAAAGAATAAGGTATATAATCAATGTATTCAATGAATGAAGTCTGAATTCAGAGAAAAAGTCTGAATTATTCAAAGAATAAAGTCTGATTTCAAAGAAAAAGTCTGAATTTGAAGAAATAAAGTCTGAATATTTAAAGGAGAAAGTTTGAAAAAACACTGAATTCAAAGAATGAAGTCTGAATTCAAAGAAAAAAGACCGAATTAAACGAGTCTGATGAATTCAAAGAAAGCAGTCTGACTTCAGAGACTGAAATGAGAAGTCAAAGAGAAAAGTCAGAATTAACAAAATGTCTGGATTCATAGAAAACAGTCTGAAATTCAAGGAAAACAGTCTGAATTCGATGAAAATGGTTGAATTCGGAAAAGAACGTCTGAATTCAGAGTAAGAAGAAGAAGAAGACAAAAATCTTGATTCGAAGAAAGAAGTCTGAATAAAAATAAAATACATAACACTACATGCTATATTTGAGATTTCTCAAAATTTGTTAGTTCTTATATGTCCTAATAAAACGATTGAAAGGAAAACCCCTGCAAGCAATTTTGATTTATAATCAATAGTTTCCACACAAAAAATCCTAAAGTTGAAAAATCTCCATTTTGAACACCCTGTATCTCTGTAATCATTCCCGCTAGACCGAAAGTGTGATGTTTTGATGAAATCAGCTCTTCAGGGACAATCTAAAAATGCAATGAAATATAGGGTGTTTCATTTAAAAAAATCAACTAGTACCTTGTAGATCATTTATTCCAAGCACCCGGTGTATTTTCTGATATAGTGGGAACTAAATTTATCAAACAAACGACTTTTCAAATTTTGGGATCGGTAAAAAAATAACTGAGTTGAAAGGGGATGGCGGCATTTATGGTGAATCACCCTGTACCTATCTGGAAACTTATAACTCTATACTTGATTATCGAAACTTGAGACTCAAAACCGCTACATAAATCCAACATCAAAACAACCGCCCCCGTTCAATCCTTCATGGACAGCACTGACCACCCCAGCACCCGCCTATCGAAGCCGGCGGTGAACAAATTCACCCCGAAAGTGCCCTCGTCGCTCCACGCCACCCCTGCCACCATCCTGGCGTGGCCTTGTCTGGTGGACCGAGGCAGTCTGGCCAGCCGCTGGCCCGCCAGGTCGAAAAGTCTGTCGAAAAAATTATGAAAATTGTTTTTGCTTCGAGTAATTGAAAGTTTTTTCCGCCCCCGTATATTCCTTTTCGAATTCATTCCAATTGGCTGGCTCACATTGTATACAGAAAGTCTGAATTCAGAGGATAAACGTCATAATTTGAAGGAAAAAGTATGAATTCAAAGAATGTAGTCTGGGTTCAGTAAAAAGTCTGAATTAAAAGAATGAAGTCTGAATTCAGTGAACAGTCTGAATTATTCAAAGAATGAAGTCTAAATTCAAAGAAAGAGTCTGTGTCTGTGACCAGAAAAAACATCACGAATTCAAAGAATGACGTCTGAGTTCAGTAAAAAGTCTGAATTATTAAAAGAATGAAATCTGAATTCAAAGAGGGAGTCTGAAATCAGAAAAAAAGTCGGAATTCAAAGAAGAAAATCTGAATTCAAAGAATGAAGTCTGAATTCAGTAAACAGTCTGAATTATTCAAAGAATGAAGTCTGAAATCAAAGAAAGAGTCTGTGTCTGTGACCAGAAAAAACATTACGAATTCAAAGAATGACGTCTGAGTTCAGTAAAAAGTCTGAATTATTTAAAGAATGAAATCTGAATTCAAAGAGAGAGTCTGTAATCAGAAAAAGCATTCTCAATTCAAAGAATGAAGTATGAATTCAAAGAAAAGAGTCTGTAATCATAAAAAAGTCTGAATTCAAAGAAGAAAGTCTGGATTCAAAGAATGAAGTCTGAATTCAGTAAACAGTCTGAATTATTCAGAGAATGAAGTCTGAATTCAAGAAAAGAGTCTGTGACGAGAAAAAACATTCCGAATTCAAAGAATGAAGTCTGAATTCAGAAAGAAATCTAAATTATTCAAAAAACGAAGTCTGATGTCAAAATAAGTCTAAATTCAAAGAAAAGAGTCTGAATGCAAAGAAAAAGGTCTGTAATCAGAGAAAACAGTCTGGCATGTTCAATGAATGAAGTCTGAATTCAGAGGAAAATCTGAATTATTCAAATGATGAAGTCTTAATTCAAAGAATGAAGTCTGAATTCAGAAAAAAAGTCTGAATAATTCAAAGAACTCAGTCTGAACTCAAAGAAAAAAGTCTGAATTAAGAGGAAAAAAGCCTTAATTCAAAGAAAAAAGTCTGAGTTAAGAGGGAAAAAGCCTTACATCAAAGAAAAAATCTGAATTAAGAGGAAAAAAGCCTTAATTCAAAGAAAAAAGTCTAAATTCAATGAAAAAAGTCTAAATTCATGAAAAGTGTCTGAATGCAAAGAATGGGGAATATAATCAATGTATTCAATGAATGAAGTCTGAATTCAGAGAAAAAGTCTGAATTCTTCAAATAAAGTCTAAATTCAAAGAAAAAGTCTGAATTTGAAGAAACAAAGTCTGAATTTGAAGGAGAAAGTTTGAAAAAAGACAATTCAAAGAATGAAGTCTGAATTCAAAGAAAAAAGACTGAATTCAAAGAGTCTGATGAATTCAAAGAAAACAGTTTCAGAGACTGAAATGTCAAGTCAAAGAGAAAAGTCAGAATAAACAAAATGTCTGCATTCAGAGAAAACAGTCTGAAATTCAAGGAAAGCAGTCTGAATTCGATGAAAATGTTTGAATTCGGAAAAGAACGTCTGAATTCAGAGTAAGAAGTCTGAATTCAAAGAAAAAAGTCCGAATTCAAAGACAAAAATGCTTTGTTCGAGATTGCCCAAAAATGTCACTAGAACAATTTGTTAGTTCTTATATGTCCTAATAAAACGATTGAAAGGAAAACCCCTAACCTAAGAGACACTGACCTGATGTGTCGGTTGTCGTGCGGTATAGCAATCACCCCGTTACTGGACACGCTCAACCGGTTGACGGCCGAGTCCACCCTGATGGTGGCGACGGGCGATCGCATGTTGCGCAAGTCCCACACTTTGACGCTGCGGTCATCGGAACCGGAGACGACTTTGTCTTCGCGCGTGAACACCGCTGACGTCACGCTCCTACGAAATAAGACAAAAGTGAAAATTGGGATGTTCCAAGAATAGTTTCAACGAAATTTCTGTTCTATATAAGTTTAATATACAAATCAGCTGTATAAAGATACGCTGTATAAAGATACGAACACATTTTCTTTGGAACAGCACTATTTGATCAATAACTCTCAAAATTTCCTAGGGTTGAGTGGAAGAGCAGCTGTCGATTTATCGGCGAGTTGAACTCTGCCTTTTGTTTCATTGAGACAATAAAAGCATTTATTATTATTATTATTATTATATCATCTACAAAAAGCTCAAATCAAATTTGATATTAATTAGGAATTCCCAAATTCATGCAGATCACACTAGACAATAACTTGTTTCATCTTGAAGCTGCAATTATTTGGACAAGACAAGTTTATTCATGAGGCGATTTCGAAATTCAACAAAAAAAGAGTTTTCCATTTCTTCTCATTTCCAGTGTTGCCAACATAAGATTTTCATCATTTTATTTCACAACACTGAAGACAAGGACATGGGGAAGATATTTTTTCCTCCCTCAATTCTAGCTGAATTGCTCTCCCTGAAAAACTGAAATGTTGGTAACATTGGAAATGGGAAAAAATAGAGAAGAAGGTCATATTAACCTCAATATGAAAACAGGTTAGAATAGCCTTCTTCTCCATTTCTTCTCATTTCCAGTGTTGCCAGCATAAAATTTTCATTATTTTATGTTGCAACACTGAGGACATTTTATCTTCCTTCCTCAACCCTAGCCGAATTGCTCTCTATTGAACTTACTCTTCATGTCCCTGAAGAACTGAAATGTTGGTAACATCGGAAACGGGAAAAAAATGGGGAAGATCGTATTAACCTCAATATAAAAACAGGTTAGAATAGTCTTCTTCTCCATTTCTTATTTCCAGTGTTGCCAACATAAAATTTTCATTATTTTATGTTGCAAGACTGAAGACAAGGACAGATGGGGAAGACATTTTTTTCTCCTCCCTCAACCCTAGCTGAATTGCTCTCTATTGAACTTACTCTTCATGTCCCTGAAGAACTGAAATGTTGGTAGCATTGGAAATGGAAAAAAAAGAGAAGATCATATTAACCTCGATATAAAAACAGGTTAGAATATTCTTCTTCTCCATTTCTTCTCATTTCCAGTGTTGCCAGCATTGACAGATGGGGAAGACATTTTTTTTTTCTCCCTCAACGCTACCTGAATTGCTCTGTATTGAACTTATTACTCTTCATGTCCCTGAAAAACTGAAATGTTGGTAACATTGGAAGTGGCATAAATGGAGAAGAAGATCATATTAACCTCAATATAAAGAAAGGTTAGAATAGTCTTCTTCTCCATCTCTTCTCATTTCCAGTGTTGCCAGCATAGACAGATGGGGAAGACATTTTTTTTCTCTCTCAACACTACTGCTCTCTAGTCTCTCTAGTCTCTATTGAGCTCTCTACTGTGATTGAACTTACTCTGCATGCCCCTGAAAAACTGAAACTGAATGAACTGTCTCCCTGAAATCCCACAGCCTGAATGTGGTGTCTCTAGATGAGGTTACTGCAAGTTTCTGAGACGGATGAGTAGCCGTGTGGTTCAATTCTTGATCGTGCCCTGAAAAAAAAAAAAATCACCTTAGACAAAATATTCAACATTTACAATCAGATCACTCAATACCTGTCAAAGTTGTGACTATAGACCCAGTTTCAACATCATGCAAGACTGCCAACCTATCCCAAGAGGCTGTGATGACTTGATCAGCCCCAGCTAGCCATTCGGCGGCAGAAACTGCCCCCGTGTGGCCTGACAACTCTAGAAATGGGGTTCGCAGGGTGGATATTTTGTTAGTCTCGGTCTTTTCATCTGGTTCCTCGCCTTCTAGTTCTTCCTCAGAAGATTGTCCCTTCTACAAGAAAAAAAAAGGGTGTTAATTTTTTTCTTGTACAGTGTCATTGAAGATCAATCCTAAAGGACCATGTTTTGGGCTCATATAAGCCCATCATCAGCCAATATACAGTGTGTCCCACTTACCATGCTCACCATGGGTATCTCTATAACGGTGAGAGATACGAGGTCGGTTGAATGACACCAAATGTGGAGTTTGTCAAGGCCAACTTTAATGTGAAAAAATATTTTGATAAAATCTATTCGTTTTTGTTTTATACGCAAAAAACAGATTTTGATCATTTTCATGTCTCCTCCGTAACTTCTTTATTTATGAAAATATTCAAATAGGAATTTTACATTCTCATGGCAGTTTTTCAAAATGATTTCGAAAAAAATATGAAATTTACACCAACTCTTCTAGAATTTGAGATAACAGCACCAACTTTAGTTTTTCAAATGTAGGTCATAGCTCACTATGACTTGGTTACAAATAACTTTTTTTTCTCTTGTAGATGATGTGTCGCATTAATAGTTTTGTGTTGATAACAACGGAGTTATCCTCATATTTATACAAAAACAAAAAATGATTTGGATGCCGCTATCTTGAATTCATAAATTTTAACAAAAAAATCATGATCTCCGACCTCAAAATCCCCCACTTACCAATTTTGAATGTAATCGGACCAAATCTTGTCCGCCATCTTGGAGCAGCCATTTTTTTTATTTCAGCGAAAATTCCATAACTTCGATTAAATTGAAATTTGGCAGGTGTTCATAATTTCGGTGACAATTGATTATGGAATTTTTGTTGAAATTAAAAAAAATGGCTGCTCCAAGATGGCGGACAAGATTTGGTCCGATTACATTCAAAATTGGTAAGTGGGGGACTCTGAGGTCGGAGATCATGATTTTTTTGTTAAAATTTATGTTCAAGATGGCGGCATCCAGATCATTTTTTGTTTTTGTATAAATGACGATTACTCCATTGTTATCAACACAAAACTATTAATGCGACATATCATCTGTAAGAGAAAAAAAGTTATTTGTAACCAAGTCATAGTGAGCTATGTCCTACATTTGAAAAACTAAAGTTGGTGCTGTTATCTCAAATTCTAGAAGAGTTGGTATAAATTTCATATTTTTTTCGAAATCATTTTGAAAAACTGCCATGAGAATGTGAAATTCCTATTTGAATATTTTCATAAATAAAGAAGTTATGGAGGAGACATGAAAATGATCAAAATCTGTTTTTTGCGTATACAACAAAAACGAATAGATTTTATCAAAATATTTTTTCATATTATAGTTGGCCTTGACAAACTCCACATTTGGTGTCATTTAACCGACCTCGTATCTCTCACCGATTAAAAGATACCCATGGTGAGCATGATAAGTGGGACACACTGTATAGAAAGAATCATAGTTATGGAAATGAAAAAAGTAGACATTCAAATAGTATTGTTAATAACAGTGCAAACAGGGAAATATGCTCCATGATTGTTAATTTGGTCAGTTAATGAGCAATGTGAAAATTGATTTTTCGGAATACTTTTTTCCAGTCCTTCTTATTTTTTAAATTAACCACCCAATGGAGCAATTTCAGACAGAGGTAATAAGTTGCTTTAATAACTCAGCTTATTTTGACCTTGTGCTAAGATTGTGTACCGACCTTTCAAGGACACCCTGTATATATTTTTTGTTATACCTAGATTTCAAAATATTTGTCTATTATTAATACTGGACTTACAAACGCCCAACTAAACTAGGAATTAACAATTAAATTAAGAATTCCCGAAGCTGACTTGTTGATTGATTGGAGTAGACCTGCAATCAGCTTCCAAGAGATTCTTAATTCAATTGTTCATGTTTACTAACTGGTATATCCCAATTCAATGCAGCCTGCCAAATGTGTGCTGTAGAATCCCCCCCACCAGTCAACACCAAATCTTTTGAAGGGTGGAATCTTATGGAATTCACTGATCCAGAATGTCCTTGATACTGTAAGAGACATTTTGAGTTTTCTATACTCCATAAACATGCAGTGTGATCTGAAAGAACCAGACATGAAGAAATTGTCATGTTTTGGTATGCTTCACGCATTCACCTGCAGATGCAGTACCAATAACAGGTACAGTGGGTCTAGCAACAGATACCTCCCAAATTCCATCTTTGTGTCCTATGTACTCACGGATGAGCCCACAGGAAAACTGAGGGGCTTTGAAGCTAGAGACTATTTTGCTGGTCTGTGCTTTTAGTTTGTGTGCTGTTTTGTTTTTCTGGGAGGATGAACTCACTTGAAGAAAATATTAGAATGAGAATACCTTTGGGTGAGATGAAATGTACCTAACTTACATTTTTTAGTTAGTACTTTGGACAAATTTGTGTCAAAGTCAACACAGTCTTGCTTATCAAAGGTATCTCTTTCTAGTTTTTCGTTCAATATTTCGATTTTATCATGTACTAGAACAAAAAAGATGTTTTTTAAAATTACCAAGAATCAGTTTTTTAGCCCTCACAGTTCTGATTTTCCTGGTATAGTGAGTCAAACTCTTTCTCGATTTGCCTGAACAAAGCATATAAACGTATTTTGTAGGATGGCGAGACAGATTCGTTTTCAAGATCCGAACGAAAACCCATGTAGAATTCCGAGTCCAAGAGACCACTAGATGGACGGTTCAAAGAGCTTCTTTTCGACTTTTGCATTTTTTCCATAGAAATATTCCAATGAAAAATTACAATGTAGTAAAACGTTTATTCATTGAAATGTTAATTGAGTGATTCGATATCTGAATTATATTTTCATTGTCACGAGAATTATTTTACGAAATTTCACAGAGTACAGTGTACAACTTTACAGTTCTCAATCCCAATATTGAATGTTTGGAATAGGTCGCGTGCAAGAACTGTCAGATGACCGACCCTGGAGGCAAAACATATTTGTTTTCAAGTGATCGAAATAGTTTTCCACAATTATTTTGGCATATGAATCGTATTTTTCCGCTATTCATCAATTCGCTAATGCCATCACATTGTGCTGTTGTAAAATGCACGAGAACTGCAGCGGAAGATGAAGAAATCCGGATGGTACATTATGATTCAAAAGTAAGTACCTACTATAGTCACTCACATAGTTTTCATTCTTGAAATTTTGTTATTTCTCTGATTTCTCATCGGAATTCCTTCTGCAATAGGATCAGCTTATAGAAATATACCTGAAATTTATAGAATAATGAAAGAAGATTGGATTCATGCAATCAATCGGACTGGTCTGACATGCTGACGATCGTGTGTGTTGTAGACATTTTCAATCTATTAGCATCATTAGCTTGTATTGCAGAAGTGGCAGAAGGCAGAAGGAATTTTAATAAGGAATGACAACATTTCATAATGCTAACTATGTGAGATTACTATTTACCTGAAAAATCATATTCCCTAGTCTCTTGCTGCATTTTTTGTGCATTGTACAACAGCACAATGCGAAGGCATGCTTGAATTAATGAATAAGGCAAGAAACACGATTCGTATGCCAAAATATTGTGAAAAACTATTTCAACCTTTTGATTCCTCTGTAACCAAAAAAAAGAAGTGAGGTTGTGTTTCAATAATTCACAGAAGAATGAGGTTGTGTTTCAATATTTTGCCTCCAGGGTCGGTCTTCGTGCACGCGACCTATATTGATATTGGCAAAAAAAATTATTCGAATTGTCATTAATGACAGATCTGTCATATAGGTTAAATTCGTTTCTCTTCAACTTTTACTACATAATCCTTCCTTACACACGTGAGTATCTAGCCATAAATCATAAATGCTAAATGAACTGCAGTCACGCCACCGCCAGAAGTACCTACTATAAAGTCAAAGTAACCAAAACTGAGACAATCAGAGAAAAGTTGAAGAAATTAACCTGTCCATGTCCTATAATTTTTATCTTTAAGTTCATTATTTTCAACGAAACCCGAACAAAATGAGCCTACAAAATATAATATCGAGACTTAGCAGGTTCTTCTCTATTGTAACATCCTTAATCATACAAATTAATAATGACAATCTTTTAGGATCGCACTTCATGGACCTAATAGAGTTCGAAATATCTCTACTAGCACTATCTTGCAGTTCAGAAGCACTCCTGTCCTTCTGTGAGTTTCAAGTTTCAATTCTAAAGTAGTATACAAGATTACTAAGTTGAATTTCATTACAGAGCTGAACCCTTGAAGAAAAAGAAAAGATTAGATCCTGCTGTTGTCAGAGCAAGGGAAGAAAGAAAGAAAAAGAAGATAGAAAAACAGATTCGGAGACTTGAGAAAAGTGCTAGAACACTTAAACCCATAGATGAGTGTGAGGTTTCAATTGAAATCAAAGATGAACTAGGGTAATACCACAAAAATCAAATTGTTAGTTGCATGTATAATCTTTTGAATATTTTCAAGGAAACGAAAACGTGATCTAGCTGCACTGTCATGTGAATTGTTGGAAAAGAGAGTAGAATTGGAGAAACAATGGTGTCAATACAGAAGGGAACAGCATTTGACTGATATACAGATGCTAGATCGTATCACCAATGCTCAACAGAAAGCCCTAGATGAATTAAAAAAGGAGTCTGAGGAACTCTATCAAGAAGCTATACAGGTAGTGCATGTATAGAATTGAAAATATCTTGAACTCATGTTTCAATTACTTTTTTTTTTTTTTCAGTTTGATTTTCATTTAATGCCATTCAATAGCAAAGGGCCAGTAGAAACTCCTGCTGTTGAAGAATATGATGCTCCTGATGGAGATTATCAAGATATATCCAAGAAATGGTAAACAGGTTCTAAATGTATGATTCACACTTATTTAGTAAATTGGTAGCAATTAAAATTGTGGCATTACTTCAACTTCAGCAGTAAACTCATAAGATGAAATAAAAATCTCCTATAATAAACAGTCTATTCTATAATTATTTAAAAAATCTAATAATACCATAATCATTACTTGAGAATATAATCTTTAGGATAATCAAAAATTTTGGGGAACTGTTTCACTTGATTTTCTGAATAGTGATCTAGTCTCTTTGGTTTTGCCTTCAATTGCTGTATCTGATTGGAAACATTCTTCAATAAATTTGTGGGCACATTAGCATCAGGAAAGAGATGTAACCTTTCCATTGTGTATCTCCTCTGTAAATTCCCATCCATACTGTTATAAACTGCCTTTCTGAGTACCTACAAAACTATGAATTGCAAAATCCACCATTTCAAAATAGTTTACAGTACCATTGTGGGATCTTTGCTATGCAATTCCCAAGCTAAGGTCCAGGTAGCCCCACCAGGGTAGCCTGTGTGATGAAAATAAACACGTCTCTTCCACTCGTCCCCAGGTAAAGCAATATCACCACTGTTTATCACAATTACATGGTCTCCACAATCATCTGAAAAAAAAAAATGTCTTGGGAGTAATGGCCAATGAATTGAAGATACAACTTACTCATTGGGTGGTATATTGGCTTATGCAATCCCATGAGATATTTCTTTAAAAGCTCCGCTGACTTGAAGGGGTTCTGCCATGAAGCATCATATATGTGCCAGACTCTCGCAAAAGTTGCCCATTGCTGAAAAGATTTTTGGTAATAACTTCTTTATTATGATGAATGTAGTCCTGAATATTCACCTGGACACGCTTCAAAGCTGACATAATTTGAAATCGATGATCTGCTGTTCGGAAAAAGGTGAGAAGCTGAGAAGAGAATCAGATATTTCTAAATTTTTAAATCCAGAATGGACTCGGGCCCCTGGAAAAATATTTTTGAAAATCAGTACATAACCTCAATTGAACTTCTTCTTCTTCTTTTCGATTTGTATGGCCTTATTGGCCTTAGCTACGTGGGCTATCTGGCCAAACATCAATTGAAGTCAAATAATCGTCTAATTTTTTTTTTTCCAATATTTTAACAATGGATTGAAGGTTTAGATGAATGTCCTCTTGTTGCTGGTAACTAAGGCAATCCAAACCTAAAAGAAGAAGAAGAAGAATGTCCTCTTGTAGGAGTTGTGCATTGAGTTTATGAGAAGAGATGATTTAAAAATAAGAAGAAAATAGAGAAAAAATTGTTGCCAACCAAAAAATCAAATTGCATTGTTGTCAGATGGTTTTATTTGATCATTGCATTCAATTTTAAACTGTCATTTGTGTCATTACTTGCGCAGTGGTTCTTTTGACCTCGATCACTTGAAGTCTTGAAGACGGCTTTGCATAGCAAAATTAAATGGTGCTTCATCGAGTTTTCAAAGTATAAAACCCACGAGTTTCTTCATACATTAAAGTGAATTGTTTTAAGTTATGGATTGTTGAGTTATTAGTTCAAAAATTATGTAATTACGTTGTGTTTGAAAGTGTTGTTTATTGAAATAACAATTTCCCTCCAAATAATCTATTGTGCTTGCCTAGTGAAATTCTACTTCCGATAATATGCCTCTGCTGAAGAAAAAGCCTCTTGAAAAGTATACTATCACAGACTATCTTCGCGATGACGAGGAGGTTTTTTATTGTGAAATCACAGATGAAATATTTCGTGATTATGAGTGAGTATGAAATATTCAGTAAATATGATACCACATTTCTCTACAATTCACTATGATCGTAACGGTTCTTGCAACTGATAGCCAGCCATGCCATGTTGATCTTTTAATTATTCATCAGACTGATCAACCACCTAATCTAATCAATTTTCACAAGTTTTATGAATTTATAGGTTAGGTTAAAGGGACTGTATTACCTAATATTGGGAAATTTATAATTCCAGGGAGTTCTCTGAAAGGATGTTCTTGTACAATTCGATGGTATGGACATGTTCAATGACAGGAAAACAAAATTTGACCTACCAAGAAGCCCTGGAAAGTGAAGAAAATGCAAAACAGAGTCTCAAAGAGTTCCCTGTTGAGCTGCGCTTGCCTATTCTATACTTGGCCAGCAAAACTTTAAGAACTTCTTTTGGTGATATGGCAGAAGATGTGTTTATGTATGTCAAAGACAGGTATTTTATTGGTGAGAACTTAGAAACTTCCTTTACTGGATCCAAGTGGAAGGATTCTCATGTTTTGCAAGTTATTGCACCTCCAGCAGACAAAATTGGGAGTCCCAAAAAATCACAAAAAAATGGGTGAGTCACATAGTGCTACTTCAGAACATAATGGTATACCATGTTTTGATCGATATTTTACAGGAACAACACTGATCGAAACTATTGGCCACCTGCTAACCTATTCAAATATGAAATTGAGCACCTTGATGCAGATGACAATGATATAAGTGAAATAATGATAGTTGACTGCAACCAGATCCGTAGAAAAAAGACATATTTCAATAGAGACAAATGCAAGCTGTTCCTAAAACAGTATGTGGAACATGATAGCACAGGACTTTTTGTGATAAAACCTTCAGTGGTTGAAGATTTTGGATTGGCAAAGATGAAGTTTGATCAAATTTTTGATGGACCTCCTCCAAATTTTGAGGTGTCCAAGAAAAGAGAAAAAACCCAGAATGGTAAAAAGAAATCCAAGCAAGAAACCCTAGCAAAATTCTTGACAAAAAATAATGGGTCCAGCTCTGGAGGTACTAAAGAACCTGTTGCTGGTAAAAAAAATCTTCTGGAGGAAATGAAGAAGAGAGAACAAGAGTTCAAGGTAAAGAAACAGCTGAAGGAGGAGGAGAAATTGGCTTTGAAGAAAAAACATAAGTTGAACAGCATCAAGTTGAATAATGTTGTTAAAGATTGGTTGAAGCAGAAAGAAGATTTGGATTTGGAAGATCAAAAGGTAAATCCAATATTCTCAAGTTTTTTCCAGATATTTATAAAGAAGTTTGAATGGCTTGCATAAATATGATTTCAAGTCAATTACAGGAGAAAAATATTGATGATCAAATAGGTAAGTCTAATATTGAGTGAAATAGAAATTTTAGACATTTCAATGTCAGTACCGTTTCCATAAGCACAAATCCAATAATACACAATATTTGCAATGACTCAAGAAGTTCTAAAAAACTGATAAGCTCTTTTTTATTAATTCTGTACACTTTATTCATAAATATTTTCATGTATTCACTTGATTGGCTTATATAATTTTACAGTTTTTGTGAATTTTTATTGTGTTTTGCTCTGACCCCCTGAAAAAAATGGTACTTCCCTGCTATTTCCATTTTTTATCAGTTTATGTTGATAATTTTGAAATTTCTGTTCAGGTTTCAGACACCTCAGGTAAAATTTGGTATGCCCCTGAAAGTTGCAATTTTCAGGAAGCTGACATAAAAATTTTGAAATTATACCATTTTTCAATTTTTTGCCCCTTCAGAATAATGAAAGTTTGGCAAATTGAGCAATAATAAAGAATCCCAGCTATTTTCTGAGCAGGAATATGTCAATCCTGCTCAAACATTTCTCAAGTCACAATGGAAATGATAGATTGATAGATGATGTTCACTTTGAGTCCTCATATTGTGATGCAATTCCTACCTGGGTGGAAAAGGAAAAATTATATAAAGTATATATTCCTCATGAATTTGAAAAACTCAATATGTACCTGATTTCTTATCCTAACAAAGTTGTGACTTGTTACAATTGCATGTAAAAAGTCACACAAAAGGTTGATGAAGTGTGGAAATGATGGTTACATTTTACAGTAGGATGAAATGAAAAATCACTCTGTATACAGGAAGTGATTGAATTAGTGCGAGAAAAATCAGGGCGGGATTCCTTGTCATATATTCTATAAAAAAAGGTAATATAAACATGTGTACCATCCGAAAATAGTTATTTAAGAACCAAATATGAAAAACTGCATATTATAATCAAGTGTGCAAGTTGATAGCCAGGATAGCAATCAGGGAAACAATAGACAGTTTTCTGCAGAGGTGTATATTACATTTTTTCGTCGACCTTGAACACTTATATCCACATCACAGTCCTATTCATCCTATTCACACATGAAATCTATCAGATTTCGTCAGTAATTAATTTGACAACAGCAAATTACAATTGTCAATGCAGTCTCTCAAAAATTCAGATCTAAATTATGGCTATAGGAATTCCAAGAAAGGATAATGAATTAAACCTATGTGACATCAAATCATTATGTACTTTCAAGTAAACTGAAAAGCATTTTCTGCTGAATATGGAGAGAAAAAAAATCTAGTAAGCTGTAGTATCTGGTCTGCTCAAACATAGAAAATCACCTACAGGTTTCTGTGGCCGATACAGTAGTGCCGCCATACGGTCAACTCGAGGAAACACTTATTTCAATTGTTTTCCTGTCAAACCTACATAACCTTGAAAATCGTAAACGAGTTGAGCAGCTCCCTCAGTGGTGCTCTCGGCAGTCTCAAAATATTTTTCAGTAGGTTATGGAATGTTTTAGTAGATCAGTAGATCAATATGCAAATGAGTTGATCTGCTCCGAATCATAATCTCCGACCCCGGAAACCCCCAGATACCATATTTGAATATAATCGCAGCCTTATTACAAAAAAAGCCATATTGGATCCGCCATCTTGAATTTCCTGATTTTGACGAAAGAATCATAAACCCTGTTCACGAAAATCTCTAGGTACCAATTTTGAATAGTATCGGATTATAATTACAAAACTCGTCTGCCATATTGGTTCCGCCGTCTTGAATTTCTAAATCCCGCCCAAATTTCCAAATTTTGACGAAAGAATCATAGTTTCCGACCCCGAGAACTCCCAGATACCAATTTTGAATATAGTTGGATCATAATAATTACAATACTCGTCTGCCATATTGGATCCGCTATCTTGGATTTCCTACTTTTTACAAAGGAATCATAATCTTCGACCCTGAAAACCTCCAGATACCATATTTGAATAGAATCAGACCATAATTACAAAACTCATCCGCCATATTGGATCCGCCATCTTGAAATTCCTAATGGTACCGGGATAAAAAGTATCCTATATCCTTCTCCTGGTTTTACGCTACCTGCCGACCAATTTTCAGCCAATCAATCAAATCTTTCCTCTTTATAATATTAGTATAGATAAAAAATTCGCGCTTACAAAAGAGAAATTATTCATTCCCGCATTGTACAGGGTGATTCACCATCAAATGTCCCCCTTCCCTCTAGCTTGGTTATTTTTGAACCGATTGCAAAATTTTGAATATCATCTAAAATGATTTTCGATAGAGTTTTTTTCCGCTACATCAGAAAATACATGGTGGAACACCCTATTTTTCATTGTATTTTTAGATCCTCCCTGAAGAGCTGATTTCATCAATGCATCACACTTGGGGTCTAGCGAAAATGATTACGGATTTATAGGGTGTTCAAAATCGAGATTTTTTCAATTTATACAGGGTCATCAGAATTCTGAATCTTGAACCACACTGTATATATTCCAATTAAATATCAGTAGATAGTTAAGTTGAGATAGGGACATTAAAGCCGTTTTGACCAATAATAAATAGTTTCGACACAAAAAAATCCTGAAGTTGAAAAAATTTCGATTTTGAACACCCTTTATCTCTGTAATCTTAATCTTAAAATACAATGAAAAACAGGGTGTTCCATTCGAAAAAATCAAGTAGTACTCTGTAGATCGTTTGTTCCGAGCACCCTGTATTTTCTGATGCAACGGGAAAAACATTCTGAAAAATCATTTTAATGGGTGCGTTTTTCATTCCAACATTTTATCATGCGCATGAATCGAAGTAACCATCAAACAGTTTGGAGGAGATTGACATGACAGTTGACACATTTTAGTGTTGTTTTTTGTTTTGATTCGATAGAAAACAATTAATATTGAGGATTTTTGAGATTCTTGAGAGATTTTAGAAGAAAGAGTCAGTGTTAATCAATAAAGTCGAATCAGCCTTTTCTGATTCTCAAGATACATGATGACTGACACACAACAAAATCCGTGTTTCCATCAATGTGTTGTATAAACCATTGTTCAATCCTTCCAGCATAAATTCCAACAGAACAATTGGTGACGTCACGACAAAAAACCGCATCTATCAGTGCGCACTTTCTTGGATGGAATGAAAAACACGCCCATTTTTCGAATTTTTAAATCGGTTCAAAAATAAGTGAGGTAGAGGGTGGGACATTAATGGTGAATCACCCTGTACAGGTACTACCAGTCCCTATCCCGGTGAAATCCAAAGTGCCCGACGAGCATTTCGGCGACATGCTGATGGTGATGGAGTTCGTCGATTCGTTCTCCAAGCTGCTCTCCACCAAGGACTTCTTTCCCGGCGGCTTCACCATGGAGATCATGGAGAGAGCGCTCACAGAGAACGAGGTCGCCGGACCTCTCACCGACATCATCCAGATGTTCCTCACCGCGCTGTTCAATGCTCAGGACGAGGAGTCGGGGCAGTACAGGACGGCACTCGAAAGTGCAGCCGGTAAGCATATACACCCTGTATATTGTAACTGTTTCACATCAGAGCATTCCAGCACCTCTGGTGTACGCACGTCAATCCTTTCCTGTTTTACAATTCCTTGATTTTCGCCTACTTAGATAAACATAACATGGCGTGGGTGAATGTCGCTAAATTTAGTCTGGTGCCGTACCAAAATTACAGGCATCAATGTGACAATTGTGACCGAATTGTGACCAATGAAGATAGGGAATACATTTTGCGATTTAGCCGCATCAAGGTTGGTAGAACTGATGTTGATCATAAGTTCTAAGAATCACGCCATCTAACATTCGATATGTGAACCCCACGTCATCGTCTGAAATTCAATTGTTTATATCAAGAACCAGTCTGACGAAACAAATGAAGAGTGAGCGCACCAGAGGTTATTCCAGCTAGCGTTGAGAGAACAAAAATGTCTTCCTTATCTGTCCTTGCCATCAGTGTTCCAACATTAAATAATGAAAATTTCATGTTGGCAACACTGGAAATGAGAAGAAATGGAGAAGAAGACCATTCTAACCTTTTTTTATAATAGGCATATTTCATCCAATAAACCTCCCTGAAAGGGAGACGGCCGGTTTCTTGAATAGCACAAAGTAGCAGTTGTGTTACAGTAACCTGTCTCTTTCACACTCGTGTTGTTCAATGGCGGATCAGTGTATTCGCGATAGAAAATAAGCGTATGCCACCTATCGGAGTTCTTGAAAGCTGTCAAAGCGGCATGTTTACATTGGTTCACATTTGTTTTTTGTTTTTGCTTATTGGTCATATCATCAAAACATTGATGGAAGTAAGATATGGTGTAATTACTGATGCGCTTTTGTTTCAGAAATTTTACTCGACCTCTCGAGAACAGCGAGAGCAATGGTTCCGTCGATCTTCTAATAGATGGCGACATTGCACAATTATAACATCTGTCAGTTTTGAAATTGTCGCAGATTTTTCGAATTGAGAGTTGAATAATCCCACTGTTACATATGTTCCGCGTACCTAAAATGCCATTTGCCATTTCATTTCCACTCGTCTCAGCAGCAATAGAAGCATCACCATCTAGCGGGAAAATGTAGGATTAACGTGTCGCTCGTTGTGACGTAGAGAAATCATAGTAGGCGGTCGAGTGATTTTTCTGAAATTTTCAATACGTAATAATGGCCGAATGCGCGCATCATTATCTTACTTCCATCATTATCAAAACCAATGACGGCTAAATATCAAGAAGATATCAAGTAAGCTGCCGACCTGATCTATTTAGCCGTCATTGATCAAAACAAACCGCTCAGAAGTGTTCAAGTTATTGCCGTCAGGTGGGGTGACGTGTTATTTTCTATCGCGAATGAATTGTCTTTTATCCAATGATTGGGGTACTTGAGATTTTTTTTTTTTATCTAAACAGACAAAAAGGTGAAGATAGAACTTTAATGTTTTTTTGTTATGTGGAATATTGCTAAATTTGGCATGTTCTGTTTCTTCAGAAGGACTGAATTTGTTGTTGTGAATTGATTATTGTTGAAAAGATTTGTGATTTCGAATTAATAAACAATGGTTATTTATATTGTGTTGCTTTTGGATGCATAATAAGCAAGGCAAACAGATATTGTCCTCCAAGGGTAAGTTGAAAATTGGGTAAAACTGCATTTATCATGGGATGGTTCATTTTCGAAATTTTTTTTTGGTACTTACGTATTTTTGTCTGAAAAACACGAATTTGATGATGAAAATGTGAAGAAACCATTATTTATTGAGATATTCCACTATGAAGTTACAAATTTTACCTTCTTTTCCGCCTGTCTTTTGGATCGCATTTAGAACAATGTACCCTTCTTTTTTCATCATCGGACAATTTATATATATCACAATGTACTACAAATTTTTTTCTAATATATGAGTCAACTAGAAATATGATTTTCTAGTGAAAAGCAATATGATGACATTTGACATCTCGTATTTGGAATGACTCATTGTTAAATTGCCGTCATCTGGTATGCTTGTTCACAAAATATAAAAAACTCGCCATAAAAATCATGTTTCCTGTTTAATTTTCTATAGAAAAAAGTTTTTATGTCATCGCATCGTCAGATGATGACAGGCTACCGCGAATTCGCCGTAACTGGCCATGTTGTCAAATGCCATCCTTTCATTTAGTATTTAACGATTTGATAAACAATCTGTGTGCACATTTGTGTTCTTGTCTATTGTCTATTTCATACTGATTTGTTGTTTTTTATGGCAAGAAATAAAAGAGGAAGAAGTATCAAACAATCTCAGTCTAACGGACGCCACGCGACTGGCAACATTGGCCTCGAGTTGGAGCAACAGGTACCAAGGACTTCCTCTAGGCAGGTTACCCCTGTATTCTGTCACCGTGTCCGAGATTCTCAGATTGCATCTGCTCTCTTCTGGCGCCCGCATCAACGAGACCGGGGCAAAATGGAGGCAAGTTAAAAATAATGATAATTAGTGTTATATTTCGTTCTTCCCTGCCTTAGCGCTAACGAATTTCTACCAAATTTCCCTTCAACTGATTATTATGTAGTCACAAATATAACCAAAGTCAGGTGTTCAAGTCCAAGGACAATAAGTTTATTTTATATGGCACCACTTCTGAATAATTTTTTCGCGAAAAATCTGACATTAAAGCTCCATTTCAAGTCCTAGGACAAAAAAGAACTTCCAATCCTGGAAACTGAATGTACTGCCAAGCAACGTTGCTGATTGCCTAGCAATACTGTTGGTTGTCTAGAAATCTATTGATATCGCTAAATGCCTGGTTATGCTGCTGATTGACTAGCAACAATGTTCTGCTGATCATCTAAAAATACTGGTGGTTGCCTAGCAACGTTGATGGTTGCCTAGCAAGACAATTGGTTGTCTAACAATCCCGTTGTTTGCCTAGTAACGCTGTTGACTGGCAGTGGTCTGCTGATTGCTCAACAATACTGCAGGTTGCCAAGCAATACTTCTTATTGGCTAGCAATGGTTGCTAGCTCTGTAGCAACGCTGTTGGTTGCCTAGCAACGATCTATTGATTGTCTAGCAGTAACACTGTTGGTTTTCTAACAATGAAGTTATGTGCCAAGCAACTATGCTAATTGCCTAGCAATACTATTGGTTGTCCAACAATCTAAAAATATTGCTGGATGCCTGGTTAAGCTGTTGAATGACTAGCAATGCTCTGCTGATCATTTAAAAATATTGGTGGTTGCCTAGCAACGCTGATGATTGCCTATTAACGCTATTGACTATCTGGCAGTGGTCTGCTGGTTGCTCAACAATACTGTAGTTTGCCTAGCAACACTTCTGATTGGCTAGCACTGATTGCTAGTTCTGTAGCAACAATGTTTCGATGTATTGATTGCCTATCAATAACACTTTTGGTTGTAGCAATATAGTTGTTTCCAAGCAAAGGTGCTGATTGTCTAGCAATACTGTTGGTTGCCTAGCAATCTAAAAATGTTGCTGGATGTCTGGTTAAGCTGCTGATTCACTAGCAATGCTCTGCGGATCATCTAAAAGTACTGGTGGTTGCCTAGCAACGCTGATGATTGTCTAGCAACACTATTCATTACCTGCAAATGCTGTTGGTTGCCTAGTAACGCTGTTGACTGTCTAACAATGCTCTGCTGGTTGCATAACAATACTGCAGGTTGCCTAGCAACTCTCATAATTGGCTTGAAATGGATGTTAGTTTTCCAGTAACGCTTCTGGTTGTCTAGCAACGATCTACTGATTGCCTAGCAACGATCTACTGATTGCTTAGCAATGATCTGCTTAGTAACATTGTTGGTTCTCTAGTCATGCAGTTGTTGGCCAAGCAACCCTGCTGATTGTTTGCCTAACACTGTTGCTAGTTGCCTAGCAACACGACTAGTTGCTTAACAACGATGCCACTCCCATTAGTAATGAAACAGTATACTGGTTTGCTCGTAGGTATGCCCAAAGAGGTGGATATACCAGCGAGGACGATCCAGGATTGCACTTACGTTTGCACCAACCTCACATCCTGAGATCTCTGGGTGTTCACAACGTCGTCCAGCTGCCCATGTGTGACAAGCTGCAGATTTTGTCATGCCTCATCAATCAGCTGTTGACGTACGCCGACGTCAGAGATATAGTCGAGGAGAGATTGGACAAAAGCAAACAGTTGAAGGTTAGTGATCATTTTTTGTAATTTCTCTAACGTTTTATTATGTTCCTTTTCAGTATGGAGTTGCTGATTATTTTGCCAATTGGGCTAATTGTAAGGCCAATCTTGTGAGATGTCATGCAATTAGCTTCAATTGCAAGTATAATCTGTCAATAAAGCAAGCTAGTATGATTTATCTTGCAATTGGATCAATTGTTAGATTTACTTGTCAATTAATTGCTATTGAGATAAATTTAATATGCAAACATTGATGAATTAGAGCTCAATTGAAAGATAAACCTTGCAAATAGGCTAATTGGATCCCCAAAATTGATTCTTAGTCAATTTGGAAATTTTCTTGATTACAAAATTAATCAGGTACTTGCAGTTAGGTTAATCATTTCAATTTAGTTAAATGAAGCATTTATCTAGCAATTGGGCTCAATTTATCGATTGATTCACTAAATCAACCAATGGGGTGATTAATCTTGTAATTAGACTAATCAATTGTGATTGATTTGAATGCAATTTTCATCCAGCAATCAAGCTTAGTTTCCGGATTTAATTGCATATTAAGATCTAATTTTGATACCATTACATGAGACATACACTTGTACATATGCCTTGCTGATTTAGACATCACAAAACAGGCTACAATGCCTAGTGTGAATCTACTCTAGTGAGTCATTCAAATCTCATACAGCTGTCCATTCAACTTACAGAAGTCTCATATATAATTTAGATCTTAGCAAATGGCGTTAATGATTACCACTGTATTCTTTTGTGTAAAGAAAAAATCTTGAATCTTGAATATTGATTTGCAAGATTCACGTTGCAATTTCTTTAATTACAAAGTTGATTATGCAATTTCATCAATTACAAGGTAAGCCAGACACTTGAAATTAGATAAATCCTGTCAATTGAGTAGAATGCAACATTTATCTAGCAATTAGGCTCAGTTTCTAGACGCATTTACCAATAGGCAATTTCACTATGATTGAAAATAGCCCTTTTTATATGGTGAACGATCTCATACATGACTCAGTATATCAAATAGCACTTCCTCTCATCCATTGATTCCTTTACAACCGTTTAATTAATACTTCAAAAGTGATACAAATTGAGAGAGTTACAAATGACCATTTTTAGGCGGTGTGACGTCACTTGTATTTTCTTGAGGCTCCCTCTGACGACCCAAAGAGGATGCATTGCACAAAACCACAGACACAGAAATCGAGCACAGAGTGGTTGGGTGATCTATGACTTGAGAGAAAAATGGCTACAAAACAAACTATAGGAAAAGTAGAAGAAGAAGATTAACCTCGAAATCTAGTTCATTTTCAGTGATCTATGAGTGTCATATTATAGTTTTTATTGAGTGACAAATACAATGACAAATGGTGACAAGACCAATTGACAAGACGAATCACCTAATAAGAATGTCCGTTCGGAGTGTATGACGCGGTGTGACGCACCTTGTATTCGTCCAATGAAATGCCATCAATATTTCGCGCGCATTCGAGCTATCGTTTGAATTTAGGTACAATTTAATATTTTTTTTCTGGATCAACCACAATCATAAGGAAATTGGAAAAATGCTGAATTCACTCAGTATGTGTTCAAAATCGCGAGAAAAAAAATCAAAAAATCATAGTGAAATTCCCTATTGAAGCCTCATTGCATGATTGACCTTATCACAGTTTCCTTGATTGTATTATACTTTCAATTTCTTCTAGTCTGATTTGAAAACGGTTCAAGTGGCAGAGAAAAAACGTGAACAGGAATTCGTCACTGCCAAGTATAAGCTTCAAAAAGAAATGAAAGAAGACCCGGCAGGACTCAAAGAGGCTTTGGAAAAGTTGGAAAAAGAAGCCGAGAAGAAACAAATTGAAAATTCGAGGAAGATCAGCAAGTTGATGAAGAGTGTTTATGATGAACAATCACAGATTGGGTGAGTGAATGTCAAATTTTTGTGTTTTTACTTTTTGTTCACTGAAATAATTTGTGTAACCTTGAGGTAGTAATTTTATTTTTGTTGTGGAAAAAATATCTTGAGAATTTTATTTTAGAAAAAAGAATCAGGTTTATATAATAAGTCACCAATCCTGATGATATTTACGAAGTTACATAAAATGGAATATATATATAATGAAATTCAGTAGCTACGTTTTTTTATACATCCTGAACTGTGGATTTTGTCCTAAGATATATATTGGTCAGACAAGTAGAATGTTGAATCACTGCATTCACGAACATCAGATGTGTTATTTCAAAGAAAAGAACAAATTTAAAATGTGCTTATCATTTACATATTAAAAAAACATAGTTTTGAAGACAACTTTGAATCATTAGAAATCAACAAACACAAAAAAACAGGAAAATAAGAAAAACTCCTGGAATGCGTTTTTCTTTCAGGACCGATAGAGCTTACCGGAGATACCTCCGGCTGGAATCCGTACCAGGAATTTTCGTGAACGTCGAGGAACTGAATGCCGGCGAGTGCAAAACCGAAATGACCCGGCAAAACGCCGATTTGGTGAACGCCACGCGGCAGCAGCTGCTCAACCACTTGCGGAAGATCCACATCGAGGGGGCTGATGGCGAGAACAAGGCGAGATCACCGAAAAAGGTGAATACGTATATTTGATATCGCATGTTAATTTGCATTTTGCAACAGCAAAACCATGAAAATAATCCGGCTCGAAGGACCAAAAATCCGGCTCGAAGGACCACATGATCAAGTCTTCTGCTGTTTATAGATCGATGAAAAATACGAATAGAATCAATGATAGTAATCGAGTGGTTACAGCCACCTACCAACTTTTCCTCGATGGTGGAGTTGATGGTTGCAACCAAATTTAAACTGTATTTATTCAATTTTTCAGAACGGTTCTTTGACGTCAATGTCTTCTCAAGACCTCCAAGCTCACTCAGATCTTCTCATGTGCTCTACAAACTCCACGACCTGCAAGGTAATATTTTTGCTGATGATTCATCATGATGCATATTTTATTGTCCTTAATTTTGAATCTTGTTTTTATGGGTCGCCTAGCGACCTGTGAATGTTTTTCCTCAATCATTACAACCAATTTAGGGAATAACATAACATGAACATATACAACTAAATTAATAACATAGAAAAAATAATAAACTTATTAAGAAAGTCTAAACACCGTTTGAAAATGACAGATGAACATCATCAAGCTGTTCTGAAAATTAGTACATCTGATTTGACACCAGACATCGACAACATCATGAAGCTGAAACGATGTCAAGTCTCTGGGTCATCGAAATAGTTACTATACCAAACATTTATTCATCTATTATATTGATATAACTTACTTTATTGTATGTTATTTTATATATTTTGTTGATTAAAGATAAACAATATGATAAAAAAACAAACTTTTTTGAGCCGGCCCCTCAAGCATGCCTCGAAGAAAAAATGGCACTCATGTAAATTGGGTTTGACCGTTACCACCGATACAACAAGGCTTGCATGCTCCGTGGGTGACGTCACTTAGTCAGGCCTAACCAGCGGCTCGAAACGACAAGCGCTTATAAGTCGATTTTGGTTTAAGATCATCATTGAGCCGATTTTGCTGTTTTTTGAAGGGCTTCCGGTTAAAAAAGGATGCCAGTCGTCAACTGAGCCCTTTTTCGCACCCCATTCGATTTTATTATGGAAAAAAGAAATTTTAAAGCAAAAACCAGGATAAAACACAAATATCCACCTACAGCAACCCATACGAATGAAATATATTGGCAAAAATTGTGGTGAAGGTAAACTTCACACCTACTTATACAGGGCACGCAGAACATAAACTTATCGTGAGATTGATCGAAAGAAAATTGTGGAAAATGTATTTTATTTTGATTGACATGCCGTTTGTTACAATTACCTATATTTATTTTGGAGAATTCCTATTACCTTTAAAAATAGCCAGTGAGTGTTTTCAATTTTCTGTTGTTGGATTTTTCACCCAAGTGGATCGTTACACTTGAAACCGTAATGTTTAAGGGTGAAACTGCATTTATCATGCGATGGTTTTTTTTTTAATTTTTTTTTCGGTACTCACGTATTTTTGTCTGATAAACCGAATTTTATAATGAAAATGGGAACAAACCACTATTTATTGAGATATTTCAAGAAAAAGTTCGAAATTTCGCCTTCTTTCTCCCCTTGTGTTGGGGGCATTTGAAGCTACTTGCTCTTATTTTGTCATTGGACACATTATATACTCATGATGTACTTCGATGGCACATTTTTATATAGAAAATTCAATAGGAAATATGATTTTTATGGCGAGTTTTTCATATTTAGTGAACAAGCATTCCAGATGACGACCATTTAATCAATAGTCAATCAAAATACGAGTTGTCAAATGTCAATAGATTGCTTTCGAATGACAGTAGAGTCTTTGTAGTTCATGTTAATATGATAGTTGCAATTTGATCATTGGAATGAATTCTGCATTCATTGCCACGAGGCAAATGACCGTTTTCAGAAAGAAATTTGAGAATGAGAATTAAAAATGCCCGTTTATTATGAACATTCAAGAAAATTTCTTCGAATTCAGAGATGATTTTGTTGACTAATATATGAATACAAAACTAACTGCACAATCAAAGGTTTTCTATTTTTCCTCTACTCATACTTTTTATGAGAGAGTAATTGTCTTCTATTATTAATTCATCATTATAAATTAAGCTCTGTTTAATACTGAACTTAGATGGAGTAAAATCCTCGCGGTGAATTGCATATACTTACCCACATTTTCGATAGCTCCTCGTCCAACGGGAAACTAAAAGCATGAACTTTTGAACCACCCACATAATTCCCCCGACAAAAGGGAACACAACACTTGAAAGGCATTGTTATTTCGCCGATCACAACACAAAATATTTCACAAAACAGTAATTTTTCCGCCAATTATTTTGATGAATAAACAACAAAAGAATTCGGGACCGTTTCAAAAACATACGTGAATCACCGATGAATTAACACGAACTGACGCGTTAGTCGACAAGCGATAAAATAAAACACTGGCCTCACTTGGCGACGTCACGAGCTGTTTACGTCAGAGTCTGCTGGCCTTGTTGTATCGGTGGTAACGGTTTGACACCCCTGCCTTACATGTTTCAATGGATTTTTCCTTCAATTTCTGAGGAAGACTAAGGAAAAACCGGCTTTTTCGTGAATTTTTGTTCAACATGGAAAAACATCGTCCATCCCGCAGGTCCATTCGTCGTCTATCGACCATCCTCGATGGTCGTTCTTCCACGACGAGTACAGTTTGGAGGAGCTATCGGGGGCGCTGAATCCGCGAGGGAGACGCGAAGGCGAGCTGCTGCGCACGCTCAAGAACGACGACGACCGGCTGAGGCGCGTAGTGCAACATACGCCCGTCAGAGGGCTCAACGGCGAGGTGGAGATCGCTGTAAAGGAGGAGGACGACCAGAAGCCGGTGTCCAGGTAATAATAATAATAATGATTTATTTAATTCAACTTGGCAACATCTATAGGAGGCTAGACTCCTTCACAAGCGCAACCTACGCGCGCAATGCAAATGCCCGAATAGCACGTGTTTCTCGTGTCGTGTCGCGTCGCGAATTGCGGACAATCCATCGCGATTGCATTGTTTATGTCTATGTTAGGTTAATTACCCTAATCCTTCGTGCAGGAACAACAAAAAGGGCAAGGACCGCTACGAGGACGCCAACTTAGGGTACCCGCCCTCCGTGCCGCCAGAGGGCGCATTGGAATCCGCCCTGCTCGACAACCTGCTGGAGATGGAGGAGAAGATCTACGGGGGGGGATTGGGGCTGTTGGCCGTCAAGGATAGGGACGAGTGGCGCGGCTGTCTCACCGCGAAGCGGTACGACGATCTGGACAAGGGGATCGTGAAGAGGGAGAAGGGGAAGGTGTCGAAAGTGAAAAAGGTGGGTGTCCAGTCGCGAAAAATTCTTTAGTCGGGAAATTTGTTGTTGCAAAAGAAATTTTGATCCTATAGGAGAATGATCCAATGCTTTCAGCTCTCATAGGAAATGATAATTTGTCGTGACACCTATTCTTGAACCAGATGAAATCGGTTTTCCTAGGGGATTTATTTAACCTACCATATTTCAAATGTGCTGAGTGTTCTTTGAACCTGGTTTTTATGGGACGTCTGGTTTGGCCTACACGTGTTTTGCTATGTTAGCATCTTCAGAAGATTGAAACTGTCGTGTAGCCGAACACATGCTCAATCACAATCATAACACACATATTAATAACCTCAAATTAGTTAAGTAAGTTGATAATGTTAGAAAATTAGATGTATATGAAAGCTCATAGATATTTGATTGATTGATTGATTGTCTTTATTACCCCAAGAAACATTATTGTTTATAATAGGGATATATACAACAAAACATACATATTATAAAACATAATAAATCGAAACAATAATAATTGCACAATTATTGTTTTTCCTAAAAAAAAAAAAAGAATTATAATAGAATATAAAATGAAAATATTATAATCCATTACAAGTAATCAAATTGTGAATGATTAGTACTATTTAAAATAGTAAGTAATGAATAAGGATAATGGACCTATCCCATTTAGCCCTTTGTATAGTTTAGTCATATAAGATGTGAACTAAACCATGAATAACATTAAATAACGGTTATTTTCGATTCACGGTTGGGTGGACATATACTTGATACGATTATTTTGAAAAGTTGGTGCCAATTAGTTGTGTTCTATCGACTTGAAATATTCTCAGCGATGCGACGTTGCCCGTCTCAACCAGATATAAATTTTCCAAAAGAGGAGTTTCTCTAATTTTTATTATTCACAGAAAAGTCATGCTGGGCAAATTATTCCACGAAAATGGTTGTGTTATTCACCCAAAGAAAATAAAACGTTTTATGAAGCTTGTTGGTTATCCAATATAACTAATAGTTCATGGAAATAAGGGACTTCTGACTGGAAAGGTTTGTCTCGAGGGGGCCCTAAATGATTTTGGCGGGGGGGGGGGGGGGGGCAAAATATGAAGTTACGCCACTGGGTTAGTGGTAAAACAGTGTGTAGTCAAAAATACTCGGGTAACAAAAAGAAATTCGTTATTTTTTTCGGTAAAGGGTGAGAAGACGAAGAACGGCAGCCGCCCCACCACCCCAGAGTCCACCCCTAGAAGCGAGCTCAAGGAGTACCAGGACCCCGGCAGATTTTTGGGGACGGCCGCCGAAACGGAAGCCCTGGGGCAGTCCGAGAGGCTGCAGAAGTCCGTCAAGGGGCTGGCAGTCGCCTTGGCGCAGGTCGCTCAGGCTGTCGATCCCAAATACCTGAAGAAACCCTTGGGTGAGTCTTTTTTTTATTGATGAATGTCTTGCAGTGTTCATCAATAGTCACGTTCGGTATTTACATCGCAGATTAGAGCAGATTCTAGTCACGTGGTCACAGATAGATCGGCAATAAACGAACGAAGTGGACATTTTGTTGACAGTGTGACAGTAACCTAACCTATCCCCATTTATTCATTTAATTTATTTCCATTTCAATATGACTAGACCAGAAACTGTGCTAGCTTTTGTTTCGGGACATCAAATTATTTTTGAAGAGGATGATGAATAGGAACGATGTGCTTTGTAAAATGTTGAACATTTTGCCGAAGAAACAGTGCCTCATTTTACTGACCTGCAATTCAAGCAACATTTTCTTCATAACTCTCATCTGACACCATTAAGGTGTGTGTTTTGTCATGCTCAGAATCAAAAAGTTATATTTCTTTCATTATGAAAACGTTATTTTGAAAATACGAATACGAGCACAACGGCCAGTCATACATAAACATTTGAACATTAACCTCACAAATTCAGATCAATCGCTTTGTTCGGTCAAAATTCTCCGAGCATTAGGATCTTTGTCAGATCGCTCCGATTTTAATTGCCGATCGGATGAGATCTACTTCCCCTACATCTAGATGTCATAAACGAACGATTCAGATTCATCGGAGCAGTCTGATGTAAATACCGAACGCGACTAATATTTTTTTTTCATACTGGTCGAGGTGCCCCTCGGTTCAGAATGAACATTCTGAAATAGTCTTGAGCATTATTCATATTCATATTTTCCGAACGTATTTTATAATAGTCTGGAATATCTTTAACCCATTTACGCTTACCGTCCTTTCAAAAGGACTTCAAAACAAAACCTGTATTCTTCTGATTCAGCTGACATTTCGAAGATGTTCCCAGTGTCACATTATATTTAGTTGGCATCTCAGATCAATCGCGAGATCGATAGGATTTTTTCAAGTTTTTGAATGATAGTGACGGTTAAAAAACGCTGTGTTGCTTGTGATTTTGCAATGAGTGACTCGAGGTAAGACATGTTGAAAATCGTTTATTTCTTCGTTGTTGTTTTGATTATTTTCAACAAATAACATAATGAACTCACTAGGCACTAACCATGGCAGAGCTCTTAGAGAAATTAGAGATAGACTCTACGTCGGACATTCCCACAGGCATTATAATTTTTCCACCCTGAGTACCAACGAAAATTGCGATACCGATTAAGATTCTGGGGCTGAAGACGTTTGACTATAATGAAGATTTAGATTCTACGTTTATCCAATCGCAACCAGTTCAAACTACACAAAGCAATCGTCCACCTGAAAATATTTTCAAGCTGTTTTTTGATGAAACTTGGTAGGAAAAATTGCCAATTTTAGCAAAAAAACCAAAGACGAGATGTACTGCTTCATAGGTGTGTCAGTGGATATACCACTGTTCCATATGTATTGGCAAAATTGCAGCAATACCCAGAATAAACTTATATCAGCCGCTATTTTCAGGGATGGATTTCAATTCATAATGAGTAATCTTCATTGCAATGATAATACTCCTCTTGATACCGTATTTTGGGAGACATAGCGGTGAGCAATTTATTATATAAATAAAAAATTAAATTTTGAGAGGTACCCTACACCTTGGATACATTGTTTATTTAGATCCTTCTACCAAAGTGCGTCGACATCAATTCCGGACGAATATAAACAACATTATAAATGTACTATGTATATGATTTAAAAATGATTATCTGATTATCTATTTTTTTTTTTTTAGCTGCTCTTCCATAATTTTCCCTGCTATTAACATATGTTTCTTGGGAATAATAAAGATTATATTGGTTTGGGAGCGTCAGTTGTTCTCCAATATGCAGATGTTTTACAGTAAATGCCATACCAGCCCTTTCACTATTTTTTTGACAATTATTTATTTCGTTTTCACTTCTAAATGAGCTGGAACATATATTCAAATCTTCATTTATTCTTCTTATAGTAGCCATTTACCCTACCGTCCTTTTAAAAGAACCATTGTTGTTTCCAAAATTGGAAATCGACTTATTGGACCTTCTATTAACCGTTTTCAAAAATCGGAAAAAAACAATAGTTCAGGGCCAAATGGGTTAAACATTCTCGAACCCTCTGAAAGATTATAGAAAACAGAGTAACCTTCTGGAACAATCTTTATCCAAAATCGATAACAATCTGGAACGTCACTAAATATTCTCCATTAATTTTACAAAAAATCCAGGTATGGCGGATCTAACTAAAACCGACAAAAAACAAGACTACGACTACCTGGACAGATGGGAGCAGTCCCTTTTGGCATCGACCAGCTACAGTCAAGTGTTCCTCCACTACGGCATCTTGGACTCGTGCGTAATGTGGTCGAGGTCGGCCCTTTTGGCCAGATGCAGGATATGCCACAGGCAGAAGGACTCCGAGAACATGCTGCTGTGCGACAATTGCAATCTGGGCCATCATCTGTACTGTTTGAAACCCAAATTGACGGTGAGTCTATCATCTCCCCCCCCCCTTTGTATATTAGAATTTGTTTCTTTATGATTTGAAATCCTAGGTATCAGCACTACGTTTTTATTTGGTTCATTTTGGAACGTTGCTTTTGTCACATTTTAACCTCCATTGAAACATTGAGATGTTGTTTTTCCTGCGATAAAGTACCCCTAGAATGTCAGGATTTCATTTTTATTTGGTTTATTTTGGAACGTTGCTCTTGTCATGTAAAAATGTTTCTATTTCTTGAGATGAAGAACCCGTAGAATGTCAGCATTGCGTTTTTGTTTGGTTTATTTTGGGACGTTACTTTCATCACCAAATAAAAACATTTTATTTCTTGGGATAAGGAATCCCCAGAATGTCAGCATAACCAGTATAATCTCTGGTATAATGTAGTTTATTTCTGAACAATACTCTTGTCGCCTAATGACCATCATAGAAATGTGGTAAAAATGTCACACATGTGACGTTATAACATTCATAGAAACCTGTTGAAAATGTTTTATTTCATGGGATCAGGAACCCCGAGAATGTCAACTTTTTTTATCGGGTTTATTTTAGAACGATACGATACTCTTGTTACCTTCATGCATTTAAACGTAGTAAAAATGTATTTCTTTCGATACAAAAAACCCTAGAGTGTCAGCAAAACGTGTTTATTTGGATTCATTTAGAACGTTATTCTTGTCACCATAAAAAATTCATAGAAACTTAGTAAAAATGCTGTTTCTTCTTGCAATAAAAAAAGACCCTAGAATGTCAGAATAATGTCTTCTTTGGCTTCTTTTGAAACGTTACTTTACAAAACGCTACTCTTGTCATGTTATATCATTCATAGAAACTTGGTAAAAATATTTTAGTTTCTGAGATAAGAAACCCATAACGTTTTTATTAAGTTTATTTTAGAACGTCAATCTTGTTACGTTATTCTTGTCAACTTGAAACATTCATAGAAACTTAGTAAAAATGCTGTTTCTTCTTGTAATACAGAACCCCTAGAATGTCAGCTTAATGTTTTTATTTGAATTATTTTAGAACGTTATTCTTGTCACCTTGAAACATTCATAGAAACGTTGTAAATAGGTTTCTTCTTGCAATAAAGAACACCTAGACGTATATGGTTTTTTTAGGCTTATTTTGGAACGTTTTACTCTTGTCACTTTATAAACATCATGAAAACGTGGTAAAAATGTATTATATCTTGGGAATATCAGATTTATGTTCTTATTTGGTTCAATCCATAGCGGTATTTTAGTAATTTCGTTTCGTTTCGAAGACAATACCCAAAGGCGACTGGTTCTGTGACAAATGTAACAAGGAAAAAGAGAAACAAGCGTTGCTCCTGAGCCCTCAGCCGACTCCCGCCAAAAAACGAAGGATATTCAGGGACGAGGACATCGAAGAGGAAGAGGAGAGCAGCGGTGGGGAAGAGGAGGAAGAGGACGAGCCGGACGAAGAATCGGAAGACGAAATGGAAGCAGACGAAGACCTGCCTAACGGGTGATTTATTTTTTTAATTAATTATTACGAGGTTTTATTTAGTTTCAAAGTGATTGAAATGGTTTTTCACGATTATTTTCGCATAGGAATCGTGTTTTTCGACTATTCATTAATTCGCGCATGCCATCACATTGTGCTGTTGTACAATGCACGAAAAATGCAGCGAGAGGCGAAGGAATCCGGTTGGTACAATATGATTCAAAAGTAAGTACCTACTATAGTCACTCATATATAGTTTTCATTTTGAAAGTTGGTAATTTATCTGATTTCTCATCGGAATTCTTTCTGCAATAGGAGCTAATAGAAATACTCGTGAAATTTCTAAAAGAATGCAAGAAGATTGGATTCATTCAATCAAACGTGAAGACTGGTCGGACGTGCTGTCGAAATATGATCGTGAGTGTTGTAGACATTTTCAATCTATTAGCAGTATTAGCTTCCATTGCAGATGTGGCAGAAGGAACTTTAATAAAAAATGGCGAAGTTTCATAATGAAAACAATGTGAGATAACTATTTACCTGAAAAATCATATTCCTTCGTCTCTCGCTGCATTTTTTGTGCATTGTACATCAGCACAATGAGAAGGTATGCTTGAATTAATGAATAGCGGAAAAACACGATTCGTATGCCAGAATATTGTGAAAAACTATTTCAATCCTTCGATTCATTTGTAAACAGTGAGGTTATGTGTGTGTGTGTGAGTTTTGTAATTATGATCAGATCCCATTCGAAATTGGTATCGGGGGGGATTTCAGGGTCGAAGATTATGGTTTTTCCGTCGAAATTGGGGAATTAAAGATGGCAGATCCAATATCGCGATCGAGTTTTGTAATAATAATGATCCGATAGTTTATTCAAAATAAGTCTCTGGAGGCTTTTGGGATCGGCAATTATTGATTCTTCTGTCAAAATTCGAGAAATTCAAGATGGCGGCTTCAACATGGCGGATGAATTTTGTAATTATGATCCGATTCTATTCCAAATTGGTATCTGGAGTTTTTTGGGATCGGCAATTATTGATTCCTCTGTCAACATTGGGGAATTCAAGATGGCGGCTCCGAAATGGCGGATGACTTTTGTAATTATGATCCGAGTCTATGTTAAATTAGTCTCTGGAGGTTTTTGGGATCGTTAATTATTAATTTGATAAATTTTAGATGGCGGCTGCAAAATGGCAGATGACTTTTGTAAATATGATCCGATTCTATTCAAAATTGGTATCTCGAGTTTTTTGGGGTCGACATTCATGATTCTTCTGTCGAAATTAAAAAATTCAAGATGGCGGCTCCAATATGCCGGATGAGTTTTGTAATCATGATCCGATTTCATTCAAAACCTGGGGGTTTTTGGGATCGGCAATTATGATTCTTCTGTCAAAATTGAGAAATTGAAGATGGTGGATTCTACAGGGGTCGGCATAAGTCAGGCAACCAATTTGCATCAGGCAACCAATTTGCATTAAGATAAATAAATGCAGCGTCAAAATATATTTATTAAAAAAAATACAAAAGGTATTCGAAAAAGGGTTACTGTAAGTGTTCAAATTGATGCCCATCCTGATCGATGCATTTACGGCAACGTTCCTCAACGGAGAGGCAGGTCCGGCGAAGCATTTGAAGCTGTCTGCGAAGAGTTTCAAATTCTTCTTCAATTGCGGTTCGGAGGTCGGGAAGGGTGCGTGGCCCTGTTGCGAAAACGTGGTCCTTGAGAAGGCCCCACAGAAAAAAATCACAGGGTGTTAGGTCACATATTATCGTGCGGGCCACTCAATGAATCCTCGTCTGCCTATCCATTCTCCAAAATGAAGCGGCGGAGCTCCATCCTGCCAGACTTATGAGCGTTGCCGGACATATGTCGAAATTTCGAGAGCGTTGCCTGACTTATGCCGATCCCTGTATATGGCGGACGAGTTTTGTATTTATGATCCGATTCTAGTCACAATTGGTATCTGGGGTTTTTGGGGTTGGCAATTATGACTTCTGTTAAAATTGGAAAATTCTATATAGCCTATCCAAACTAGCGGACGAGTTTTGTAATTATGATCCGATTTTATTCAAAATTTGTTCCTGGGGGTTTTCGGGATTGGAGATTATGATTCTTATGTCTAAATTGGGAAATTTAAGATGTAATTATGATACACTTCTATTCAAAATTCGTATCTGGGGGTGTTTGTGGTCGGCAATTGTGATTCTTCCATCAAAATTGAGATATTCAAGATGGTGGCTTCAAAAAGGCGCCCGAGTTTTGTAGTTATGGTCCGATTATATTCGAAATTGGTATGTGAAGGCGTTTCTTCTGGGAACAAGCTTCTATTCAGATTCAATTGTACCGGCGTCTGTCTTTGAGGCTGTGTCTTTGTATGTAGTGCATTTTTATTAAAGCTTGTCTTTGAAAAATGTTTATTTTATAGAAGCTTGATACCGAAAGACTTTAATGATTTCTTCTCGGTCGAATTTTTCATATAATTGTGATTTTTTAGGGATTCAAAAATGGACCTTTGTGCGACCTGTCAGTTTGGCGGCGAATTGATAACGTGCGAAAAGTGTTCATCGTATTATCACCTAGAGTGCTGTGACCCCCCCATGAGGAGGGCGCCCCGTGGATCGTGGCAATGCCATTCGTGCAAAGGGTTCAAAGAGACCAAGGAGAGGAGTGATAGGAGGGATAACAAGAATGATTCCGGTAAGTGCGATCAAAATGATTCTGTGACCGAGATTCAACAGTTTTTTTTTGTGTTGATTGGAAAAATTAAAATGGAATTCAGTCGTTTAAAATGTTATGAAAAAATACCGTTACCACCGAGATGAGAAGGCCAGCAGACTCTGACGTAAACAGCTGGTGACGTCACCTGAGGGAGGCCAGTGATTTACCGCTTGTCGACTAACGCGACAGTTCCTGTTAATTCATGATCGGTGGTTCACGTAGGTATAGTATGTTTTTGAAGCGGTCCCGAATTCTTTTATTGTTTATTCATCAAAATAATTTGCGGAAAAATTACTGTTTTGTGAAATATTTTGTGTTGTGATAGGCGAAATAACAATGCCTTTCAAATGTTGTGTTCCCTTTTGTTGGGGGAATTATGTGGGTGGTCGAAAAGTTCATGCTTTCAGATTCCCGTTGGACGAGGAACTATCGAAAAAGTGGGTATATGCAATTCACCGCGAGGATTTTACTCCATCTAAGTACAGTAGTAAACAGAATTTAATTTATAATGATGAATTAATAATAGAAAACAATTACTCTCATAAAAAGTATGAGTAGAGGAAAAAGAGAAAAGCTTTGATTGTGCAGTTAGTTTTGTATTCGTATATTATATTCAACAAAATCATCTCTAAATTCGAGGAGGTGTTCTTGAATGTTCATAATAAACGGGCATTTTTAACTCAATACATTCTCAAATTTCTTTCTGAAAACGGTCATTTGCCTCGTGGCAATGAATGTAGAATTCATTCCAATGATCAAATTGCAACTATCATATTAACATGTACTACAAACACTCTACTTGAAAAGGTAAAACTGCATTTGTCATCGCGGGTTTTTTTTCGAGAATTTTTTTTGGTACTCACGTATTTTTGTCTGAAAAATACGAGATGATGTCCCAGTGTATCATAATATGACTGACTTTTGGTCAGAAAAAAATTTCTCGAGTTCTGGTAGCATTGGAAATGTAGACCATAGTGCAATGGTTCCACTTTACACCGTGTGTCCGTTTTGTTCTGCGGACTTTCTCAGAGTGTTCTACCTCTCTTTGAAGACGATGAAACATCTCATCTGATATCGAAAACCGCATGAAGATCGGTCTATTTCTTCAAAAAATACAGGTCTTCGAAATAGTCAAATTATGAGTGGTCCATTTAGTGTGTTGAGAACTGTATTTAATTCGAATGGATTGCTGTAGGTGGGTATTTGTGTTTTATTCTGGTTTTTGTTTCGAAACTTTGTTTTTCCATAATAAAATCTCAGTTGACGACTGGCATCTTTTTTTAACCGGAAGAAAGGCAAAATTGGCTCAATAATGATCTAAAACTAAAATTGAAATACGCGGTCGCCTTATAGCGTCATAAGCGCTTGTCGTTTCGAGCCGCTGGTTAGGCCTCACTAAGGTGACGTCACCACGGAAGCATGTAGGCCTTGAAATATCGATAGTAACGGGTCTCCCCGCTTGGAACTACTGATCTTCATTATTAGTCAAGCAGTTTATTTTAGAATGAAAGTATTTCATTGATTCTTCCAGTTTATTCGGATTCTGGAGACGAGATCGTCCACCAGAAGCGGTCGCAACGTAAAGAGGGCGACAGAATGGACCTGCCCTTACACAATGTGGCGCTGCAAGAGCTCCTCGCCGAGGTTATGAAGCAGGAGGAGGCGTGGCCCTTTCTCAGGCCCGTCCAGAAGACGGAGGTGAGTGAGTGACAGCGCCCTTTTTCATCGTAGACACATAAAATCCGATTTCGATCGGAAATTTGGCTGCTCGTAGCGATTTCGAACCTTGAACCGAAGGCCAGCTGCACACGGGCCACTATCGTAGACACATAAAATCTGATTTTGATCGGAAATGGCTGCTCGTAGCGATTCCGAACCTTGAACCGAAGGCCATCTGCACACGGGCCATTCCATAAACCTTGGTGTTTTCGTCTATTGAAATATTCACTATTCTATTACGGGCCACTATCGTAGACACATAAAATCCGATTTCGATCGGAAATTTGGCACGCGTAGCGATTTATAACCTTGAACGGAAGGCCAGCTGCACACGGGCCACTATCGTAGACACATAAAATTCGATTTCGATCGGAAATTTGGCACGCGTAGCGATTTCTAACCTTGAACGGAAGGCCAGCTGCACACGGGCCACTATCGTAGACACATAAAATTCGATTTCGATCGGAAATTTGGCACGCTTAGCGATTTCTAACCTTGAATGGAAGGCCAGCTGCACACGGGCCACTATCGTAGACACATAAAATTCGATTTCGATCGGAAATTTGGCACGCTTAGCGATTTCTAACCTTGAATGGAAGGCCAGCTGCACACGGGCCACTATCGTAGACACATAAAATTCGATTTCGATCGGAAATTTGGCACGCTTAGCGATTTCTAACCTTGAACGGAAGGCCAGCTGCACACGGGCCACTATCTTAGACACATAAAATTCGATTTCGATCGAAAATTTGACCGGTTGTAGCGATTTCGAACCTTGAATGGAAGGCCAGCTGCACACGGGCCACTATCGTAGACACATAAAATTCGATTTCGATCGGAAATTTGGCACGCTTAGCGATTTCTAACCTTGAACGGAAGGCCAGCTGCACACGGGCCACTATCGTAGACACATAAAATTCGATTTCGATCGGAAATTTGGCACGCTTAGCGATTTCTAACCTTGAATGGAAGGCCATCAGCTGCACACGGGCCACTATCGTAGACACATAAAATTCGATTTCGATCGGAAATTTGGCTGCTCATAGCGATTTCGAACCTTGAACCGAAGGCCAGCTGCACACGGGCCACTCCATAAAACTTATTGTTCTCGTCTATTGAAATATTCACTATTCTATTTGTTTTTGTGTTTTTTTTTTCAGGTACCTGATTATTATGATGTGATTTCCAAACCAATGGATTTCGGGACGATAAAATACAAATTGAATATGGGCCAATACAGGGAGGACAGCGAGCTGATGCGAGACGTCGTTTTGGTCTTCGAAAATTGCAACACGTACAATGACACGGACGCCGAAGTGTACAGGTGGGTACAAAAAATGTTGAATTATTTGATTTCCAGAAAACTTCTCAATCGGTTTCCTGCTTCGAAATTTTCTTGCTCGTCAAAACAAGTTTTTTTGATAACTTAATGTCATAATTGTTGTTATGATTATTCAAATTTGGTCGAAAAAATGCGATTTTACGTTTCATGTGTTGAGCAGTTTAGATGTTCACATACAATTTTGTTTCAGATGTGGGGTCAAGTTGTTGAAGTTTTTCGAGAAAAGGGCCAAAGATTTGGGATTGAAGTTGCCCGAGGAGATGGAAAGTGACGACTGTCGACCCACCAAAAGCAAAAAGCGGAGAACTAAATGAAAATGATATTTGTTTAATTTATTTTTTACACTTATACTGCTTTCCATCTGTATGTATTAATTAACACTGTCCCTGTATTAGATCATTATTTTCTATTTCCTCGTCTTTACATAATTTTAAATTCGTAGTTTTTCCTGTTTTAGTAGGGACGCACTATTTATAATAAAATTATACGAAATTATTTCTTGTCTCATTGATTAATCCATTTTCATTTTGTCCAAATGCCATTATATGCTATTGAACTAAGAGAGATAGAAAAGAACTAATTCCAGATTCTTGTTCAGCACATGAAGAACACTCTATACAAATTTTCAGTCAATTTTTGACGCCTCCGTAAAAGCGAAGAAAGTTGCAATATATTACCTGCTTTTTTGGATGCGGTACCTTCAATATAAAATGCCGCGATCTATAGTACCCCGATTGCCTTGAGATTGATGTGAAAACTACTGAATCCTTTGCGGAACTAAATTCATTCACGTATTTTGCCCACGAAAATAAAATCGGGGCCATCATTTCACCGATCTATCAGAAAAAATTTTCAGTTTTTGATCGTAAATATCTCGAGAATCAAGTGGGATACAGATAAATGGATTTCAGATTATTGTTCAGCACATCGAGAACACCCTTTGTGCAAGTTTTCATCCCATTCTGACGCCTCTAGTTGAATGAAAAAAGTTCAAACTCTTCGTTACTTGTGGTACCTTTGATGAAAAAACGTTTCGATCTAGTAACCAAATTTTTCTCGAGTTCGAATACGATTACCTAGTAAAATGAAGGAGACTGTAAGAAAATGATTCAAGATTCATGTTCAGCACATCCCAATCAATCTGTCTGCAAGTTTTCAGTCCATTCTGACACCTTGACTTAGTTGAAAAAAGTACAAAGGGGTTAACCTTCTTTCTTTTTCGGACCCAAAAATCAACTTTGTCTCAGGGCCTTCAAATTAGGTATATAGGGTCCTTAGGTGATGCCCTAGTGCGGAGTAGAAGTACAGCTCTCTATCTCCAAAAAGAAAAAAAAAAAAATTTTCGACCCACTTTTCGTTTCTTGTGGTACCTTTGATGAAAAAATGTTTCGATCCAGTAACCAAATTTTTTTCTCGAGCTCGAATACGATTATCTAAGAAACTGAAGGTGATGGAAAGAAACTGCATGGTTTCAGATTCTTGTTCCGCACATCGCAATCAATCTGCAAGTTTTCAGTCCATTCTGACACCTTGAATTAGTTGGAAAAAGTACAAAGGGGTTAACCTTCTTTCTTTTTTGGACCCAAAAATCAACTTTGTCTCAGGGCCTTCAAATTAGGTATATAGGGTCCTTAGGTGATGCCCTAGTGCGGAGTAGAAGTACAGCTCTCTATCTCCAAAAAGAGAAAAAAAACAATTTTCGACCCACTTTTCGTTTCTTGTGGTACCTTTGATGAAAAAACGTTTCGATCCAGTAACCAAATTTTCTGGATAGTTCGAATACGATTATCTAGGAAACTGAAGGAGAAAGTTTTCATCCCAATCTGACGCCTCCAGTTGAATGAAAAAAGTTCGAAGGGGTTAACCTTGTTTCTTTTTCAGGCCCAAAAATCAACTTTATTGTAGGGCCAGGGCCTGCAAATTTGGTAGAATATCCTGTATGCAACTATTCTTCGTTGTGAATTTTTGGCAGACAAAATAATCATCAATTCTACCAACCTTGTTGGCAGAAACTGATTCTGCCATCTAGTGATCAAAAGTGAAAGCTCACAAATCAGAAATGTAAGTTACAGGTTTCTGTATGTCAGTCACTAATATAATACAGATTTCTGCATCACAGTCACCTACATGATACAGATGTCTGTAATAATGGTGGTACGATTCAATTACAGTTTCCTGTAGTATAGTCAGTCTAGTCACTTACATGAAACAGATGTCTGTAACAATTATGGTACGTGATTCAATACAGTTTCCTCTAATACAGGAAACTGGCTAAATGCAGAAACACAAAATTAAAAAAAACTAAAACTAAATTTTATAGGTTAACATTTGGCTGGAAGAAAAGAAAAAAATAAACAACAGCTTAGCTTTGCTTCTAAAACAATGTATTGTGTGAATTCTTGCAACGCATTTTCGCATCATTTTTTTCTTCGTATTGAAGATTCCGCAGGTATTTAACTATAATACTCAATACTCCAAACGAAGGTTGAAAGGCCAGAACTTCCAAATTCCTCACCTTTCTATCGGTCGGTACTTTTTTCTCCTTCTGAAAATGAAACGAAAAAGGAAAAACGCCTGCCCATCTCCTCTACTTGACGACAGCCCAAAAAGGTAAGGTTTCTAGGTTTTATCTTCTGGTGCAAAACTTACCTCATCTTTCATTTTGTTTTTCCTTTAGAACAAAAGTTCATGCACAGCGTAAGTTTGCACAAGGTTCAAACGTTAATAGTCCAGTCATAACCCCCATTCGAGAGCTGGAGTCTGAATCCCCCAGAAGTGACATGTTACCAGAGCCAGTAGAACTACTCCCCATAAAAAGACCCAACACTGAAGACTTCCTGACCTTCCTGTGCTTCAGAGGTACACCTATCCTTCCTCCTAGCTTAAATTTCTTCAACACAGCTTCTATTGTTGATACCAATGGTCAAGTCCATGAAATAAAAAGTGAATCTTCACAAAAAAATGGACCTATAGACATCACAAAGTGTGGATCTTCTTCTGATAAACCCTTCATTGCATTTGGGGTGCGTAAAAGAGCTGATCCTATAGTCATAAGTAGACAGATGGATAGAAAAAGGAGGCATGCTCTAGCAATACAAGCTCTGAGGAGGAAATATCAGGAGCAAAAGATGGCCAAAATCAGGGCTCTCACCATCAGCAAGCTATCTGAAAAAGTCACTAATAGAACACTGGTGAAGACAAACACTGTGTCCAAGACAGAAACTGTGACCAAAAAGACGAATTCCTTGCAAAAGACCAAAGTAGTGGCTACAAAACATGTTAAGGTCACTACACAGACTCTCAAAACTACTATGAGGCCAAAGATCAATCAGAAAATGTGCTTGCGTAGTTTTAGAGGTAGGATTGTGCAAAAAGAGCTGCCTTTTATTAAACGTGTTGGGGGAGTTAAGAATGTTGTTAGGAAGACAGTGGATCAGAAGAGTCAGCCAAGAAAAAGTAGAGAAAAGATTTCTGGAGTTGGGGATGAGGCAGGTCAACCTAGGCAGCAGACAAGTTCAAAAAATTTGAAAAAAGAACCAACAGTAGGCACCAGGTCAGTTTTTTCTTTCAAATTCAATTTATTACTCATTTATTTGAGATTTGAATCAGCATTGCTATGTCAATAAATGTTTGTAAATTTTGAAAATAATCTCAGTTTAATTAAAATAACAGCCTCAAAACTGCTGGCCAGTTCCTTCTTTCTTTTAGAACATTTTCTCATATCAAAATTCAATTAGGTATACTTGAAAATTCCATCATACTTGAAAAAACACGATTAGTATAAAGCCCCAAATATGATATTTTTGTAAATCTTTATAAAAACATTCAAAAATTTGGTTGTAACAATATTCCTCATTCTTCATATTTTTTTAATTGCAAAATCATCAGAATAACAAATGATTTTACAAATCCCTAGAAGACATAAAAACATACTTTAACCTCTTTACCTGATTTTGAGACAGTTGTTAGAACACATTCTTGAATTTTGACATTAATTGGAATTCATTCTTTTGTTTTCCTCATTTTTTCCGATTTTTTTTTCCGATTCTCCATCAAAATTTGCATCTGGAGGTAATATCTGTATCTATGTAACATTTTGTCTCAAAATCCCAATACTTCTGACAGTGTTGCCAAATTATTTGTAGTTCCTGACATTTGGAAATATGTATGTAAATCTATGGTAATGATTTTATTCATTACATTTATTTCTTGCTCATCAAATTTATTTTTGGTTGATATACAGCATGTCTCACTTCAAACGCCCCCCCCTCTATATCTATATCATGCGATTCTTACCAAATTTGGACTGGTATATACAGGGTGGCATTGAAATAAGTGCAAATATTTCAAACACTGAGAAAGATCGACGTGTACTATTGAATGACACTAATGAAAAACATTTAGGGATCCAAATAAAATTTGAGGTTAGACCCCATTTTCCTAAATTGTTTTAAAATGGCGTACTTGATTTTTTTCTCGTATTTAGTTCAATTCATGGGAAGAATTAGACAAAATCTGATATCATGAGAATATTCCTTAGACTGTATCATATTAATGTGCTGAACACCTTGTATATACATCAATATGATCAGTTTTTTGGTGACCAACATCATTTTGAACAGTGCCGTGCGTTTTAATTAAAATGAAAAAGGGTCAATGTCTCAAGAAATAATATCAGGAAGTTTTTCACAGGAAAACTGACCTAATAATATTATTCCTCATGGTTTCAAACCTCAGTATGTGAATTTTCATATAATTTATATAAAGGGTGTCAAAAAACAGGCAAATGTAAACGGCATTTTTGCAAACGTAAATTATCCGAGAAATTATCATTTACTCGGAAATGGTGAGTTCCACAAAAAAGTATATCTTGATTTTTTTTTATAATAATTTTTTACCTACTGGAGCTGTTGAATATTCCAGAAATCGCAGTTAATTATTAGAATTCACTATTTTTGCCAAGCAGAAAATTAAAAAAAAAATAAATCCAATCCTGTTGATTCAAAATGAAGTGATTTTTTGCATATGGAGGTTTGAAAACATGAGGAACAATAAAATGACGTTAGTTTTCCTGCAAAAAAATGCCTAACATGATTCCGAGAAAAAGATGTTCACCTCTAAAAACTGATCATTTTGATGAGATATAGAGAGGGGGCCGTATATGAAATTTCATTTTCTAGTTATCTTCGATTTTTTTAATGTACGGTTCAACCGAGGGTTCAACCATTCACTCATTTAAAACTGGAATACAAAAATCCCGGTCCTCATTGAAAAAAATTCTTCACGTATATTTTGAACCCCCTTCAACTATTTTATTTATCATCGAATTTTTTTCCAAAGAACAGTCTTATCATTTTTCCTGTAGATTTTGAATATGTTAACAGAAAAACAATTGAACATCCAAAAAAAAAGTTATGGGCAAAATGTATACATTTTTAAATGGAACACCCTGTATTTTATTGCATTTTCAGATTCTCCCTGAACAGCTGATTTCATCGATCTATCACAGTTGGGGTCTAGCTGAAATGATTACAGAGATATAGGGTGTGAAAAATTGAGATTTGTTCAAATTTTAGTAATTTTTTGTATCGAAACTATTTATTATTGGAAACAGAAATAGTTTTCATGTCCTTATCTTAACTTTTGATTTACTATCTACTGACATTTAATTGGAACACATACAGGGTAATCAGAATTCTGAATTTTGAACCACCCTGTATTCGTTTCAATTAAATGTCAGATAGGGAAACCGTTTTAATACAAAAAATTCCTAAAGTTGAAAAAATCTCAATTTTTCACACCCTATATATCTGTAATCATTTTAGCTAGACCGGAACTAGATCGATGAAATCATCTGTTCAGGGAGAATCTAAAAATGCAATAAAATTCAGGATGTTCCATTTAAAAATTTATACATCTTGCCCATAACTTTTTTTTGAGATGTTCAATTGTCTTTCTGTTAACATATTTAAAATCTACAGGAAAAATTTAAGAAGACTGTTCTTTGAGAAAAAAAAAATTCGATGATAAATAAAAAAGTTAAGCGGTGTTCAAAATATACGTGAAGACCCTATACATTGAACAAGTACATTGTGTACTTTTTCCTTATAGTTCTCGCATTACAAGATCTGGTCAAATAGACAACAAAGCAGACATCAGAAGAAAGCAGATCAGAAAACGCATTCTCAGGCTGACGACTGTCAAGAAAACGGTAGTTTCCCAAAGAAAAAGCAGATCAATCGAAGCAAAAAAAAGACTTAGAACGATACGAAAACATACCGTTCAGGAGAATAATCCTCCTAAAGCGGAAAAAAAAGAAACGGGCAAAACCTTGGAAGAGAAAATGAATGCTAAAAAATTATTCATCGATGCTAGGAAATTAATGAAGGCAGCGGATAAGAAAGACCCAGACAAAAAAACCGTCAACAAACCTAATAGCAAAAAAGAGACTGAAAAAACAATTGATTTCAAGAAAGTGACGGATTACAAAAAAGAATCCAAAGAATTCTATGGAAAGGATAAGAAGCAAGTAAATAAGAGAGTGGACATAAAAAAAGAAATCAGTAAATCTACTGATATCAAGAAAGATCCTAAAAAAACTGTTGAGACTAAGAAAAGCGTCAGGATTTCCAATATAATCCAGAGAAAAGAAACAAAAAATGCAAAAGAAGATGATCAAAGCACTAGTGAAGAATATAAGAGGAAAAAAAGAGTGAATGAAGAAAAAGACAAAAATGAAGAAGTAGAAAAGAAAGCAGCAGAAAATGATGGTGATGGCAAACAGAAAAATTCTTTGATTCCAAAGAAAACTAAAAGTCAATCAGAAGAGAAGGCTAAAGAATCAAACAAAAATGTGGTGTCAGAGAAGTCAAAAGATTCAAAACAACCAGACAAGACTAGACAAAAATTGAATAAAATTGAAAATACTGAAGAAGCAAAAGAAATAGCTGAAACAATTCAGAATTCACAGCCAGAAGATGACCGTGAAAACATTTCTCAATCAGAGAAAAAGTCTGTTTTGGAGAAGAAAAATGCCAGAGTAGAAAAAACTGAAGGAGCAGATGACACTATTAAGCCAGTTATCAGGAAAATCAAAAAGTTGCAAGTAGAAATTCAAAAGTCTGAGTCAGAAGATGTTCTTGAAAATAAAACCAAATTGACGAAAAAAACAGTTATAGGTAAAAATAATGTTAAAAACAAAACCAAACCAGTTTCCAAAAAGATACATGATTTTGGAGAAATGGTAGAGGAAAAAAATAATGTTGACTCTGAAGATGGGATTGAAATCAAACCAGTACTTGAGAAAAAAACAGCTTTGGAGAAGAAGGAAGTCAGTGAAAAACTTGGGGCAGATTTCAAATTGATAAATGAAGAGCCAGTTCCTGGAAAAATCAAGAATTTGAAAGAAATGGTCGAGGCAATTTTCAAGACCAATGATTCAAATGAAATTATTGGAATGACAAATAAAACAGCTATAGAAGAAGCAAAAAGTAAGGATTCCAAAGTTGATCGTCAAAAAATTTACAAAATATCAAAAAAATCTCAGGAAATGGCAACAGAGTATGCAGATATGAATAAGAAAGAGTCATATCTTGGAAAGGAAGAAGTACCATCCGTTTGTAAGACTCAAGACTTGAAAACCCCTGATACTGATTCAAACTTAATATTTCCAAATCCTGAAGGACTTCAAATTCAATCTACAAACATAAAAGAAATTGTCAAAACAGGACTTCAAAAAAAAACCGAACTGTCCATTGATGACAATCAAAAGAAGCCCGAGATAGTAGAAAACAAGAAAGATAAAGCAACTAAAAAATCTCCCAAAGAAAAGGGCGGGAACGAGATCAAAGTCTTAGCTAAAGTATGCAACAAAAAAAGAGCTAGAACTAAGTCATTCAGAAAGGAATCTACTGAGGAAATAGAAGAACTGAACAACATTACTGATAAAATGAGAAAGTTGGATACCAAAACTACTGAACCCTCCACAGAAAATGACATTTTGGAAGTTGGGAAACTTGAAAATATCGAAAACCAACTCAAGACTTCCGAAAATAAATATAAACAAAACAAATTAGATGATATGATTATGATATCTAAGGATACAGGTGAGGTCCAAAATGTTGAGGATAAACCACCTCTTGATGGAACAATCAAAACACAAGATAAAGTAGACAGTCAAAATATAATTGTGAAAATTAGTGGTAGTGATACAGATAAAAAACTCGTAGTAACAAAAATAGAGAGAGAAAAACAAGAAATCAAAATATCTGAGACAGAAAAAGAAACAAGAGATCAGGAACTGGAGACAATGAATGAAACTGGAGTACAAAACACTAAAAAGCAACTTCTTCTAAAATCAGAGGATCCATCGAGGAAGTCTTCTGGTAATAGAACCAGCACCACAGAAAAGACAGCTGAAAAAGACACAAAACTAGATCAGAAACTTGAAAAAATAAATATACCTGTAAATATCCAAGAGCAAAATGTTGATCAGTCCAAACCACTGAAACAATTCAGTGAGGCAGGAACCAAAAACATCAAAAACCAAATTGAAATAGAGATTGAAGCTGATCAGCCACTGGAAACACCTCAAGACAGTAGAGCAATCGCAGAAGTTCCTAGAAATGTGAAGAATGTGCCTGAAAATTCGCTAAAGGACACAGACGTTTCTATTAAACCGCTCATCATTTCTAAAAATGAAAAGAATGTGTCTGAAAATTCGCAAAAGGACACAGACGTTTCTATTAAACAGCTCATCTTGACCAAGTTGAAAAAGGCAGTTCCAAGAAGAGACGAACCGACCCTTAAAAAGGAACAAGAAGTCGATAAAATGAAGCTGATATCCGATAAAGAAGAACAGTCAATGCCAAAAATGACTCAAAGACCTAGCAGGAAAACTAAAGAAGCTGCTGCCATCTACATGGAAATCTTGAGCCACAAATTAGTCCAAGAAAGTCGCATCGACGATGACAACATCTCAATAGACAGTTTCCCCGAGCTGCCAAATGTCAAAAAAACCGAACAACGCGAAAACGAGCTGAAGAAAGCTCAAACCAAAACTACTAAGGATAAAACCGATGACAAACCACCTCCACACGAAATGATAAACATTGAAGACATACCTGATGACATAAAACTGAACGAACTCAAACACAGACTTCAAAGTGCTGTGATGACTCCTAAAAAACAAGCTGCTACAAAGAGCAAACCTTCTCCTAGTAAAACCAAAGTTCAAGACCAGGACTTCTCAGATTCCGATGAAATCGACATCAAAACGCTGATATCCAGAATGTCGGAGGACAAAATCGAAGAACCCGACAAAGATACAAAACCGAAAGAAGAAAAAGTACTTCCCAAACGACAATCGAGAAATATCCCACAAACGTACAGAACCGAAGACAGCTACGGCTCAGACGAATCTTTCTACGTGGAAGTCAAAGTCCCCAGACAGAAAAAATTCACCAGAAGCAAAACCACCAGCAAACCGACAAAAACCGTCTCTACAGACTTAGCCCAGGAAAAACCTGCCAGCCCCAAAGTAAAGTATAGCTCTAGCGATTCAGATGAATCCTCCACATCTGACATCAACCTCCAAGTCTTAGCCAACAAAGCCAAGAGCAAGAAGTTCTCGAAAACCAAGTCCGTGAAAAAAGTCGAGCTGGACTTCAGTGACTCAGACGAAGAACCCTTGTCAAAATTAACTGGAAGTCAAAAGTCCACGATACCGAACCTAGAAAAACGCAAAGAGGAACTCCCCAAGACCACGAGTCTAGCGAGAAAAGCTTCCCCAAAGCCTCATGAAGAGGCTAAACCAGAGGCGAAGCCGAAAAGGGAGTGCGCGAAGATCCCACAAAACTACCTACCGATGTTCTCCAGTTCGGACGAAGAAGACATCTTCCATGGTTTCGACGAAAAAACCGAGAAAAGCAAACCTTTGGACCCTTCTTGCAGCCACACGCCTCCACTTCTAGACCTCCTGAACAAAGATCTGAGCAGGAGATTCGGGAAGGAGAAGGTGAACATGTCGAACGAGCAAATAGAGAAATGGCTGAAAGATTCAGCTTTAGCGGGCAGCAGCATCAAGAAAGAAGACGACGATATGCTCAAGTTCGGCGAAAAGGTAACCTCAGAGTAAATAGTTGAATCATATATCTACTACTCATATATGAAGCATAGCTGTCCTTATAGCGGGACCAACTTCTGTCTCTATAGGTAACGAAATCGACCAATAGGCGTTGATGCCGACGTAGGGAAAAATAATACGACAATATGGCTACTTATCTCAAATTTACCATCCTTCGCTTTCCGTCCTTATGATTCAAAGAGTACCTCCCAATGTGGTCCCATTTTTGTTGAGATATCGTATAGGCGATGCGACATAATAGAAATAGTAGTAATATGAGTTGAATTACGTTAGGTTATTTCTTGTACGGAAAAGGCATCACATTCGAAGGACCTCTGTGGAACCGCTGCCAAGTTGCTAATTCGGAAGGAATTTTTGGGATAAAACATCTTGTTCAACTCGGCATAAATAGCTTGCAACATAGTTGTCTCTGCTAATAATAAAGAACTCACCAGTTATATTGAGGTACATAACAAAATGAATTATATGGATTATTGAAAGATGAACGTGGCGGTACCGAAAGGTTTCATTGTAGACAACCAATAATCGTTGTGAGAAATGTCATTTGTCGTTTTTTTTAGAAATGGTTTTCCGGCTGTTGTGTGATAAATTTCCTGTGTTTCAGCAACTCATTTATCATTATAAATCTAAATCAGACTAATTTGTGAATGAATGTGGCTCAGCAGTTTCAAATATGTAGAAAAAAGTTAGGTACAAATAATCCTAACCTGATATTTCACAGGTACGTAAAAATTTGGTCCAGTGGCGGTCTCGTCTGATGGCTTGCTTTTGTTGATGAAAAGCGTGTTTAAAATATTTAAAATAACAAATAACCTCACTAAGACGTTACATATCGGTTGATTTCATTTGGGGTACCGTCAAATTGCGGTACACAATTCAAATATTCAGATGTGAATGGTTCTGCCATTCTGATTTCGATAACTCGATTGATTGCACTAAATTCTGGGAGATTTCGGGAGTTTGTACTTTAATTAATTGTTGAAATGGGAAATTTTGTGAGTCAACTGAAGAATTGTTAAGATTAAAATATTCGAGAATTTCAGTTAGATTGTCGACAGACATTAATGAATTGTACTTACATAAAAAGGACGAGCACTTTGAGCATCTCTGACTATGAGATAACGTCTGGACTTGCGATTTTCGTCACCTCCAGGTGCGTTATTCCAAAACTCGATGATTGAATGGTAGTAGGAGTCGTCGTCGGGTCTTCGATAGACTGGGTTTCTTGAGATTTGAAGAGCCACTCCGCTTCCAACACCTCCAGCACGAATCAACACTGTTCGAATATCCGATTAATCGTAGATACGAAAGTGTCCCGTTCGATACATTACAACTCGGATATCCTACCGACTGCGCCAAATAACTATTTGAGATACCAAAGTTCCTTTTTGAAAACAATTTGTTTCAATATACTGGTTATGACAAGGTACTAAGATGTTGATCGTACGAATATCAAAGTCTGACTGAGAGTGAGAATGCCGCAAAGTGGGAATCTCACGAGAGGGCTTCCAGGAAAACTGCAAGACACAGCATCGGCGACTCAGCATTTTCCTATGGGAATCTTAACGGCTGGCGATGACATGAGAGTTAATTAATTGACACATACACAAATTCATAGGAATCCTGATTTATTAGATATAAATAAAATTTATCTATAACGAATACCAATTATTGGGCATTGATTCCACAGAGCTATCCTCATCACTCGCGATTTCATTTATTTATCAGTGTTTGGCGTTCAGGATTGTTATATACTTCTTGATGATTCATGAATGAATCACGGTTCTATCTATTGTTATTTTGTGTGACAAGGTCACCAACGAGGCTAAGACGGAAAAACCTGCCGTCAAGCTTACCTTGGCAGATACCAAACTCGAGGCTACTCCTGTCAAATCTGACAGCTCGAAGGCTGGTGACGTCAGCAAGCCGCTGATCGACAGGAAACTGATTTTCCGCAAGAACAAGAAAGAGTCGGCTCCCAATATCAATGCGTTCTCACCGGAAAATGAGAGTAGCGTTTATGCTTTCGGAGAAGAGAACGAAGATGTTATTAGTACACCGTTTAGGAGGCCTTCTAGAAGGCCTTCCAGTACTGCCACCTCCAGGTCTGAGGATGAGTCTTCCAAGTTTGAAGAAACGTTGAAAATTGGTGAGCATAAAAATAGCAACTGCTATAGCTGTAGTAGTAGGAACAATCACATTATTATTTGATGATTTAGTGGTTATAACATGATTTACTTTTGGTAGGTACTTTAGTTTGTAGAATATTTATCTAATAAGACAAAACATTAATAATGCGTTATTTATTTGTAGGGCAATTTAGGAAACCCAGTTTGAAGCAAGAACCCTTAAAGAGCAGCAAAGACGAACCAGATCTAGAAACGGAAGAGAACACTTTCTACATTCCCCAAAAACCTTCCAAACACTGCCTCTCCAAATTCCACAACAAAACTTTACTGAAACTCTCGAAGAGTAACGAGAGACTATCGGAATCCGACGACTTCAAATATAAAATACCTAGCTCTCCTAGCGCTAGCTCATCTTCTAGCACCAAATTGTACAAGAAGAAACAAAAATCCAAGCTGCCGGAAACCATCTCCCCCGTATACATCTCGGACTTCCCTAAGAAAACTGATGCGGCCAAACTGGTCGAAGCTCCGATCTTTCATCCCACTGAACAGGAGTTCCAGGTAAACAGAAAAAATCTTGCTTTTCATGGCTAAGTAAGTTAAAAAGTCACCAAGGAGAGCCAAGTATGGTTTCTATTTGAAATAACAGAGTTGGCATCGATATCAAACAATTTATAAGCGATTTATATATTCTTGGCAAGTGTATCTTTTTCTATGTCATAAAGAGCCTGTAGAAATTTATGACCGTCTGGAAAATATTATGAATTATTTAAAGATGAACATGGCGGTACCGCTTAGTTTCATATTAGACAAAGCAATAATCACGGTTATATCGAAGACTGGAACCTTTGGCACGATAATACACTACACACTGTTTTACCACTAAGCAAACCGATTTTTTACACCTGGACACCTGTTTCCCTAACTTTGTTAGTATCTTGAGGAGAAGATTAAAACTGAATACTCTATCCTAGTGGGCTACTTATATACTAAGTTTATGTCCACCCAACAGTAAATAGACAATAACCGCCAAGTTAATGATATTCATGGTTGAGTTCACCTGTTTTATGACTAAACTTTACAGAGGGCTAAATAGGATAGGTCTTAAATATTTCTAAGCTTTTATATGCATCTAATTTTCTAACATTATTAAAGCAAGTTGTTGGCGTATACTTTTCAAAGATTTATGGATTAGTTTCGGTGTGTATTTATTGATATTTAGTCTAAGCACTCGCCCGCAAATGTACAAGTGTACAGCACCAATTGCGATTTCAATCATTCATCCATCGTCACCATTTTTATTATTATACATACATTTGAAATTTTTTAAGCATAGGTATAATGATTATTCTAGTAATTGGTAGAGTTTGAGCTCATCCTTGTTTGAGTGAATGAATGATTGAAATTAAGATTTGATTTCAATGAGGGAAAACATGTCTGTTTGTCTAGTTGAATGTGAATGTATATTAGCATTAATTTTATAATTCAAATTGGATTGTTTATAATTTTGTTTGACTCAATGAATGAATGTTTGACAATGATTCATGAATGAATCGCGGCCTCTATCTATTGCTATTTGTACCGGGTCTTCAACAATGATTAAACACCACGTCACCATAATATTCGTATGCTACCAATTATAGTCAACACTCACTTATTGGGAGAACATTGAGATTAGTTAAGGAAAATGGTTTGAACATATTTCATGGATATTTTAATAGTTTCAAAACACTGGTTAAATCTGTACTTTGAAACATAGAGCTCTCTCATAAGTTCGATTTATTGTATAGATTTAAGACGAGTATTAAGAATATTTACCTTTTGAATTATTTTTATGTAATGGGGTTTCCCGTAAAAAAATGAAACAAAATACGTTTAGTATCTAGTCTGAGGATGATATCGAACGACACCGATTATTCCAGGACCCTCTCGAGTACATCGAGCGCATTCGGCACAAGGCGGAACAGTTCGGCCTTTGTCGGATAGTGCCTCCGAGCACGTTCAAGCCCGAGTGCAAGGTGGCCGACGATATGCGCTTTACCGCGTACAACCAGTACGTGCACAAGATGCTGCACCGATGGGGGCCCAACTTCAAGGAGCTGATGGCCATCAAGAAGTACTTGGAGACGCAGAATATTAGTTTAGTGCATCCACCATGGGTAAGAAGGTTTATTTTTGATATATATATATATCTCTTTATTTAGTTGAAAAACTAATTCATTTACAATAGTAAATACATTCACATTATAAATAAACTTGTGGGCGTGGTCTTGTCCCTTCTCAGCATTCAGCACAATGTTGCCAAGTCTCCAACATTTACATGCAATTTTGTTATGGACATGCTGTATGTGTGAACAAAACGACTTCTTGCATTGTTGCCAAGGTTTGAAGGTTGTCAGGATTCCCAGGATATTTTGCGAGTCCGGTTTTGTTTTCCAGATCGGAGGCATGGAAATAGACTTGCCGAAGCTGTACCAAACCGTCCAGACTTTGGGAGGGCTCAAGGAAGTGATAGAGAAGAAGAAATGGCCGAGAGTATCGGAACTGATGAAAATACCGAAGTCCGCACAAGATCGCGTCACCAAACTCGATGACATCTATTGCAAATATTTATTACCCTATGACACATTATCTATAGGTGAGAATAATATTAATTGTTTTTGTGGAATTAGGTTGAAAATCTGCTCATAACTTTATTTCTTTTTTTTTTTTAGCCGAGCGGGAAAAGCTTTTTGACGAAGTGGAAGCCGAATGGGCGAAACGGGAATCAAAAAACTTGCTGAAGCAACAGCAAAAACCTCCGGAAGATTCCAACGGCGAAACTAACGACAACGACTCGGATTTCGAGGATGACGCTGATGAGTGCATCACCAAAGGTCGAAACATCGCTCTGAGCGCCTTCTACAGGATAGCCAGGAACACCATGAGCATGTATTTCAAAACGAACGAACCGTCTGCCCAAGAAGTAAGAACAAATGACGAGTGTCAGAAGTTTGATTTATGTAAATACAGGGTGATCAAATTCTGATATCAGCTCTGAAATGTTTTAAAAGGAAATCTGGAATATATTCAATATTTATGATTAAGGTTTTGTGGAAACACTGAGGGAATTAGCATACTGGGTGGTACATGGTTTGAATAATGTTGATAAAAAACTCGATTTAATTTTTTAGTACTCCATTGGCAAGAGTTCAGTGAATTTCTCGATTCTGCTTCTCATCATCCAACTTTTGAACCTCTGATTTTTCCTTATATTCCCTATCGTTTTAACGTTATTAGATATAGTAGTTTACCTAACAAGTGCGGAAAGTGAATCTTTTCCGCACGTGTAAGGTACACTGTTTTTTTTCTGCAAGCATTATAGTGTTGAATGAGTCACTTTTCCTCACTAGTGCTTTTCAGGAAGAATCTAAAAATGTGATAAAATAGGGTGTTCCATTTGAAAAATCAATGTTGCTACTACTTTCTAGTAAAAGCGGCAACACTGCGTTGCTACAAATATTCTTAGAGCTGATATTATTTCATCGAATCCTCTCAATTTCCTGAGTATTGGTCCTTAAAATTTCAATTTGCTTCACCTTCTTGTCTCTTTTTCAACGATGTTACCGTTTTTTCTTTCAGGTGGAGCAAGAATATTGGAAATACGTGACAATGAGAGAGAATCATATTTGCGTCAATTCCGGTTCGATAGATTCCGGTAATTGGGGTTATGGTTTCGCAGTTTCCAAAAACAGCCCGTTCGCGAGGCACCCATGGAATCTCAAAGTGCTGACCAATAACAGTGGGTCTCTGTTGAGGTCTATTGCACCTCTTATGGGTAAGTGAAAAGTCGTTTGGCGGTGTTGGAAAGAAAGTTGTTCTGTGCCACTTTCACTAGCGTCTGGGGTAATTGTCAAAAATATTTTTTAAATCTCAAATTTAAAACCATGTATCTCTCTTATTAGCAATATTATCAAGGCAAGATTGCTCAAGTTGAGATGTTTTGAAGTCGAAAAACTTGCAAAATACAATAGGCGAGTGGACGACTTTTTTTATTTCTTATAGAATCATACTCAATTATTACGTCTCACATATATGGCAGCAATCTATTGAAGAATATGGTGAAAGCTTAGCCGTGGCACTTGATATCTCCAAGGCATTCGATCGAGTCTGGCACCACGGTCTCCTCGCCAAGCTTCAATCTTATGGCTTGCCTCCTTAGCTATGTTCACTGCTAGCTAGTTTTCTCTTAAACAGGTTTCTCCATGTAGTGGTCGAATGAGTTTCATCTGACTCTTATCATAAATGCTGGTGTTCTGCAAGGATCAATTCTAGCACCAACACTATTTCTACTCCATATCAACGATTTGTTGGAAGCAACTTCATGTCCAGTACACAGCTTCGCGGATGATAGTACCCTCCATACCGCCTTCTCTTCCAGGGTTCCAATACCAGCCAGGCAAATCAGAAACGAACGAGGGGAAAATATTGACAACATAAATATGATTTTGGCAACAATAATTCTCGAATGAGGATCCAATGACTTGGTAGATTTCAATGCAAACAAAACACAATGGTTATTCCAAATTTTTTGGGATTTTCTCTCCTCGTTTCTATAAAATAAAAATATGAATATTATTTCAATATACGTGTAGTAAGGACAAATCAGATGATTTGCCCCAAAATGTCACTGCGTTTAAAGAATTTTCCTATCAGAGAGCCTAAAAGAAAAATTCACTAGCTTGTCAGTGACAATTTGTATTGAAAAAATTTTTGGAGAAGGGAAATAAAGGTATATAGAAAAAATATCAAATTTTCACTTATCTTTGGACGTTTCGGGACCACGTCCAAAGATAAGTGAAAATTTGATATTTTTTCTATATACCTTTATTTCCCTTCTCCAAAAATTTTTTCAATACAAATTGTCACTGACAAGCTAGTGAATTTTTCTTTTAGGCTCTCTGATAGGAAAATTCTTTAAAACGCAGTGACATTTTGGGGCAAATCATCTGATTTGTCCTTACTACACGTATATTGAAATAATATTCATATTTTTATTTTATAGAAACGAGGAGAGAAAATCCCAAAAAATTTGGAATAATGAATGTACCACCTCCTCGATTAACCTACAGACAGTATTAAAACACAATGGTGCCTTTTCTCTAGAAAAGCCGATCTCACTGTGCCCAATATAAGCTTGTCAGGAGTAACCATACCTTTGAAGACATCCATTTTAATGCTTGGTATGACTATCAGCAGCAATAACTTTTCTTGGGAAAATCACGTGAGATTAATTGCTAAAAGTGCATTCCAAAAACTTGGTTTTCTGTTTCGGGCCAGGAGCTATTCCACTTCCTGTCAGCTGCAACTGTTGGATTCTGTCCTAAAAAGGGCAATTCGTCTCGTGGGTGATGCCTCGCTCACAAACTCACTCACTTCTCTGGAACACAGTAGAAAAGTTGTCAATCTGGCTCTATTTTATAGATATTTTCATGTACGATGCTCTTCTGAAATATCAACAATTGTTCCTCCCTCCTCAATTTTTTACCACAATTGACTAAACTACCTGAAATTACTTTGTCCATTGAGGTGGACATTTCAATTTTCACACAAAAAAACCAAATATGTTGTTTTTTTTCACATAGAAAATTCATAAAAATAGAGTGAAACAAGGAAGAAAATTTTTTTTCTGTACATCTTAATGATTTGGCCCCGAAAAGGTTAAGAAGAACACCAATTCCTACCTTATTTCCCTTGGTTCTCACGATTTTCTCTGAACATAACAGGATATCCCCGTTTCGTGGGAACCAGAACATAAAAAAACCATACAAATGCATCAAAACAAAACTGTCAACTGCATTAACAAACTCTCACGTTCCCCTTGTCCTCTTGTTCCCAGCCGTCACAGTACCGACTTTGCACTTCGGCATGGCGTTCAGCGCGGGCTGCTGGTACCGCGAGCCGCACGGCCTGCCCTGGATCGAGTACCTGCACACGGGCGGCGCGAAGGTGTGGTACGGCGTGCCCGAGTCGGCGGGCAACGCCTTCAGGGCGGCCCTTGGGCGAGTGGCGCCGAGGCTGTGCCGCCCCGAGGAGCCGTGGCTGCCCTCCGACACGGTGATGGTGCCGCCCAAGGTGCTGGTGGAGAACGGGGTGTCGCTGTGCAGGACGGTAAGTGGGGGTGAGTGGGTCGAGGTTGGGTAATTGCATTGCTGAGTGGAAGCCTTCTGGTATATTTCTCCTCATCGTTACGTCGTTATATTGAGACAAAAGGCACAAACGATGCAATCTTTTCCGTTCTTGAACATGTCTACACACAAAATATAATTCGTTCCATTTGCAATTCGAAAGTTGAAAACCAAGTGGAATCAACAAATAATGCGAAACTCTAAATGTCAAGGCGATGTAGTAGTATTACCACTTCACTTCTACAACATCCTTTTCCCTCAACAGGTACAAGATTCCGGCCAGTTCGTCATTGTCCTCCCCAAATCGTTCACCTCCAATATGATAAAAATATAATCCAAAAGTTGAGAACCAAGTGGAATCAACAAAAATTGCGAAATTCTGAGTACTTCAATCTGTTGATAAAGAAAAAAAAATGTCAAGGTGATGAAAGAAATTAGTTCACTTAGTAGTATTAACACTTCACTTCTACACCACCCTTCTTCCTCAACAGGTACAAGAACCCGGCCAGTTCGTCATCGTCTTCCCCAAATCGTTCACCTCCAATATGATAAAAATATAATTCAAAAGTTGAAAACCAAGTGGAACCAACAAAAATTGCGAAATTCTGAGTACTTCAATCTGTCGATAAAGAAAAAAAATGTCAAGGCCATGAAAGAAATTAGTTCACTTAGTAGTATTACCACTTCACTTCTACACCACCCTTCTTCCTCAACAGGTACATGAACCCGGCCAGTTCGTCATCGTCTTCCCGAAATCGTTTACCTTCAATATATTGAAAATATAATTCAAGAGTTGAAAACCAAGTGGAATCAACAAAAATTGCGAAATTCTGAGTACTTCAATCTGTTGATAAAGAAAAAAAATTTCAAGGCGATGAAAGAAATTAGTTCACTTAGTAGTATTACCACTTCAATTCTACACCACCCTTCTTCCTCAACAGGTACAAGAACCCGGTCAGTTCGTCATCGTCTTCCCCAAATCCTTCACCTCCAATATGATAAAAATATAATTCAAAAGTTGAAAACCAAGTGGAATCAACAAAAATTGCGAAATTCTGAGTACTTCAATCTGTCGATAAAGAAAAAAAATGTCAAGGCGATGAAAGAAATTAGTTCACTTAGTAGTATTACCACTTCACTTCTACACCACCCTTCTTCCTCAACAGGTACAAGAACCCGGCCAGTTCGTCATCGTCTTCCCCAAATCGTTCACCTCCAATATGATAAAGATATAATTCGTTCTATTTGCAATTCAAGAGTTGAAAACCAAGTGGAATCAACAAAAATTGCGAAACTCTAAGTACTTCAATCTGTTGATGAAGATAAAAAATGTGTCACGGCGATGAATGAAATTAGTTCACTTAGTAGTATCAACACAGCACTTCTACACCACCCTTCTCCCTCAACAGGTACAAGAACCCGGCCAGTTCGTCATCGTCTTCCCCAAATCGTTCACCTCCTGCCTCAGCACCGGCTACACCGTCTCCGAGAGCGTCTACTTCGCGCCCGCCCACTGGCTCAAGACCGCCCGCGCCCTCTTTCAAGCCCTGCGCACCGCCCGCGAGCCCTCCATGTTCGCCCTCGACCGCCTCCTCATCAGTGCGGCCAACGACCCGCGCAGCACCGTCGAGATCCTGCGCCAGGTGGCGCCACACGTCCAGGAAGTGTGCGAGAGAGAGCGGGCGGGCAGAGAGCGGTTGGGCGGCCTTGGGCGGATCGCGCGGGAGCGGCTGCCGCTGCCCGAGGTCGGAAAGGGTGGCAAGCGGAAGGTGCGGGCAGGGGAAGAGGGGGATTACGAGTGCGACGTGTGCAGAATGAGTCTCTTCGTGTCGATGGTGAGTGGAACTGTTTGCTGCTTTTTTTTTCACTCACTGCACCATTTACTCTGCTTTGGGGTCACTATAGAAACATTGTTTCTCCAACGAAAGTTAGTTTCAGCAGATTTTTCATGTTGTGGATGATTCCTAGCAATTTTTTCGTTCGGGCTTCGGTTACGTCTTCTCTTAGATGTTCTGTTCCTGAACTAGTCCCATTTCAAGTCTTCCGTTGAAAAATAACATGTTCATAACTGAAAATATCTCGGATAACAACGATTATTCCACTCATTTCAAAGGAAAATGATAGGATTGAAAAGGAATATTCTCAGATATATTTATGAACACAAAAAATGGATATTCATATAATTGAGAATTCGCATTCTCCATGTGATGAAAATATTAATTCTTCCTCGGTTTATTCAACAGAAAACAACTACTTTCCTGGCTATATGTCACGATGAACATTGAATTATATCTATTGAACACACACAATAAGAATTTGAAAAGAAAATCTTCTGAAGTAAAGAATTTGCATTCTCCTTCATATAAAGATATGCACATAATATCATTCTGGATATTCAACAGAAAACAACTACTTTCCTGGCTATTTGCTAGAATTGAATAATGTCATATTAAGATCACGTATGAAATTGACATTTTGTAAGACCTCTCTTAACGCCTATGAATGTGACGTGACAGCAATGTCATGTCAGGGACGCCAATACACGAAACCAAAGTCACTAGATGATTAAAAGAGAAAGGAGCTATGATCTGTCCATACCCTGTTGGATGACAAATACACGTCAGTTTGCATCAAGGGACCTTAACTAATACTATCCAGTGACTCTAGGCTTCAGTAACTTCTCATAGATGTTGTTTTTCTAAACTATTCTCATTTTGGAAGTTCCATAAGAAAATATCATTTTCAAAAATGAATATATCGCAATAGTGAGTGAAACTGAATTTTCGAATGAGTTAGGAATGGAGGAGTTCGAATAATGTTTTCGGAGGAGGAAAGAAAAACCCGTATCGATATTTGATGAAATTGTTCAGAGTTCTACAACTTTGAAAACACCACACCATGTAAATTCCTCCGCTCAGCCAACCAATCCCTTTCCAGATTTTTGATACCGTCGAAGGAACAAACTACTGTCTGGACCACGGCATAGAAATGCTGGAAGCCAAAAGATCCCAGCTGCCCAACTGCAAGTTTATGTTCACCTACGACGACGACGAACTAGCCGGGCTGCCCGATAGAATAAAAACGGCCATCGAGAACAAAGGGCAAAAGAAGGTGCCGAACAAGTACGCGGGCTTGCCTACAATGCTCACCAAGTGAAGCGGACAGGCGATTTCGATTGTTGTTCGATGTTGTTGCCTAGCTAGCGATGTTGCTTCTGATATCGTCTGTGATCACTGTTCTCGTCGATGTTTTTCGTTTGTTACGAATTTTCATTTGGTAACAGGTGGCGCAGAAGTAATCACCTTATTGGATGTCATCCTGATTCTGGCATTTTGTAGAAGCCAGATGTAAAATACACATGAACGAGGTGTATGTGGCGGATTCATTCAATGTCTCATGTGATGTGAGTAAGCCACAAATCTTGGTTGATGTTTTTCACGCCTTTATAGGATTAAATAATAGTTGTTATACTTCATGGTGGTAAAGAATATTATTATTACTCAAAGATATAAGGTCCCGTGAAAAAACAGTATTAAACAGAAAAGTCAGGTGATTATTGTTCTGCCACCTTGTCTGAACGTGAACCTTTGATACTCAGACACCATGATTAAAAACGCATATGTGATCACTTGAGTCTGTGAAGAAAATGTGGACTTTTTGAATCAGATCAAATCTGGCTGCTTTCTATTTGGTTGTTTTTTACTCACTTACATCACTGTTCGAACATAATGACTATTGTCATTGAAATAATTCGAGGTAGGTAGTGATTAGCAATAATTTTCATAAGAAATCTTATGTGTGATATTTTTCCTAATAAAATGTATTTCATTCCATGGAAAAGATGGTCTATCAATAAATAGAATATGTTTTTACCTATATTTTGAAATTAGTCTTTCATGATTTGACAATAAATATTTTATTGATTGTCACATTTTTAGGCATCGTTTTACTTCATGATATTGCATTTGATGCTTTCGGATATTAATAAGAACAAACTATTTTTCTTATTACGTTATTAAATTATTTCGGACATCCTGTTCAAATTAGGTATGGGAGGAAAATTGTATACATTTTAGAATAGTTCATATTTATTGTATAAATCTTCGAAAAATTTAATAAATGTATATAAATATTACATTTGACGAATTTATTTGGTGGATACCGAAGCGAAAGTAGTTATTTACATATTCTACACTTTACAGTACAAACAAAATATACAAATGGAAAATAAAAATAAATAAATAATAAAAATAACAAATAATGTCACTCATCATAATAACTAAGATGGGTGATTGATTGAATAAAGTGAATTGATGAGATATTCCAAATATCAACTTCATAAAAAATATTTTTTTCTCTTATGAGTTGATTGCATAAACTATTGGAATGCATCAAGATGCAACCAACGTTAGTTTAATTAATTATAAAATGCTATGCACTTTCATGTACCGAGTACATCAGTCAATATCAATTTACTCACATGAAATTAGTGAGATCATTGGAATCATGGGGTGAACAAGAGCGATGACCACGAATACAGGATTTTATCTTACAACTTTTTCAAAAAAACTACACTGGGTCCCCAACAGGAAAAACAGCCAATCAAATTCATTTAGCCCCTCCCAAAAAATGAAAATACTATGTACCAATACGTTCCCACTCTCTAAAGCCAATCGTTTCCGAAAATTGGAAATTGCAGTACGTACACCAATGTCACCAACGTCATTCTTCTCAAATACTCCAAATTTCAAGGAGGTGACATGATCCCAATGAAATTAAAAAATTTTTGAACGAGAAACAAAATCTCAAGACTAAGAGATTCTTGGGAAATTTCGTCACGAAAGTCTGCAGAATTGTGGCATTTTTGTCTCTCTTTATTGATTCTTCTGAATAATGGTTGCAAACGGCTGGCATCTGGAGACACCTTGAACTCGATGAAAAGCAACCAAACGTTTCTCCACATCCCCAAAAGTGACATTGGTGACGTCACGACCAATCAGCAAACCCTGTTTAGCCCCTCCCACAAGATGCGCCCGTACTCTCACAGCCCATCTACTACCTACCGGGTCTGTTCAATATATCGAACAGCACCTCCGTGTCGCTCTTGTCTTCCTCGCTGTCCTCGGACAGGCCATACAGGGTGTTACCTTTCATCAGGTGCTCGCCGATGTCGTCGACGGTTTCGTAGGAGCGAGTCGGAGATTTGACGGAGGTTTGCGTCCGTATTTTGTGAACGACGTGGAAGGAGATGCCGCAAAGGCAGACGATTAGTCCTAGAACGTTCAACGGGGATAGTTCGTCTCCATTCCATTGGACGGCCAGGACCAGTTGAAACACTTCCTGTAAATCCATTAGGGAATGAATGGTTTTCGTATTTAAATGAGAATCCAATTTTTTGTACCTTGAAAATTCCAGCTATGGCCAGAGTTAAGCCAGAAGTATAGGTAACAACAGTGACTTCACTGAATTCCATGAAAAACGCTATGAATGCACCCAATAAAATATTCATGACTAGTATGAAAAACATTGAGAAATCATCATAGCCAAATAATTGACAATTTCTGACTGCTGCAGGACCTAAAAACAAACGAAATCAATAAGTAGAAACAGTTATAAGAAAACAGATCAAACAATTTATAAAAAATTTGTCATTTGTACACTGAGAATTGAAGATTCAAAAGCTACCTTCCATCCATATGGCAAAAGGCAATACAGATGCTATCATCCAGGGTTGCATGTGGTAGATCATGTCAACTGGGTTGGTCATCCCCATTTTTGACTTTTGCAATAACATCTGGACACAAGTCCACCGCACACCACTGGATATAGAAGCCATCAGCAACAGTGCAAAGCCCAATAAGTTGAACTGAGTTGATTTGTAAGTGAAGAGAATCAGCCCTAAGGTTATCATCATAACTATGCCACTGAGGCTCCAGGACTGCAAAGAACATTATACAATTTGGCTTAGAAAATTGAAAACAAAATTCATCATTAACTATTGACATATTTTTACTTTTGCTTCAAAATCTACTAGTTTGTAGCTCTTCAATGAACTGGAATTTAATATTCAAATAGCATAATATGAAACTTAGCAAGTATATATCACAGTATTACATACTATGGCTGGGCAGTGGGTGATATTAGATTTCACATATCAGTGGGTGACTGATCTCTGTATCAGTCATCACATATCAATAAGTTCGATACATCGAATATCAATATATCGATAGTAATCGATATATCACACTATCTATTCCTATCGTTAATTCGTTATTCGCGAGATTCACGAAGTGGGCGACATCTAGGTTAGATAATACGAACTTAAAACTGGGGGAAAACAAACTATTGTCTATGGATAAAGTGCATAGACTACATTGCATACATCTTGCTGTAGCTGTCAAACTTGTCAATGACATAAAGTGTTATCACTCTTATCAGTACACAAGCTAATGGAACTAATGGGATTGAGTTTGTTTTCCCCCAGTTTTGACGTGGCTTTGACATGGAACGATGAAAACCGAGCGCCACCTGGTGACATTGATTCCCGGGAAGCTATCAATTTATGGATACATCAGTATTTGATTTTTTCCCACCCCTAACTCAAATCAGAGATTATACACTCCCCCAAATCAAGTTTATTTTTTCTCCAAACTGAAGAACCTCCAACCACACAAATTAAATCAGCATAAAAACTACCTATGCAATATATTTTCATGCCTGACCAAACATGACAAAAAAAAAATTGTTTCAGAAAAATTATAACTATTGTCTGGATATTAGGAAATCATTTTTTTTTTTTTTTTTTTTATCGCTTGGAGCGCACGAGAGGGAATCCCTATAATGTTCAAAGAACATCGTGCGTTCCTAGGGAGGATAGGGATAGGAGGTAGGTATTGGAATTCTTTTTGAACTTCTGGAGATTATATGTTGTTGGGAACACTTCCACAGGCAATGAATTAATTTAGGGGTCACACAAATATAATAAATTCATTTTTTCCAATATATCAAGAAGAAATCAATAGTTATCAATATATCAGTAGTTATGTATATGATAATTATCCATAGTTCTCCATGTTTCAAAAATTATTGATATATAATTATGGATATTTATCAATAGTTATTGATATACTGAAAGTTATTGATAGTTATGATGAATATATGGATGATTTTGAAATCATATATTATTCCATGTATCTATATATTCATTAATATATTGATATTTTTTTTCCAGGCCTAATACAAACCTTCTTTTCCAGTTTGAACAGTATGGAAAAAAACAGTATAAAAACTATAGTTGTAGATTTTGTCATAGTATACCTGAAAACAGAGAAAACAACATATTATATTTCACAAATCAATTAGAAAATAAGTGCAACATTCATAACAAGAGATCAAAGCAAACATGTTTATTCATGGATTTGTTGATGCTCCAACACAAAAACAAGATAAAGCAGAATACTAACAAAGATATGTTGACTAGTTCCAAACCCCAGTTTGACAAACTAATGTCTAGTCCACTGAAAATACCAGTTGGAGCCACAGCAAGGATATAGTCTTTCCATCCTACCAGCACTCTTTTCTTGCCCTGCCGTTTTATCAGTATCAAACGTATCAAAGTTGCTAAGAGATACTTCACAGTCATATGAATTAGGACGGTTATCAAGGGAAATCGAAAATTCTGAAAAAACAAAGAGATTTTGCACTTACTTCAAGGCGTGTTGCACTTGCATGATTAAATACCTGGTATAACCATCTCTGGTAAAAAGTCAGTCCAATTGAAGGAATGTAATAAGTTCCAATAAGCAATCCAGTGAATAAAGATGACCAAAGACATGCTGGTGTACAAATTTTTCGTTTCATTGGTACTATATCTAACGTTTCCGGTTCATCTGTATCTTCAACGGCAACGTATTTCGGTTTTTTATCAGATTTGAACATATTGTTAACCTTATCTAGTGAATACCTCGATCATACTCCGAAAAATTTCATGTCAACATGTCTTCGTGTTATTCTTTTATGAATTATATTCCAATGCATCGATTTGAGCTGATGATTCTCTGGTTTAGAAAAATTGGAAACTGTTTGTCTTCATTCAAATTTTCACTTCATGGCGTATTTCGTATTTTCATTTTGAGTACTTTGACGTTTAACTTTTAATATTTTATTTACATTTAACATGGAACCATAAAACACTCAAATGCTGAAACTTGGCTGTCAATTGGACATTGAAAGACAGTTTCTTCTTCTTCTTCCTATTATAGGTACCGGAGGTCGGATCTCGGATCGGACATAAACACACACCAATTTCCCCAGAATAATAGAATATTATGAATCACGAATGGATTTGTTCTTTATAACGGTAATATTTTTCCTCAAATTATTTATTCATTTGATTCTCCTTATTTTTTCAATATTTTTCCTAAATTTTCTTTCCACATGATCTGCTCTGGTTCCAATCCATGCAAGTTCAAGTCCTAATACCTACTTTGAAAACAGAATATACAAATTTTAATATACTTAATATTATAAAATTTTAATTCAAATCTCTGTGTATGTACAAAATTGATGATAATCATGAATTCATCATGAACATTCCTCCTCAATCAAATGCAAAACAAAACCTAAAATATCAAAATTAGGGAGTCCGATTGTGCCTATTTTTGTGCTGCCTCTGTCTGGGCCTCTTCTGGTTATCCTGCTGGGGCCCATTCCCAGGAGCCCTAGCCGTACTATTGGGAGTCAACTTCGCAGGTCCTGCTATATTATTGTGCACCATTGGAGCCGAACTAGTCACAGGGGGCTGCGTGGGGCCCACTCTACCAGCACCGTTGTTTGTCCCATTGTTCAGAGGTAAGCTATGTGGGGGCCCACAGGCCGAGGGCATTTGTGGCACTTGCGTCGGCTCGCTCATGTTCAGCTGTTCGTTGAAAACCATGCAAAACTCGCCTATCTTCTGCATTTCGCCGCTTTTCGAGATGTACAGGGTGAGGCAGTTTCTCCACATGGTAGCGTAGCCTTTCGTCAGTCTTACTATGTCCCCGGGCACTAGAAGTTGGCCCGCTTCGTCCCAAATGCTGGCGTTGATGCAGGCACTTTGGTCCGCCACTTTGAACGTTCGAACTTCGCGGTTTTCTTTGGTGATTATAGGGTGGCCGACCTCCAGCACTATAAACACTACGTTTAGGTTTTTCTGGCCGTGACGCATATCCTTGATTTGGACGTAGTTGATGTCCATCGTGAAAAATGTGGCACTGAGACTAGTATGAAAATGTTAGGCCAGTAGTTTGGTCATATTTCGAAGAAAACAAAGAGTATTTGCATGAGCTTCGCCTTTTAATAACAGTGAAACGTCAAAGTTGTTGAAATACTTTGAGTTGGTCAACCTGATATGCACCTTGGCGATGTTGCCGCATTGAGGAATAAATTGGAAGAGTACTGAAAACTGGAATTTGAAACCCGTTGATAAATCTCATTCATTTTCTCTTATTTAGAGCACGCAAATAATTTCAAAAAAGTTTTTTTTCAAACATGCCTCATGATTTGTTTAGATATTTATTGTAAAAATATCTTCAACAATAATATAAAAAATGATCTATGGAACATATTCTTTGAAGATTTTAACATTTTCAATATGCATAAAATCCTACAACTTTTAATAGAATCAGAAAAAGAAAATTATTCTTAAATTGTTTTGTAAATTGATGCTTGAACCAAAGTGAAGTCCTCTAAAATTTTATTCACTGCTCTCAGATTTTTTCTTCTTCTTCTTCTTTTTCTCAGAACCTGGATCTCCAGGCACTTCTTCTTTTACTTCCACAGACTCACTTGTTGATTCTTCCAACTCCTGCTTGACCTTTTTCTTCTTCTTTTTCTTAACAGAACCATCCTCTGCTTCTATTTCTTCTTGACCAACAGACACATCCATCGGCTCTTGTTTCACCTTTTTCTTCTTCTTTTTCGGAGTGTCTTCTACAACTTCTAAAACAGAAAATAAAATTGACATTCATTCAACCATATTCCTTTCTTGTAAATCCAACCTTGAGCTTCTTCTTTTTCTTCTATATCCTCTTCCTGTTTCTTCGCCTTCTTCTTCTTTTTCTTAGAAGAACCGGGAGTAGCCATTTCTACTTCTTCAATTTTCACTTCTTCCTTCACATTTTCTGATTCTGACCTCTTTCTCTTACTCACAGAAGGCAAAGTGGAATCTGCAGCTTCAGGGTACTGTTTAATTTCACTCTTTCCCTGGTACTTTTCGAACATAGCTTTAGCTTTGCCTGTGCCGCTGATTCGGCGGTTGTTACCTTCTTCTAGAACTCGAAGCCTAGCTTCTAGCTTGGCCTTATGTTCAGGACCTGTCAAAAACAAATTAAAAGATAATTTCGCAATCAGGCTGCTTGATTACAAAACAAGACTGATTTTCCAATGAACATTATTTATTGTCCACCAAACCGTGCCACCAAAACATGGGGCCAGGTTTGGTAGAACTGACAAATATACTTCTTATTTTCATGTAATATGGCCTCTTGCTATGATATCTTCTTCTCCGTCAATGTAAAAAATTGAGGTCTTTTCTATCTTGATTAATTCTTTCTCTTCAATGATACCAACATAACTGAATTGAAATATCGAGAGGTCCGATAAATCTGCCCTTGTCTAACATCTAGTTTGTGCTAGAGTCCCTGTATATACCTTAGACAAGAGTCCGGACACAAAACTGACAGCCGTTGGGGTTTTTAATATTCTGTTTCATTTGGTTTGCCCACCTGATAAAGTGACGAAACACCATAGTCGTCCGCCCGCTTTTTTAAAATTATTTCGAATTTCTGTCACTGTCACTTTGAAATTTTATGACCACCAAAATTTAGCATTTTAAATGATTTCAATGTCCTGCTGCCTACATTATTGCGATAATTCATTAGAAAAGGTATTCGAGTTATTCAATTTTCAGAATGATCTTGGAAGAATGCAATGAAACGTCCAGAATGGAAAATTAATTCAAAGAAATCCGCAATATGTGAGGTAAATATTCAAATTTACTTGTAATAAGAAAACAGTACAAAAGAGAAGAAATTTAGGCCCATTTTGATAGAGATTCTTTCAAGCTGATGGATTTCAAATTGAGAGAGTCTGCTGTGCCGTCAATTTATGAAATAGAGACGTTCAAAAAAAGAGTCCCGTCGTCATCGTATTGGGAATTATTGAATGATACGATCGCAGAGAAAGAAAATGAGAATGAGATGATGCGGAAAGAAATTGAGAGTTTGAAATCAAAACTAGAAGATTTAGAGAAACTGCAATGTGCTATGTCAGCATTCCATGGTGTTTTTAATTCAGATCAAATTCAAAATTTACAAGTGTATGTAGACTGCAGGAAGAGGTGCTAAACCGACACAATTAATAAAGCACTCGCTATCAAATATATTGTTGTTTTGATTTGGTCACTTTCATTTCTGATGAGTGTTAATGAATTGAGAGAATCGGAGAAAATTATATTGAAACAATTATATATCTTTTATTTTTTTATATCCCAACAGAAAACAACTATATTTTCTTGGCTATATGTGATACCTACCACGTAGAACACCTAAATTATATTCCTTATATCTAATAAAGTGAAGAAATATCTGATCACGAAAATTTGCCATCTCAGGAATTGATTATGAAAATTATCGATTCGAAATTTGAACACCCTGTTGTTCATTATTTGAAAATGTGATAGTTATTCTAGTTGAAATAGCCCTATTTCTCACTTCTACCTACGGCTATGAACGGTTTGACAAATAATCTAACCCTCAAAATTGTTTCTGACAAATCATTGATACTAGGGGAATTAAGAAGACAGAGCTCGATATATATGTCTTATTCCTTTATTCAATCATCAATGCATTTTTTGAAAACAGAAAAGGACAGAAGTATAGCTGTGTCCGGACTCTTGTCTAAGGTATATACAGGGACTCTAGTTTGTGCCAGTGAACTATTTTTGAATTCAGCAGTCAAATTTAAGGATATTAACAAATGATGTCAAAATAAGTTTGATATAATTCGAAATTTCATTCAAAAAATTCGAAAGGTTATTAGTCCATGACATTTATGACATTGCCATGTCACATCATTATAAGATCGAGAATAGTTCGGTGGCGCAGTGTAGACGTTAGACAAGGAATTATAATTATATCATACTCATTTTGAGATATTTTGTTGATATCGTTAATTTGTCACTCTGCTGAATTCAAAAATAATTCAGTGGCACAAACTAGATGTTAGACAAGGAGAGATTTATCGGATCTCTCTATATTTCAATGCGGCCACGTTGGTAGCACTGAAAAGAAAGATGGAAGAGGGGAGAGCTTTCCTCTCTCTCCTTTGAAGTGGAAAAGAGCTCAATTGGTCCCAAAGTTCCACATTGAGAGTAAAAAAACGTAAAACTCATTGCAAAATTTGATTATCAATCTTGCAATTAAGCTAATATCAACATTTATTTGTCAATTAAGCACCAATTCAAAGATTTCATCTTGCATATTCTTTGGTTTCAATCAGATTTTTTCATTAATTAGGCTTAATTGCAACATTTGCCTGGCATTCTAAGTTTATTCAATGAAAAAACTTGAAATAGACAACATCAAGAATACTGTCTCTAATGATAAATGTTTAAAATAGACCTACAAGGTTGATAAATTGCAAAGTATGATTGTTTTTGCAATGCAACTGATTGCAGATTTCCTTTAGAATCAAAGGTTAATCATAAATCTTGCAATAAGCCTTATAGCAACACTTTTTTGTCAAAGCACCATTCCAAGTTTTTCTAGCAAGTAGATTGTTTGCAACATTTGTCTTGCAATCAGAGTTCATGTAATCAAAAAACTTGAAATAGGCTAATTGCAATATCAAGAATACTGTCTCTAATGATAAATGTTTAAAATCAACAGATAATTTTGTAATTGGGGTGATAAATTGCAAAATATGACTGATTTTGATCATAAGTCTTGCTATTAAGCTGATAGCAACACTTTTTTGTCAATTAAGCACCAATTCAAAGATTTCATCTTGCATATTCTTTGGTTTCAATCAGATTTTTTCATTAATTAGGCTTAATTGCAACATTTGCCTTGCATTCTAAGTTTATGCAATGAAAAAACTTGAAATAGACTGCAACATCAAGAATACTGTATCTAATTAGGTTGATAAATTGCAAAGTATGATTGTTTTTGCTATGAAACTGATTGCAGATTTCCTTTAGAATCAAAGGTTAATCATATATATTGCAATAAGCCTTATAGCAACACTTTTTTGTCAAAGCACCAATTCCAAGTTTTCCTCCTGCATTTCCTGGGTTTCAACCAGGTTTTTCTAGCAAGTAAATTGTTTGCAACATTTGTCTTGCAATCAGAGTTTATGTACTCAAAAAACTTGAAATAGGCTAATTGCAATAACAAGAATACTGTCTCTAATGATAAATGTTTCAAATAAACAGATAATTTTGTGTAAGGGGTGATAAATTGCAAAATAAAATATGACTGATTTTGATCATAAGTCTTGCAATTAAGCTGATAGCAATACTAATTTTTCAATTAAGCACCAATTACAAATTTACATCTTGCTTGCATTTGCCTTAGTTACAACATATCAAGTATGAGTACCTTGTACCTTGGTAAAAATGTGACCTGAACTTACCCAATGAAAAATTTCCATCTTCTCCCAAGGCATCAACACGAGTACAAAGAGAAGCCTTAGCAGCCAGCATCCTTGACATTTTCCCCTTATTCTTCGTACTAGACTGTCCTACCAGCATGGAATGATAGATCAAACCATACTTTGGAGTGTCTTTCTTGGTTTTCAGAGCCCTGAATAGTGCTTTTTCAGCTCCAAGAATCTGTACTGTAGAAGCAGGGTGCTTTGCCAAGTTTATGAGGGATCCAGCATGAGAAATTAGTCTAGCTCCCACTAATTCCCCTACTAAAATTGTTAAATTAGGGGCCATTGCAACCATTCTGGCTTTGAGATAATCATAGAGTTGTGTACGGTAGTTTGTGATATCAATAACTTGATCACACAGGTTGATGATGTTGAGGATGTCTTCTTCTGAGATTTCTGTACCCATTGAAATCTCTGCTGCTTCCTTAACTTTTTCTTCAACTTCCTCAGGTAGAATATCTGATAAATCAGAGGTAGCAGTGTTCTCCCTTGTACCAATAATTTTAACAGTCTTAGCAAAAGCCACATTATCAGTAACAATCTTTCCCAATTCTGGAAAATGCCATCCATACCACTCTCTACATCTCATTATGTAGTTGTTCAGCTCCTTGTCTAAATCATCCAGTAGAGAAACAGCCTGCACTATCATTGTATCAACTTTGTCAGGAGAGAATTTCAACTTGTACCTAGATAAAGAATGGGCCAAACCAAGCGCCATAGCAGTCATTTCTTTTTTGGGCAGGCCTGATATCAAGCTGTCTAGTTGGGACCTGATGCATCTCATCAGTTCTTGGACATTGGTGTTCGAGAGACATTGTAAGCTGAATTTTTCTTTGATAGCTGACCCCAATTTGGCATCTGCTACCAAGAGTTGTTCTTGCAAGTCTTTGTCAACGTGGCTTTTCAGGACCTTTTTGAGGCTCTTCGACAGTTTACCCTCGACTGCGGCGGTGGTAGCAGCTAGGGCTTCGGTGGTGTCGGTAAATTTCTCAAAATGCTTGAGTTTCACACTAAAAAAAAATACATATCAAAATATTATATACTGGTCTTTGAGTTCACTTACATTTTTCCAGCAGCTTCTGGAGTCTCGAAGGACTGATACAAATTCTCTGTTTTCTCTAGTTTTTTTTCATCTAGAAGCTGAAAACGTGGTGAAAATTAGGTTAGGTTTAATTTTCGGAATTATTTACCTTGAAGATGGCGTATCCAGCCGGGGTTTCGAATAAAACAAGCATGTCACGATGTATTTACACTTTCCCGGGTCAACAACGATGTGAAAAAACTCATGAAAATGAACGCATTATTTGAAAATCAAAATTTCAGCACATGTTATTTTCTAAAGAAATGGAGAAATCTGGCAATCTGGCATCTGGCGATCTGCTGGCACCTCTGGCAGACTGGCAGTCTGGCACCAGTGCATAAGTGGTTGCCAACTTAAAATTGAGAATAGTAGATGTACTAGATCGACCCTCGACCCAGTGTCATCTTGTACTGGATCTATTGTTGAAAAAAATTATCCACAAAATTCTTGATTTCCATCAAGTAACGAGTAAAGAATGATTTTTGGTTGACCTAGAGACATCTTCCTGTATAACTTAACCGTACCCTATATACTGGGTGAATCAAAATTCGATATTGATATTTTGAGGACATACAGCTAGAGTGACCCATTTGAAAGCGGGTATCACCATAAATTTTTCATTTATGGAGCGATTATCAGTTTTTTTTTAATGTAGAGGGAGGAGAGGTGTATTTCAGATAATCTTTTTTTGGGTATCCACAACTCACAGAGGCTGTAGCTCAGAGGGGGTGTGCTTGTATGAAGAAAAATTCCTATTTCGATCCCAACAATATGTCCTTGAAACATTTCACATCTAATTTCAAATCACCCGCTAGGTATTTGTATTGCGTTCAAATTTTGCATCGGGGTATTTTCGGCCATACTTGGATTGAATATAGGCTATATATATACCCCACAATTTCGAAAAAAAAACGCCTCAATATTCTTCTAGATTTTTTGTCATTTTCTCTCCTGCTCGAACGTTTCTATAAAATAAAAATATAAGTATAAGTATATGATTACAGCACGTGTATTTAGGAGTGTTAATAATGACATATTAGATGATTTGCCCTATAGAATGTAACGCGTTTAAAAATGTCCCTGTCAGAGAGCCTATAACAGAAAAAACTCGATTGTACCTATCAGGATAAGAAACATAGGTTATTCAAAATATTAGATTGTCATTTAGGTATACCTTATTTGGACGTTGCGGCAACGAATCTGCTTCCGTTTTCAACATAAAAAATGGAAAATATTGAAAATTGTCTTCGTATTTCAATGTTCACACTTCTCAGTAATAATATATAAATTATATGTTGACGTCCTTACTACACGTATACAGGGTGTTTCGTAATATGTGGGATAGGACGTCTCAATACAATTTTTGCCACCACGATAAGCCACACAGGTTGGACATAAAAAATTCTCTATAAATATTTTAAACTTCAACACCCCGTATCTCTCATACGAAGCCTTCTACGACTTTTGTTAATGGGAATTTTTATATTTTCTTGAGACGACGCCATATATCACCTCTCGAAGTGCGTCCCATCACGTATTACGAAACACCCTGTATATTGAAATAATACTCATATTTTTATTTTGTAGAAACTTCGAGAGAAAGTCCCCAAAAAATCTGAAAGAACAATTGTAGGCCTTGAGAATCTGAATTATGTATAGCTAGGTACCTATATAGTACACATGCATTATAACTGAATTGAATTAAAAAAATTAGGTGATTCATGTATTGTATGGTGTTAACGCATTTTTTATCATTGGAATTCAGTATGTCTGGAATGAGCCCGTATCAAAGCATTTTGTCACAAATTATCATTATTTCCTGAGCCTACTATATTATAATAATTGAAACCAGTGCACACCAAAATGTTTGATAATCTTCGTTGAATAATATAATTATGCCTCTCATTTTCCATTTAATGTCATATCTGATTTTACTATTTCTGAAAATGTTTTCGAAGTCACCTAGTTGTCTTCAACATTAATTTATCAAAATCATTTACTAATCCTGTTTAGGCAGGTATATCTTATTTTATTGTAATTATACATTTTTCAATCTACAAGACCAGCTATATTATTCATTGGATTGATATTTCTAAAATAAGTGTTTCAGTTGATCTTGATTTGATAATTTCTGAATATATTCCTGGTTGACAAAACCTATATATATCCCTTTATAAATGGGAAAAATAAACGGTCCCGTCCAGTTAGGAGTGGGCGATAGTGATTTTGGATTATCGATAATCACTATGTATCGATATTATTAGAATTGTCGATATTATCAAAGTTATCCATATTATCGATATTATCAAATTTATCGATATTATCGATATTATTGATATTTTTTGCATTCAGTACCCGAAAAGGAACATTGGGCGTGCTATATATAGGTAGTAAGCAAACTATATACTATATTCCAAATAAGAAAGATATAGTAGGTGGCGCTTCTTCTGAAGGAATGTTTACACTGACAATATACCGGGTGGCTATACGGAAGTATTGCCTACCGAATATCTCAGTTATTGTATGAAGTAGGTTTGTGAAATTTGGAGCGTCGATATAATGACATAAGAGCTAGAATTTGAGCATATTGACATGTCGAAGTTAACTTCCGGTCTGACCGGAAGTAACATCAACTTTCTTATTTTAAATGGAAACCGCATCTTTTTTTGTTTTCGCTTCATTCAGCATTCAATTCCCTTCACAATCATATCACAAGTTGGTATCTAACCAGAAACTAGATCAGAAAAAAATTATTATTGAAATTCACCGAGTAGAATAATAATTTGATTTTTTGGTATTTAATTTCAGAAAATCACTTTTCATTATATCATTAGAAAGGAATGGTTATGCTGAATAGTACAGGCGAGAAAAAGTTGTATGTTCCTATATTTAAGTTATGGGCCTACAAAGTATTGTTTTTTTCCCAATTTTTCCAATATTTTTTTGCGGCTTTTCATAACGCCGACGAATGAAAATAAAATATCACAGTAGTAGCAACTGTTATCAAGTGACGTATGGTTTCCATAGCCAACTTTTCAATTCTTGGCTTTCATTTTGCTTCCACGGCCGACTCGGTGAATTTCAATAATACTTTTTTTCTGATCTAGTTTCTGGTTAGATACCAACTTGTGATATGTCATTAGAAAGGGAATTGAATGCTAAATAAAGCAAAAAGAAAAAAAATAGGGTTTCCATTTAACATAAGAAAGTTGATGTTACTTTCGGTCAGACCGGAAGTCAACTTCGACATGTCAATATGCTCAAATTCTAGCTCTTATGTCATTATATCGACGTTCCAAATTCCACAAACCTACTTCATACAGTAACTGAGATATTCGGTAGGCAATACTTCCGTAGCCACCCGGTATATAAATATATGACGCCTAATCCAAAATGATGGTAGACTTTCAATGTATAAGAAATAATTGGAATTTCATTATGTGGACATCTTCCCATAAAGATAACTTCCAGCGTTACGCCACGTCGTAAGATATTGCCTCCGATATTAACCAATGAAAAGGAAGGTCAAAACGCTTCCCTATATGTCTTCCAATGCTGTCTTCTTGGTTGGAATGGTGATTACAATTAACAGTCAACAGATATTTCGAAAATTATCGAAAATCATCGAAAATTTTATCGATATTATCGATAAATTTTCCTACTCCTAGGCCCAGTACTGAACCTTAAGGAACCTCAAAATGTATATCTTTACAACACACGTTTTTCTGTTGGACGATAAACATATCATCGACAGTGCTTTCGGATATATTTTCGGTACCACTGGTGGAAAAATCTTCCCCATACAGACCATGTACAATCTCCTGGGGATGGCCAGTACTAGGCGATAGCAGACACCGAACGAAATTTTTTTCCAAAAGTCTCCCACGGGCACCGTAAAATTGATAATCGGTAAACAGACGACGAGATTTTTATCCGAAATATGAAGAGTACCTAAGTATCCAGATTACTTTTAATGTTGCCTTTGAAGCGTAAACATCAATTATTCGCAATTGTTTTGGATGAACTGCAGTGAATTTGTTTGGTGATTTGGATAACCCCCATTGTGATAGAGCAAGTAAGTAAACATGTTTTTCATGAGAAAATTTTACCTTTTATTTTTTCAAATTATTCAAGTTCAGGGTTAATAGCTAGTGTTATAAGTTCAAACACCTTCTACAGGAAGACATCAGATAAAACTTCGAATGAAAAGGTCAAGGTGTTTTGTTCTGACCACCAGACAATTCTACCAGACGAAAAAAAAAAAATGAATAAACGAAAGATCTTTTGGTTCCTGATAACAGGAATAAATATAGTTTGGTGATATTCGGTCAAGCCGTTTTGAAAACATTCAAAGGTTACGTTTATTTTACCAAATCGCGCACTAGCCATGGAAAACCAATTCAAACGCAGGTTGTATGTGTTGAGTTTTCATGGGTACTGAGATTGGGAAAAATAACGGATAACCTGAGGAATTTCCAGAAAGATATGATATTGAAATTTGTATTCACATCAGAAATGAGGAAAGAAAATCCCCAGTATTTCGTGGGTTTCATTGCAATCAACGTATAGTTGGTATTTTTGGTTGTTAGTTTTGCGAATAAACCGAATTGATGATGTTTTTTCTATCAACACTAAAAATCCTTTCGAAGCAGTTTGATATTGGAATGACTGTACGCGGTTTTATTCAGAAGATTTTATGAATTTTTCGCGGGAATTCAAATTCAATATATCGGTACCAGTTATCAAGTGGCACAAATTTATCTGCTTTCAATTTCTCCGCAACTTATCTCTAAATTGCTGTTGCGAGTCGCAAGATCATAATGTGCAAGGAAAATTCCAAATATGTAGTTGTGATGTTGTGTACTATGAAAATTCAGGGAGAACTTATTGATATGAACACAAGGTAGCAACATTTTTCAAGGCATCAGATTCTAGATTTTCTCGATGTCTGAATATCTGCGTTGTTATATATACAAATAAGTGATGAGTATCTATACATTGAACATACATTTATATATATCAATATGATTTCATTCTCATTATTGTTTTAAAGAACAAGACATTTTATTTCATTGAACACTATTCAAAAATGTGTAGAGCAGTGTAGAACATCGAAACCAAACGTTCTTACCCTGAATTTCATTGAGATTCCTATATTTTTTATAAAAGTACTGCATTTACTGTACGTTATCGAAGATGAGAAAACATTTTCTGATAGTCATTTGATATTTCTCTGATAGGACTCTATACGTGGTAGGACTATGTACAATTCCTCATGACCCTGCCTGTATAAACCTCCCAGTGAACACAAACATCCCTGGGATGTTGTATTTTTGACTGACAAAGTTACAAAGCGAATCACGATAAAACATCACTGGTGTAAGGGATCTCATAATATTTGACAAATGACAAAGCGCTCGCCATATTTATTTTGAAATTGAATGAGGAGTCTTTTAATACTGACTCAGAGTTTATCTTTTTGCCTCACAATGTGAATCATGAAATTACCAGAAGTGTACGAGATAGGAGTCAGTCAGTGGAGTCCATACCAAACGTTTAGTAATATAATACCACTACAAAATAGTATGATATAGTATAGTATGATACCATTTTGTAGTGGTATTATTTGATGAATACTTATAGCCTATAGCATGATTCAATTTTGTAGCAGTGATTTTTGATATAGCTTAGTATTATAAGTACTATTTTGTAGTGGTATTATTCGATTGATGTATCACTATAGTGACTGGCGCCTATTTCACTAAACGTTTGGTATTTTTACTATACCGACTAATTTTTTCAGTACGTGTGATGTGTGATATCGCATAGATCAATCGGTGTTAATAACTGATCGCCATATTTACAGAAACTCCAAGATGTCACCGGGAACCATGTTGGACCCCCCCAACATCCTCGAACCCTCCCCGGAAACCTATCTCGACTTCCCCTTCTTCGAGAACATGGAGTCCTCCAGCTGCACCAGTTTCGACTCCACAGACAGCACCGACTTAGAACCCCGCGAATTCCCTGCCCTGAACGGCGAAGACATGTTCTTGGACAGCATCATCAAGGGCCTCTTCAACACCACCTCAGACAACCCCTGGACTGGCCTCGACATGGAGGACCTCAGCCTCTTGGACCCCAGCAACATGGAGGTGCTCGGCATAGACTTGGACCTACCCCCCACAGACATCGAGCAGATCTTCAGCGACACAATCAGTGAGCTGGACCTGGATATTTCCTCCAAAGTGAACGACTTCTTCTCGAACAGCTCAGACACCAGCTTGGTCGATACAAGTGCCAGCCAGCTGGAGCCTCTGGCTGCTATGTTTCCTCACATCAGCGAGGAGAAGAACAGAAGAAGGCGCAGCCTGCTTTATGACAGAAAAGCCCCTGCAACAGGAGGCAAAGCCGCCTTTGACTGCAGGCGCTCAGACCCACTAACAAACCACGACTACGCGCAGAAGAATGAGGAAGACAAGTACTTCGTTTGTCCCATGGCTGCCTGCGATAAGGTGTACGCCAAGTCCTCGCATCTGAAGGCGCATTTGAGGAGGCACAGCGGGGAGAAGCCGTTCGTCTGCAACTGGTTGAATTGTACTTGGAGGTTTTCGAGGTCAGATGAGTTGGCTAGGCACAAGAGATCGCATTCCGGGGTGAGGCCTTATAAGTGCGAGCTTTGCGAGAAAGCTTTCGCTAGGTCGGACCATTTGTCTAAGCACAGGAAGGTGCACAAGAAGAAGATGTCTCAGTTTGGGAGTTACCATATCAAGAGGAGGGGGAGGGTGAATTGAGGCGAGTGCGTTTTTTGGTACTGGTGTGAGTGATGGTACTTTTGGAGTCGTTGGTACAGGGTGATTCACCATAAATGTCCCCCCCCTCTAGCTCAGTTATTATTCAACCGATTTCGAAATTTTAAGAATAATTTGATAATTTCTGCTGGGAAAACTATATGTACAAGGTACCAGTTCATTTTTTCGAATGGGACACCCTGTATTTCATTGCACAATCAGTTAGATATTTTTAAAATGAAGCCAACAATATACTACTTATAGTGGAATGAAATACATTTGAAAAAATGAACCCTGTAGATCGTTTATTCCGAACACCCTGCAAAATTTTGAAATCGGTTAATAATAACTGAGCTAGAGGGGGGATGGACATTCATGGTGAATCACCCGGTACAAGGAGGAAGGAAGTTTTGTTCGATCAGTTGGAGTATTATTAAGGAAAAAACTACCTTGGTGCATGATTTAAGCATTGACAAAACAATCTACAGGGTGTGAATTGATGAGAACGACCAAAAATTAGGTGATTAGTAAATTTGTTGAGCCTATAACGAGGAGCTTCTTCTGATGAAATCAGAATATAATAATCCCATCAGTGGCGTTGTTTCTGGATATTTATGTAAAATATCAATGTACGTCACTGGGTTTTCAAGTCATTTGTGTTGCTTTCGTATCTATTAGTTTCTGAGCAAACACCAAACAATTAACATTTTTAAATTGACTCGAAATTGAATTTAGGTGGTCTCGATGAGCCACTCATTGGGATTATTTTCCCATCATGAAAGTTTATACAGGATGATCACGAACAAACTTGTTTATATCAACCACTCATTGCATACGCACCTCGTATTCAATTTTAGTCACTGGATTTGATTATAGGAATGATGATATGCGATTTCAATCTAGATCAAGGTATTTGATGGTCATCAAACACACTTATTTCGAAAAGAAAAAACGGTTCAAAGAACTGTTCATGAATGAAAGATTAGAGAAGATATTAGTATATAGTTTTAGTTGATAAGGATTTTGAAAATTATGATCTTGTTGATTTTCTGAAACCATTTTTGAAATAAAAATTCGATTTCTCAGTAAAAAAAATTGTGTCATTAATTTTTTTTACGATACGCAAAATTCTAGTAAGTGCACATATTTGAAATGTTTATTTATGGTAACTGAGCAAATAAATCATAATCAAAAACATGAAAAATGAAAAACCTTATTTGGAAGACCAAAGGATCATACATTGACGATTTTATGGCACCCTGATGTTTTATTATCTCTTGGAGCGCACGAAAGGAAATTCCTATAATGTTCGAAGAACATCGTGCGTACGTAGGGAGGATAGAGAGAGGAGGTATTGATGTTTTTTTTCATGTTCTGGTTACCACGAAGAGGGATATCCTGATGTAATGTTCAGAGAACATCGTGAGAACCAAGGGAAATAAGGTAGGAATTGGTGTTCTTCTTAATTTCTGTAGAAATAAACCCAAAAAGTTGATACTTTAAACAAGAAAAATCCATTTGCAACCACAAAGAGGCAGCTACTCATCCCATCAGGTTTTTCTAAAAGGAGACACCCTGTATAGTACATAGGAAACAACCAGCACACCTCCTTTCAAAAGGTCTGGTTAATTCAAATAATCAAATCCCCACCTAGTTCTCAATTCATTATGATTTATAGTCGGCTCATCCTTATATTATCCAAGGCACAGAATCCTAGAGACCAGGAGAAGTAACTCTAATAAAATTTGAGGACCAGAGGCGTAGAAATAATGAATCATTTAGGAAAATATGTAGCACACGAGGTGGAACTGTGGTACGAGATGTTTTCATTAAGTTCATATAATCTCCGAAACCCAAGAGGTTTTATGGTCGAAATCTCAAATTTTTCAACTTGCCTCTTGGCAGTTGCTTGAATGCAGCATCAATCATCATTTCGAACTTCTGGACATTATATGTTCGAATCTGAAAGTTGAAGACGAAATCATTTCTGAAGAACATTATCCATTGAACTAAAACTATATATAAAAGCTCGCCTGGGTGCTGAAACCTTGAATATACTTATATAAAATAAGCTTTTCGTACGGGATAAGAAGTTTATTTCGATACGTTGGGATAGTTATATAGATATGTAGAGCTGAAGAACGATTTCGAATAGATAAATCATCTTCTCGTTTTGCTTCAGCAGGGGGATTTTTTTAATGTTCTGGTTCCTACCAAGGGGGATATCCTGTAATGTTCAGGAAACACCGTCAGAACCAAAGAAAATAAGGTATGAATTGGTGTTCTTCTTAAATTTGTTGTTCCAGAGCCTCGCTGTTCGTTGGATGAACGGGTCTTTGGAAAGAGGTGTTCTGCAGGTTTCCAAAGTGACCACGAAGGGGTGCGAAGCCTCAACTCGACGGGTTAATCTCGCGGTGATTGCCAAGGGAAGAACAATTGTTGATATTTCAGAAGAGCATCGTCGTCCATTAAAATATCTATAAAATAGAGCCAGATAGCCAACTTTTCTACGGTGTTCCAGAGAAGTGAGTGAGTTTGTGAGCGAAGCATCACCCAGAAGACGAATTGCCTTTTTTTGGACAGAATCCAACAGTTTCAGGGTATGTTTGGGTGCTGCACTCCAAATATGGGAACATAATTCGAGGACAGGTTGGATCTGTGCCTTATAGATTATAAGCAGCTGACTGGAAGTGAAATAGCTCCTGACCAGAAACAGAAAACCAAGTTTTTAGCAATTGATCTCACGTGATTTTCCCAAGAAACGTTATTGCTGATAGTAATACCAAGCATCGAAATGGATGTCTTCAAAGGTATGGTTACAACTGACAAGCTTATGTTGGGCACAGTGAGATCGGCTTTTCTAGAGAAAACGCATGCTTGTGTTTTGTTTGCATTGAAATCTACCAAGTTATTGGATCCCCATTCGAGAATTGTTGCCAAGTCCATATTTATGTTGTCAACATTTCTTCCTCGTTCATTTCTGATTTTAATAGGGGGAATGAGGAAATCTTGAGATTGTTCTGCTTCAACAGTCCATAGATCTTAGAACCATTGCGTTTTGCATCAGCTGAGGGAATAGTGGCTATGAGGAAGTTTTGGGCAATGTGCTGCTACGACAATCTTACAACCGTATTCTTTCTTCTAATGTTCTTCTGTAACCCCGCTGGCGTTGAATGTTTTATGATATTTCCACACAATGTTCATGAGATGAACAACAATGGTAGAATTCGGGAGAAAAACAACTACTTTCCTAGATAATACCACGCAGAACCAAACTTTTCCTGAATGCCTATTGATTTCGATTTAGCCAGGCCACGCTAGACACCTACAGACCGGTTACGAGCTCTTTGACTCTCATCAGTGCAGGGCAGTCTCCAGCCAGCAGTCCTAAGACCGCATCCTAAGATCGTTGTTGATGTGTATATATTTAAAACAGGATATTCTGTGCCACTGTTACATCAAGAAGCTTTCCGAGCCACCTACAAAGTTTCTATGGACCATTGAGTGCATACGGCCGCGCATTCTAATAATACCCACATCGACATTAAGGTCGTTAAAACATAATATAGGCGCCAACACAATATCTAATCCTCTGGGGATCAAGACATTTTGATCGGCGTATTATAGGTAGGTTGACGCCGGTATAGTTCAAAGTACACATGAAGAGTCAACAAAATCGGTGGCTATTTCTGATTTATCACTCACTACATGTACATTATTGTACATGCATGCATACTTCCTATGTCTCTTATGTCCAGTATCATTATCGTCCAAACGCGGGCAGAAGTGGACTCGTTTCTTTGTTTTTGTCAGTAGCGTACAATATTTTTGAAGGCTTTTATTCATTTTTTGAATTGACTCTGCCGTTACTTGATGGATATTCATGGCAAATGTAAAAACTTCACAAACGATAGGATTTCCACAAAATTCTCATACACACGAAATGTTTCGCTAACACAGTATAGCTTCATTAGGTGATCACATATCACACATCTTCGATATGTGATGCTCATGTGATGCTTCACACACTAATCCACATGTCGAGTTTTACACTGGTCCATCGGATATTATCTTTCGACGGGGGCGAAATATTATGGGAAGTATTTTGACGCTCTGCCACTAACTTAGATCAATTTGAATCGCCGTACGTTTGTATATTTGCAAAGGCGACATCATCCCCTTTTATTTGCTTCTTGTTTTAACTTGTTATCACATGACGGAAGTATGTCCGGAATAATAACAGCAAATAAATCGCTGTGCCGTGTCTCTATTTCACCTTTTGACAAAAAAAAACAATATATCGCTTTGACACTTCTCTTTCTCCTCATTTGTCCCCCCGTGCCTTTCAGATAGAAAAACGGTACCCCCAAACAACCGGTGACGTCTCGAGTAGTCTTAGAGATCGCCACTTTAGATAGTTTCACAACTTTGCCATGCCCACAGACTTTCTGTACTTCGTCATAACGGTTTACATGTTCCTATTTTAACTTCTGATTTATCTACTGACATTTAATTGGAACAAATATAGGGTGGTTCAAGATTCCGATAATTCTGATCAATTTAGGAACCACTGCAATATAGCATCATCATCATGGAAGCATATGGCGGAAACAATAAAAAAACAATCGCTTTGACACTTCTCTTTCTCATCATTTGTTCCCCGCGCCTTTCAAATAGAAAAACGGTACCCCCCAAACAACCGGTGACGTCACGAGTAGTCTTAGAGATCGCCGCTTTAGATAGTTTCACAACTTGCCATGCCCACAGACATGCACAGTTGAGAGAATATTACATATACCACAGGGCACAGACTTTCTGTATTTCGTCAAAACGGCTTACATCTCCCTATTTTAATTTTTGATTCACTATCTACTGACATTAAATTGGAACAAATAAAGGGTGGTTCAAGATTCCGCATTCTGATCTATTTAGGAACCACTGCAATATAATATACTGCATCATCATCAAAACATATGGCGGAAACAATAAAAAAACAATCGCTTTGACACTTCTCTTTCTCATTTGTTCCCCCCGCGCCTTTCAGATAGAAAAGCGGTACCCCCCAAACAACCGGTGACGTCACGAGTAGTCTTAGATCGCCGCTTTAGATAGTTTCACAAATTGCCATTCCCACAGACTTTCCGTATTTCGTCAAAACGGCTTACATCTCCCTATTTTAATTTTTGATTTACTATCTACTGACATTAAATTGGAACAAATACAGGGTGGTTCAAGATTTCCAATTCTGATCTATATTTAGGAACCACTGCTATATAGCATCACCATCGAAGCATGTGGCGGAAACAATAAAAAAACAATCGCTTTGACACTTCTCTTTTTCCTCATTTGTCCCCCCGAGCCGTTCAGATAGAAAAACGGTACCCCCCAAACAACCGGTGACGTCTCGAGTAGTCTTAGAGATCGCCGCTTTAGATAGTTTCACAACTTTGCCATGCCCACAGACTTTCTGTATTTCGTCAAAACGGCTTACATGTCCCTATTTCAACTTTTGATTTACTATCTACTGACATTTAATTGGAACAAATACAGGGTGGTTCAAGATTCCGAATTCTGATCTATTTAGGAACCACTGCAATATAGCATCATCATCGAAGCATATGGCGGAAACAATAAAAAATAATCGCTCTGACACTTCTCTTTCTCCTCATTTGTCCCCCGCGCCTTTCAAATAGAAAAACGGTACCCCCCAAACAACCGTTGACGTCACGAGTAGTCTTAGATCGCCGCTTTAGATAGTTTCACAACTTTGCCATGCCCACAGACTTTCTGTATTTCGTCAAAACGGCTTACATGTCCCTATTTCAACTTTTGATTTACTATCTACTGACATTATAAATTGGAACAAATACAGGGTGGTTCAAGATTCCGAATTCTGATCTATTTAGGAACCACTGCAATATAGCATCATCATCAAAGCATATGGCGATTATGGCGGAAACAAAAAAACAATATATCGCTTCGACACAACCGGTGACGTCTCGAGTAGTCTTAGAGATCGCCGCTTTAGATATAGTTTCACAACTTTGCCATGCCCACAGACTTTGTATTTCGTCAAAACTGCTTACATCTCCCTATTTTAATTTTTGATTTACTATCATCTACTGACATTAAATTGGAACAAATACAAGGTGGTTCAAGATTCCGCATTCTGATCTATTTAGGAACCACTGCAATATAGCATCATCATCGAAGCATATGGCGGAAACAATAAAAAACAATCGCTTTGACACTTCTCTTTCTCCACATTCGTCCCCCTGCGCCTTTCAGATAGAAAAACGGTACCCCCAAACAACCGGTGACGTCACGAGTAGTCTCAGATCGCCGCTTTAGATAGTTTCACAACTTTGCCATGCCCACAGACTTTCTGTATTTCGTCAAAACGGCTTACATCTCCCTATTTTAACTTTTGATTTACTATCTACTGACATTAAATGGGAACAAATACGGGGGGGTTCAAGATTCCGAATTCTGATCTATTAAGGAACCACTGCAATCAAGCATCATCATCGAAGCATATGGCGGAAACAATAAAAAAACAATCGCTTTGACACTTCTCTTTCTCCTCATTTGTCCCCGGCGCCTTCCAGATAGAAAAACGGTACCCCCCAAACAACCGGTGCCGTCACGAGTAATCTCAGATCGCTGCTTTAGATATTTTCACAACTTGCTATACCCAAAGACTTTCTGTATTTCGTCAAAACGGCTCACATCTCCCTATTTTAACTTTTGATTTACTATCTACTGACATTAAATTGGAACAAATACGGGGGGGTTCAAGATTCCGAATTCTGATCTATTAAGGAACTACTGCAATCAAGCATCATCATCGAAGCATATGGCGGAAACAATAAAAAAACAATCGTTTTGACACTTCTCTTTCTCATTTGTCCCCCCCTGCGCCTTTCAGATAGAAAAACGGTACCCCCCAAACAACCGGTGACGTCACGAGTAATCTCAGATCGCTGCTTTAGATATTTTCACAACTTGCTATACCCAAAGACTTTCTGTATTTCGTCAAAACGGCTCACATCTCCCTATTTTAACTTTTGATTTACTATCTACTGACATTAAATTGGAACAAATACGGGGGGGTTCAAGATTCCGAATTCTGATCTATTAAGGAACTACTGCAATCAAGCATCATCATCGAAGCATATGGCGGAAACAATAAAAAAACAATCGCTTTGACACTTCTCTTTCTCATTTGTCCCCCCCGCGCCTTTCAGATAGAAAAACGGTACCCCCCAAACAACCGGTGACGTCACGAGTAGTCTTAGATCGCCGCTTTAGATAGTTTCACAACTTGCCATGCCCACAGACTTTCTGTATTTACAACGGTATCGGTTCTGTTCTAGGTTGTTATGTGTGGATTACCAGCCAAGAAAAGAGTGCCGTGACGTGTTTATAAAATCGAAATTGTGTTAGTGTGCCGTGATAAAATTAGAGCATCGCGTTCGTATTGCGAGCGATTTTTTCGAATCGGGATGAGTAAAAATTCATCGGCCATGCCTCCCCCGTACGGGATAGTGCCCCCTGCTGCTCCCCCTAGTTACGCGCAGGCTGTTGGGGGGGTGGCCCCATCTAGCCCGTATGTGCCCAACCATTCCTGTAAGTTTTTTTTGCCAAATTATTTTTCGAAATTTGACACCGAATCAACAACGGATAAGCCAGGGTCTGTACAAAATCTTAGTATATATTCCTGAGGTCAAATTAAGCCGATTTAAAACAACTCCGAAATTGCACCGTTTCCGAGATACAGGGTGGTGGAAATAATAAATTGAAATCGAATAGTAAACTCCAAGAAAGAATCTTGAAATATCCAGTGAAAATAATTTGGTAAAACTGCATTTAGCATGCGATGGTTTTTTTTTTCGAAAATTGTTTTCGGTACTTACGTATTTTTGTCTGGAAAACACGAATTTGATAATGAAAATATGAACAAACCACTATTTTATCGAGATATTTCAAAAAAAAGTTCGAAATTTCGACTCCTTTTTCCCCTTGCGTTGGATGCATTTTCAGGTACTTGTTCTTCTTATTTTGTCATTGGACACTTTATATACTCATGATGTACTTCAATGACACATTTTTATACAGAAAATTCAACAGGAAATATGATTTTCATAGTGAGTTTTTCCTATTTAGTGAGCAAGCATACCAGATGACGACCATTTTAGCCATAGGCAATCCAAATACGAGATGTCGAATGTCAATAGATTGCTTTGGAATGACATTACACACGCCATTATTTCAAATGTTATTCTTCCTTCTTTTCAATAGATATGGATAAATCACAAGAAAATCATATTTCTAGTTGACTCAATAATAGAAAAGAATGTGTCTTACATTGTGATATATATAAATTGTCCGATGATGAAAAAAGAAGGGTAAATTGTTTTAAATTCAATCCAGAAGACAGGCGGAAAAGAAGGTGAAACTTGTAACTTTATAGTGAAATATCTTGATAAATAATGGTTTGTTCACATTTTCATTATCAAATTCGTGTTTTTCAGACAAAAATACGTAAGTACCAAAAAAAATTTTCGAAAAAAAACCCATCGCATGCTAAATGCAGTTTTACCAATAATTTAAATATTCCGATTCTGCATCGAACATTGAAAATCAAAATATCTCGAAATCGGATTACTTTAGTGGATCATCACAAGAATATCTTTGTTGCTCGAAAATGTTCAGAAACATATTTTAACAACGAATAAAGTGAGAAATTACACTGAGAAAAAAGTTATGGATATTCTAAACCGTTCTAAACCATAAGAAGTGCATTATTGGTAAGAACCCTCTAAAAAGGTGCCCGTATTCGTGTTTCGCATCCCAAAAACAACCCTACGTTCAAAAATTACGGTACAGACTATTCAGGGACACCCAAAGGACATTATTCCAGATTTTTTGAGATTTTCTCTCCTCGTTTCTATGAAAAAAAATATGGGTATTATCAGAGAGCCTAAAACAAAAATTCATTCACATGTCAGTAAAACTTTGTATTGAAAAAACTTTGACACTTTGAGAATGGTAAATTTGAAAATTATTTAAAAAATTGAAGAAAACATCCTGCAGAAGTGTCAAAACTGATGCCTTACAAATTTGCGAGAAATTTATTTTCCATTTTTATGTGGAAAACGGGAACAGATTCGTTCCCGAAACGTCCAAAACTAAGTGACAAACTGGTATTTTTTCTGTATACCCATATTTCTCTTCTCCCAACCGTTTTTCAATACAAAGTGGGTCACTGACAAGCGAATGAATTTTTATTTTAGTCTCTCTGATTTTTTATTTAATGCATGACATTTTGGGGCGAACCATCTGGTTTGTCCTCCCTACACGTAGGTATATTGGAATAATAATCATATTTTCGTTTTATAGGAACGAGAGAAGATCCTAAAAAATCTGTCAATTTAATTTTATTTTCGAGCAAATTTTTGGACAGAACATTGCGTTTTCGAGTTTGAAAAAAAATGACATTTTTGTTCACATGAAACCCCTGTCAATTAAATTCTTTCCTTTCAAAGCTTCTTGAAGTAGTAGATTGGATTCTCTATTAGTGAAAATCTCGGTAAAAATACGGACAGTATTGGGACGTGTTTTCGTTGGGTCAGGTTCGCACCAGATGGCGGTCGTGAATGCCATCTGGAGACACCCCTGCACTGATGAGAGTTTGGGCTCGAAACCTGTCTGTAGGTAGTCAAGTGTTTCTGAAGTATTTAAGCACAACTATTTTATGAACTAGTACGGTCATGACTTCGAGTTATACTTATGTAGGTATCATTATCAATATATCAAACAGAGTTACCATGAGCTTATACATAAACTGATTTCTTTGTTTTCCATGGCTAAATTTTGACATTGATTTGAATCAAATTTGATAAGATTTTGACCACATTTGAAAAAATACTCAAATATTTTGATAAACGGGAATATAGTTGGATTCAGAGTAAGTAGCTGAATATAAAACAAAGCAATGATTCAATTGAGATGAAAATAATTCAAATATGCAATAGTTCGTATATTATATGTATTTCAAAATGTTTAATTTCTTTATATATTTCTATAAAGTCCGATAAATGGCGGAGTTCAATCTAAAATCAAGCTTATGATCAAGATTATTATTTTTTGAATTCTATGTAGGTATACACAGTTTTATTGAAAATTTCTACTAGGTTGAATAAACTACATAGGAGTTACAGATATGTCAAGGAAGGTATAACATTCTCTAATTCAAGTACCTATACAATACCATAAGATGAGTCAATATATCACTAGACAAACACTAAATATAACATTACCAATTCCAACATCGACACAAATAAAAAATTCCATAATTTATATTGGATTAAGGAGATTGAAATCATATTATGTAGTAAAAGTCAATTCAAACATTCTGTAAAAAATCTACTGACGAATGCTTTCTACTCATTAGATGAATTCTACTGTCAAAACTTTTAGTATTGTGGAGTTTGTCGTCTGGTCCTTGATATACGATATTCAATTTTGATTTTGATTTGATGTGTTTCAGTGATTTTTATTTTTTATCTATAACTATAATCACTTGTTGTACGACGCTATACCTATATAGTGGAGTATACTACGGCCTTGCCAAAAATGCTATCTCGGAAACTGAGCGAGATAGAGGTATAGTTACTTTGGAGAAAATGATCCCCATCGAATTTTGAGCAACTTTGGTTTTTGTGTGTGGTCTGTCTGTCTGTCTGTCTGTACTCTGTGTTAATCATAAATCGATATATCTTCGGAACCCTTTGACATATCGACTTGAAATTTTGCCATCTTATTGTACTCAAAACAATATTATGCTCGATATTATGTCATTAAAATATGAAGGAAATCGGAAAACTAGGGTGGGTTTTCCGGGTTTTTTTCGATTTTTCACCGGAAATTTCTTGTAACCACTCTACAAATCGCAAAAGTGGTCCGATCGATTTCATTTTTCGTGAAAAAAAACTCTATCAGGGAGAGACGAAGCCTATTGAAATTGAGCAGGGTCATAAAATTCCAAGTGGGTTTTTCACGGAGATTTTCCGAAACTCACGGTTCGCTTTAAAACGACATATCTCCTGACCCAATAGACTGAATCCAAATTTGAAAAATGCACCGTATGCCTCTTTGATGACGCAACAAATTATTACATTAACATTTTTTCGTGCATCCATCGGAAAATGGAAAAAAAATGAAAATCAAAACATCAAAATTTGAAATCCATTCAATTCAATATATATCGAAAACAAATGGAAAAATCGAAAATTATCAGAAGTGCAAAGTTATCCACTGGAACATTTCCTACAAATCATTTCTCATAATTCTTTCTGTAAACCCAATAGTACAGGAAATAAAGTGAAAAATATGAAAAATAAATTTTAACGACCCATAGGGTAGGTACTATGAAGATATATTGAAAAACAAAGATTATAGATAGATGAAGCTCATCGATTTCCACTGAAACATGGAATATTTTCTCTTTTTGTTGATTGGAAGATGGAACAAAAGTGTTGAAAATTTTATTCTCAGATAATTCCAAATATCTCGAAAACAACTGAAAATATCTGAAAATCTTATGGAACCAATATTATTCCTTTTGATAGAATCTACAAAAAATCCCTTCAACATTTTTCTCTAATTCAATAGTTCGGGAGATACGATGAAAAAACAAAAAAATTTACAAGCTCCAAGATTATCACTTGCTAATAGAAAACAAAACAGAAAACAAAAGAAAGTAAAAAAGCACACTCGATAGTCTCGAATTTTTTTCATATAAACTACGTAACTAGCTCACTCGACTGTCTTTATTTTTCGCCAATAAACTAGGTACCTAGCTCACTCGACTGTCTTGATTTTTCGCCAATAAACTACGTACATAGCTCACTCGACTGTCTTGATTTCCCACAAAGAGTGGGCTAAGTACGTAGTTTGTGGGAGAAATCTCCAGTTCTCTGAACTTTCATAGCGTCGTATACCCATCTTTGGTGCCCAATGATAGTTTCAATATTAAAATATGCTCATGATATGGTGCCATGGCCTCTACTTCCATCTTACATGAGCAATGATAAAAATCATCTGCTTTTATAGCGTCGTATGAATTATCTGACCTCTATACTAATCTAATACCTAATGAAAACTACATCTATACTAATCTGATACCTTTCAAAAACTACGTACCTCACTTGTTTTTATATTTTAATTTACACATGTTTGTTGTCAATGCCTTTTATTGATTATGATTAGTGCTATGAATGCGTACAAAGCAATTTTATTGTGAAAATTTCAATACTTCTTTTTGTACTTGTATTTTATATTTATTCATGTTTGTTGTTGTTGACCCGTCCGTACGGTAAAAATATTGTACCAAATTTTATTTAATGACCTTTTGTCTATCGTGTACTATTCATGAATACTATTCAGTTATTTACCTGATTATTTATCATATCTTCTTTATTTGTAAATGACTTTGTCAATGAGAATCACGTTCTCCAGACAACAAAGTATATTTTGATTTGATTTGATATCTTGAATGTAATTAAATTTAAATATGTGGTTGCATATTTGAATGAATCAAACTCGGAATTGAATCATCATAATTA